TTCCCTCTCAATTTCTATGATTCCCTCATCTATCATTAGATCCCACCGCGGACACGTCCACTACAAATATCTGATTTAGTTCACTCCTACCATACTCTCTACTCCATAATAGCGTGGTTAGGCTTGCTTGCTTATACCCCTATTAGGGGTGTGTGATGAATTACCGTTAGTCAGGGAAATGTTTAAAATTTATTTTAGGCTTTTGCACCACCCTACCAAATTCATCCCCACCCCCAATTTCTCTGCAACTTCTCTTCAGAATCTCCCATGAGCAACAGTGTTTTCTTCCAGGCCCAAAGATCAGCTGTGGAAGCCACCCCTACTACCACTCTCCTCCCCCCCCGTGGGTGATTTCTTTTTCTTTTTAACTCCACGCCTCTTGCCAAGGACCCTCGCATTTACTTCTCTTACAACCCCACTATAAAATATAGAACAACCATACTCGGTGTGGACATTCCCAAAACTCCCTTGGTCTAAAGGGCCTATTTTACGTTATGGGGAAAAAAGTTTCCCTCTTTTCCTACATACCTTTTAACTGTGCCTCACTATCCTCGTATAAACTCTTTCACTGGGGCTTTCAGTACCTATCCTACACCATACACTTGCACATCATGCCACCATTTCCCCCCTATCCACCTGTTTCATACGCCTTTTCCAGCCAATTCCCATAAATGCCACAAAAGACATCTTTAGCCTTATCTAAATACTGTTCAATTTTTAATTTATATGTTTTCCACCTGGTAAACAACATGCGGGTCCACACACCCCCTACCTTTTCCTTAAGGCCACCTTGGTTTCATCTGTATCCATTTCTTCACGTCTCTTACTCTTAATATCTTTTCAATTATAATACTCTCACCATACACTTTTCAAGGTACAAATCAAACAGGGTCTTATCCCCCTATAATTATTTTGGCCACTCTCTTTTATCCTTTGCATTTATACAAAAGGAACTATGCCTATGCTCTCTGCCAATCCCTAGGTACCTTTCCCTCTTTCCATACATTTATTATATGTTGCCCACCAACAACTCAAAACTATATCCCCCACCTGCTTTTTATAACATTTCTATCTTTATCCCATTTCCCAATCCCGGGCTGCCTTACCCCCATTTCAATTTTTTTTACCTACTGGGCCTTACACGGAAAACTTCCCCCCACCCACTCACAAAACTGGCTTCTTCCTCACTCCTACAAGTTGTTATTTCCTATTGCCCTTATACACGAAAATCACAGTTCCTATCTTCTTCAACATTTTAACCAATTCCTCCCAAAATATATCCTTCCATCTTCCAATAAACTCTAAATCTCCATTTGAAACTAACTTCTCCTTCTTTTTCCTAATTTTTTTAACTGGACAAATCCATTTGTTTCTCTAGGATTTCTTAAACCTTGTTAATCTCACTCCAAAACTTTTTCTTATTTTTCAAACAAATTTGTTGATTAAAAATTCTCCCCTCTCTCATTTGCTCCTCTTTTTACATTGGCTTCACCACTCTTAACTTCTCCTTCTTTTCTCCATATACTCTTCCATCCTTGCATCCCTTCTTCTTTGTAAAAAATTCTCATATGCTAACTTTTTCTCCCTTACTTTACTCTTCTACACAATCATTCCACCATCGCTCCTCTTCCCTCCTGCTACCACTTTCCTGTAACCTACAAACTTCTGCTGAACACTCTAACACTACATTTTTTAAAATACCCCATACTCTTCGACCCCATTGCCTATGCTCTCTTTAGCCCCATCTATCCTCAATAGCTGTTAATATCTTACCCTACTGCCTCCTCTTTTAGTTTTTATATACCTTCACCTCTCTTCTTCCTGTGTTTCTATTCTCCTTGTATCCCATCACCTTTTACTCTTCAGTGTAGCTACAACTAGAAAGGGATCTGATATATCTGTGGCCCCTCTATATTACATTTGTACATCCTGAAGTCTACTCATACAGTCTTTTATCTACCAATACATATCCAACAAACTACTGTCATTTCGCCCTACATATATAGTGTTATACTTATTTATCCTCTTTTTATCTTAAAATATGTATTACCTTAACTAAACCCCTTTTTATACAAAGTTCAATCAAAGGGCTCCCATTATCATTTACAACATGGCACCCCAAACTTACCTACCACACCTCTCTAAACGTTTCTCCTACTTTTAGCATTCAGTCCCTACCACAATTACTCTCTCACTTGGTTCAAAGGCTCCTATAACATTCACTTAACAATTCTTCCAAATTCTCTCTCTCTTCCTCTGCCCATTCCTCTCTTCTCCAGGTGCATACACGCTTATTATGACCCACTTCTCGCAGCAACCTTTACTTCTAATCCACTAATTCTGAATTTTCACATTCATATTCTATTTTCTCCTTCCATAACTGATCATTTAACATTACTGCTACCCCTTCCTTTAGCTCTAACTCTCTCATGATTACTCAGATTTAATCCCATTTATTTCCCCCCCACAGGAAACTTCTCCTACCCCTTCAGATTTGTTTCGCTTAGGGCCAGGAATCCAACTTACTTTTCATTATAACATCAGCAATCATGTGTTTCTTGTCATACGCACTACATCCACGCACATTTAAGCAAACCAGTTTTTATAAGTTTTTTCTTCTTCTCTTTTTAGTAATTGTATTCAGGAGAAGGGGTGTTACTAGCCATTGACTTCCCGGGCAATTTTTGTCGCCTCATACGACAGATCGCTTAGGGAGAAGATCTTTTCCACTTCCCCCATGGGTACAATAGAAGAAATAAAAAAAGAACAAGAGTTTTTAGAAAAAGGAGAAAAAACCTAGATGTATGTATATATATATATGCATGTGCGTGTCTGTGAAGTGTGACCAAAGTGTAAGTAGGAGTAGCAAGATATCCCTGTTATCTTAGCGTGTTTATGAGACAGAAAAAGAAACCAGCAATCCTACCATCATGCAAAACAGTTACAGGTTTTTGTTTCACAGTCATCTGGCAGGACGGTAGTACTTCCCTGGGTGGTTGCTGTCTACCAACCTACTACCTATACACATGCCTGCTGTTAAGTATACCGGGGAAAACTGTGAAGTTCATGTATTATGGAAAAAGTGCTGGAAAAGGCAGATAGCTATATGGCTGTAGTATTTGATTTGGGTAGGGACGTGTGGATCAAGTGTTTGCAGTAAATTAAACAATGCTTATATGAGAGTAAGGAGCATAAGAATAATCCCTAATGATAAATGGCATGAAGCTTCTAAATAAAATCAAATTAAGCTCTATACCCAAAATAGTAGTTTCTAAAGAGTAGCTAGGGAGTAAGAGGAATACCTTTGGTCCTGGTAGTCTAGTCAGATTGATGGTGAGTGGCACAATCACTGAAGATCCAAAATAATAAAGCAGCATTTCATTCATCATACGGAAAAATTTGGGGGTCATTCCCGAAAATATGTGAAAAGCAACCATGTATTCTCCTCAAATCGTGATCCTCTTCTGCTGTGAAAGTGCTCCTGTTCCTTGGATTATTATTACAGTGTAATCAAAAGGAAGCACTAAACCTACCAGGGTCATACTGCACTGCAGGGTAGGAGCTGATGCAAGATCTAAGCATAAATAAGGGTGGAGATGACAATAAAGTTAGGAGGGGCTGTGAGGAGTGCTAAAGGAAGGATTATCAAAGTTTGTGTAATAAATTGGGTACTGTCAAAAAGTCAGAGGGAATCTGTGTCAAAGGTGGGTCTGTCAGCAAGGAGGGAAAATAAAGGTGTTAGAGCAGTGACATCGGAGGAAAATTCTGCATGCTTGTTGATATACAGGACAGTCCAACAGAATATGGGAAATTGAAACCAGGAGCTAAACAATTTCTCACAAAGTGGAACAGGTCACCTCCAGAATCTATTGAGCAAGTTAACAAATCAGTAAGAATGCCAGTAGTCATACACATTCAGTTGCCATTCTTGAATCTACTGGCAGCTCCAGTAGTACATCCATCCAAGGTCCTGGCAGGTGGTCACCCAATGTCTCACTAGACCACCTAACATGATCTAATATGAGAACCACCATAGCATTACAAACAAAAGCTACTGTACATTAGAACATAGCTGATTCCTTCCTTTGTCTAGTAGCTGGATTTCACAAAAAAGGAAAATATCATCATTAAGGAGGCCAAAAGAAGAGGAAATAACTGGGGAAGAAGGGAAGAAGTCAGATCCCTCAGATCAAGAGCCCCTTCCCCATAACAAAGGGCCCTCCTTGAAAAAAAAAATGCAGTGTAGTTCCTACAGTACGGAGGCTTAAAGTTAATCAATCACATCACTACTTGTAAAGGTCTAAGGAATAGCAGATTAATTCAGATGGGTGGTTTTGTATTGCCAGTGAAAGGGCACATCATTATTATTACAATCACAGGGAAGCACTAAACCCATAGGATTATACAGCACATGGGGAGGATAGAAGGTAGTCAGGCTCAATTCAGGAAACTGGAGCACAGATCCACTTCCCTAGATCAAGAACCCCCCACCAGCATCAAGGAACCTCCTTCAAGAGGTGTGAAAGGGCACAAACAATCCTCCATCCCATGGAATAATTATAACCACAAACTCACAAAAAAGAAAAATGTAACTAGCAACTTACTATTTTGTTTGTATCTCTGATTTATTATTGCTTTTACATCATTAGTATTACAGTCAATGCAAGCACCAAACCCATAAGGGTCATACAGTGCTGACTATGTACGGATTTACAAATTCAATAAATCTGCAAGATAGTCATCTCCAATCTAAATAATTTGCATAACATTTACCCCACTCAATCCTTACCCCATCAAAATCCACCTGTATATTTTATTTCAAGTGCAACTTTGCATTCATTCACTATATATTCTTATCTATGCTATCTTTTCAATCTGTATGTCTATGTGGCATCAGAACTACCTTGATTGCATCTTTAGCCTAGTTCATAATAATACACCTTCTGTAATACTGCAAATTTAAAAAAGTTTGAAAGCCTGAAGGTAAAGGAGACCAAGAGTTTTCATACATAATTTAATAACCAAGCCAACACTTTTCCTGAATGGAATATGAAATAAGCCACTGTAATACAATAACGTAGTCAACAAGACACACCAGTAAGCCCAAAATGACATGGTTTTATTATTTTTTATAAAAATCCAAATTTTTAGTTCTAGCAATATCACGGATGTATGAACCTCATGAACAGCAGCACTTTCACTAGTACCACAGTATCAAACAGGGCAAGTTAAAGGGTCCTCACCAGAGTAATTCCTTGTAAATCACTTGTATATTCCTAAGTAAATCTTTTACCTTCAGCCATGCACCAATGTGCAGAAAGTTAATCAACAAAGTTCGTGACAACGGCCTTTTGATCTTTGAAAGGTTCCGTCACCACCACCACCAATTGCAGAGGCTGCACCGGAGATAGCCAAGGGATTGAAGACTTCCAGGCGATTACTCGTCCACTATAACCGTTTCCTTCTTGACTAAGAACTCTACAGTTTCTTCCTCAAAGTCATTTTCGTTTGAAGTAAGTGTATCAGTGTCTTGTCCTGTGAAGAGATAATATAGTATATGTATAAAGAATATCAAAAAATGAAAATAACTCATACAATATCCAATAACTTTGTATATACACTCCCTTCCAGACATCACTTTTTATGGAAATGCATGTTGAGAGTCTTTTTAAAAGAATTCAGAGCACAGAAATAGATGCAGAAGGGTTACCCTTTATAATTCAGAGTTTAGGATGGGTCAGTGGGGCTTTTGCGAGGGCATTAGAGTGGAATGAGGAAAGACAAGTGGTTTTTACGACAGTGCAGTTGGCGTGAACAGAATAACATTCATGAAGGATGAATATTCAAGGAAACTGGTTAGCCTGACTTAGAGGGCTGAGAGTGGGAAATAGTGCCTATACTTTAAAAGGGGCGAGGATGTTGCATTTTGGGTCATCTGAACTGCGATGTCAACACTAGGGATAGGATGATGGTGGAGTTTTTGCCAATACCAATATTGTACTCTGTTTTAAGCAGATACAGATATTGATACTGTTAAAATTATCCAATACCCACCAATAATGATACCACCAAAATTAGCAGATACCCACCAGCACCAATACCTACACTCAATTTTAGGCAGACACTGATAACATGATACTAGATTGGAAGAAGTGAATACGTTCAGATACTTCCAAGTGGACTTGTCGGCAGACGGGTCTATGACAGATGAGGTGAACCATAGAATTGAAGGGGAAAAAAATGGTGGGTGGTAAATCAAAACACTATCCATGGAGGCAAAAAGAGAAATGTATGAGAGTATACTGATACACACTTTTATATAGGTGTGAGGCATGGGCTGTGAATGTTGCAGCAAGGTAACGTTTATGAATGGATTCAGAGAAACTAGTTAGCTGGATTTAAGAGTTCTGGAGGTGGGAAATACAGTGCCTACACTCTGAAGGTATGGAGATAATACAGTTTGGAGGGGCATCTGAACAGTAGTATCAGTGCATCTGGCGAGTGGTGAAAGTGTTTCTTCTTTTTCAGGTCACCCTACCTGAATGAGAGATGGCTGGTCTTGGGGGGGGGGGGGGACTTTTCATAGATAACACACTACCATTTTTCCTCCTCCATGTATTCTATGGTTCACAAAATTATACAAAATTATGAATAATGCATTGAATATTTACTTTCATATTCAGCAATAAATTTACCGTTTTTTTCTTTTTCCAACAAGTTTACCGTTATTAATTCTTAAATGACAAAAACTCACCACCACGCAGACAAAGTCTTTGCTCTTTATCATCTTCAAACTTCTCTATCATCTTCTGTCGGTATTCAGTGAAAGTAAGCATCTGCTTTTGACGTTTTTCAATGATTTCCCGACTGGCTTTGCTGTATCGCATTTTGTCTTGCACTTCAAAGCTGGCTGTATATTTCTTCATGTTCTTCTTAATATCCTGAAAGGGCACGATATATTAATACAAGTTAAGATACTAAGATATTACTGTCCTGCCAAGTGAGTGTAAAACGAGAGCCTGTAATTGTTTTACATGGTAGGATTGCTGGTGTCTTGTCTGTCTCATAAATATGCAAGATTACAGGTATGTCTTGCTACTTCTACTTACACTTAGGTCACATTACACATACATGTACACATTTATTTACACACACATCTGAGTTTCCTTTGATTTTATCTTAATAGTTCTTGTTCTTATTACTTTTCCTTTTATATCCATGGGGAAGTGGAATAAGAATCTTTCCTCTGTAAGCCAAGCGTGTTGTAAGAGTTAACTAAAATGCCGGGAACAATGGGCTAGTAACTCCTTTTCCTGTAAAGATTACTAAAAAGAAGGACCTTAAAGATGAACCACTGGCCTCCACGTGGCAAGGTCTGATAACTCGGAGATAACTCCGAGGCTGACAGCGGTCGCAAATAATTTTATGGGAAGTACAATGCCTGCACTTTAAAGGAGGGGTTTGGGATATTGACAGTTTGGAGGGATGTGTTGTGTATCTTTATACGTACATGCTTCTAAACTGTTGTGTTCTGGGAACCTATGCAAAAACAGTAATTATGTATGAGTAAGGTGAAAGTGTTGAATGATGATGAAAGTATTTTCTTTTTTGGTCACCCTGCCTCAGTGGGAGACAGCCAACATGGTAAAAAAAAAAAAAAAAAAATTTACACGCCACACATACACATACAGCCGCTCCTTGACTTACAATGGTGCGACTGAAACATAAGATATATGCCCAGAATGAAGGCGGAAAGTCCGTAACTTTTTTTTTTTTTTTTTCAACAAGTCGGCCGTCTCCCACCGAGGCAGGGTGACCCAAAAAAAGAAAATCCCCATAAAGAAAATGCTTTCATCATCATTCAACACTTTCACCACACTCACACATAATCACTGTTTTTGCAGAGGTGCTCAGAATACAACAGTTTAGAAGCATATACGTATAAAGATACAGCAGGGCCCCGCTTTACGGCGTTCCGCTAATACGGACATTTCAAATTATGACCAAAACTCGCTATACGGCTCCCCCCACCTGTCTTTCTAATACAGTCACAGCTGCCCACCGAGTTTGTTTACATTCTCCCTGAGCACATCTCATTATTATGTCTGGAAACTTTCCAAAATTTCAAGTGTTTTAAAGTTATTGTATATTTTATATGCATTGTACTTGATAATTAAACTTGTGTACACCTGTATCTAAATAAACTTACACACTGTGCTGGCATGTAGGTACACATTAAAATCACTAAGTCTCTCTGCTCTTGATGCAATAATAATAATAATAATATATATAATAATAATAATCTCTGGCGCATTAATGTCGCATATTCGTTAATATAGACATTTCCCTTAATCTATCTATGATATTTTTTTCAAATTATATAAGAAACACATTATGTAACACACAAACATGATACATGCACCCACAGTATAAAAATTTATACAAATATATATGAGATGTTTACCAAACGGTTTGTAAAGTTTCGGAAGAATTACGTTTTCTCTAGCCCGTCACCTGTTACTAGGGATAACTGTAAAAAATATTCCTTTCGTATGCCTTCACTTTATAGCTATAATTCTGTACTAACTTGTACACAGTGTAAGAGTACTTGTTTCGTGATTTAATTATTATAATAATAATAAAAATATTATAAGGTAAAAGTTTCACAAACTCTTACAAATGTACATGAATGAACTAAAACTGGACACGTATTAATACCGTCTATTTCCCTGACCGAGTGATCGTCCACAACCTGTTCAGTTTGTTTGTTTACGCTGTCTGAGCTCGGTGTATCATTAAATGTTGTATATTACGTTAATATACATATTTTCATTAATCCGTGATATTTTTTTCAAAATTATATAATAAACACGATACATAATAAATACATAACATATGTGTAGAGAACCTAGGATAACCCAAAAAAGTCAGAGTGACTTACTTCCATTGCCTTCACTCAGAGCATCATTTCTTCTCAAAATGATGTTACATGAGAATGGGAGTGTTCTTCTTTATTTATTCTACCGTATCAATGTAGAGACAACCTGTACACAATGTAACTTGTACACAAACCAGACGTGTACACTGTTTACAAAACTTACCTTCGCCTGGGTTTTTTTACATAACTCTGCGCCTGTCCTCTCTCATGCACTCATTCTTTCTCTCTGGTATAGTAGCCTGGCTGACTACCATACATACCACACTTGATTTTTTACAATAAATACTACTCATCTCACCCTATATTTTAAGGTAAGTAATTTAGTGAACTGTATATACATTTTATCGCTCTGGGATGCTTAAATATCATAGAATAAATATGTGTGGGTGGGGTGGCCTGGTATGGTAGCCTGGCTGACTACCATACATACCAAACTTGATTTCTTACAATAAATACTACTTGTCTCACCCTAGATTAAGACTATAAATATTTTAAGGTAAGTAATGAGTGCACTATGTGTGTATTGTACTTTTTTATTGTTTTTTTGATGCCTGGTTCTATTGCTAACATAATATATGTTAGTGTAAACTTGTTATCTAGTGTTTGTATGCATTTGTAAGTGGAAAAAAAGGGCGTTCCACTTTACGGCGGTAGCCTGGAACCTAACCCGCCGTATAAGTGGGGCCCTCCTGTACACAACATATCCCTCCAAACTGCCAATATCCCAAACCCCTCCTTTAAAGTGCAGGCATTGTACTTCCCATTTTCAGGACTCAAGTCCGACTATATGAAAATAACCGGTTTCCCTGAATCCCTTCACTAAATATTACCCTGCTCACACTCCAACAGATCGTCAGGTCCCAAGTATCATTCGTCTCCATTCACTCCTATCTAACACGCTCATGCACGCTTGCTGGAAATCCAAGCCCCGTGCCCACAAAACCTCCTTTACCCCCTCTTTCCAACCCTTTCGAGGACGACCCCTACCCCTCCTTCCTTCCCCTATAGATTTATATGCTTTCCATGTCATTCTACTTTGATCCATTCTCTCTAAATGACCAAACCACCTCAACAACCCCTCTTCTGCCCTCTGACTAATACTTTTATTAACTCCACACCTTCCTCTTTCCACACTCCCAAATTCTCATAATTTTTCTCTTATCACCATCTTTACATCATTCCACCATCCTCCCATCTCCTCCTGCCCCCACCCCATAAGCACAATCTTGCCCACATTTTAATATGCATTTATTTAACTTCCACCCCATATAACCCCATTTCATCTTGCACTAGCCCACCTACTCGATTTTTTCCTAATCCAATTACCTCCTCCCTTATAAATCCTATCCCGACTTCACTCCCATACTTTGTTCAAACTTCCTCTTTTCCCATACTCCTCCTCCCAATGTATACCAATTTTTTAATAATGATCCGATATTGATTTCCCTCTATAAACATTACATCACTTGGACTTCCTTAACACTTTTATCCACCAAACTCACTAACCTTTACAATTTTCTTTAGATCATCATACCTGTATATAAAAAGTTTATCTTCATTTCCAATTTTTATTTTACCAAATTTTTATCCCACCCCTCTCAATTAAAGCCCTCACATTTACCATTTACCCATCTAAAATAATTAAACCCCAAGATTACTTAACTCCTCATAAACTCTTTTACCGACATTTAGCCACCTTCTATCCCAACCACCATTACTTCACATTGATTCAAAAAGCTCCCAGCATTATCAACTTTCCCAACATCTCTCTCTCACTCTCCACCTTTCTCCTCATCCACACATTATCCCACTTTTCTACTTCCACTTTATTACATCAATAATTAATTCTACCTTTGAGTCCTATTTCACACTGTACTTAAACTTCAAACATTATTCTACCTCCTACTCAACATTATTGAAACCCACCTAATCCCAATTAATTCTTCCATTAACCTCCAACTCCCTTCAGTTTGTCACACCTAAGCAGGACATTTTCTTTACTTCATAAACTATTCTCTTCTATAATTTTACAAATCCTGACGATTCTTTCACCATTTCCCTTTATCTAAAGCTTTATAATGCTTCGAAAAAGGGGTACTAGCCCATTTTCCCGTCTTTAGTTGACTTTTAACGCATTGTGTTATTTTGTAAAGTATTTTTTATTCACACTGGCCGATACAAAGGAAAAGTGGACCAAAATAAGATAAATTTCAAATAACTCAATAGCTGTTTAAATAAATGTGTAGTTTACGGTGACTAAGTGTAATAAATAGCAAAACATGCCTTCCTTGAATTTAGGAGACATGTACACCATCACCGACTCAATGCAAAACTAGGTTTTAATTTTACCTTCAAATGTTACTTTGTCAATGTCAAGCACGTCGAGTTTAACCATTTGTCTCCATCAATCTAGAATTAAGTCACATGATTTGTTAAGTTTACTTCACATAAAACTCCTTTATTCCCCTCCTCCAACCATTCCTAGTCACCTACCCTGCCATCTTCACTCAACTTGCCTTTAATATTCTGTTGCTGCATGTCTGTCTCACAGTCAACGGCAAACCTTCACAGCCTTGCGCTTCCATGAATCTATTTTGGAATAACCCAACCTCCTCCAACTTCCATGATTACATATATATATATTATTAAATCCAACATTGCCCTCAACTGACATCTCCACTGCCTCCAGCCTTCTCTCGCATGCAACATTCATCACCCAGCTTCAACCCTATAAACGTTGGTAAAATTCTCTATTCTTATTCCATCAATTCCAGACAACTCTTTGTCTTTAAAATACAAATGTTACATAATGTTTCAAGGTGACATTCAATCAGATTCCAAGTCTTACAAACCCATACCTTTACGATCTCCTTTTTTAGCGATGAATTCGTTTACCAATGTTGGTTATCCTGGATAACGTACTTCCTTGTATACTTGAAGTTGTCTTTTGCAAATACAAATTCATCCAACTTAAATAAAACTTCTTCAAATTGCCTTTTTGAAGATATTCTACAATTTAATATACACTAAAGACAAACTAAAGTATAATCCCCACTGCTCATTAAACTTACTTTATGTCCCAACAGACCAGTGCAACAAGCGACCTTCTTGTGATCCCACTACTCCAATCAGTGGCACATTAGTGCTCTTGCTCACTCTAACTTGTGTAAAAGTAGCTTCATTGTCATAAATACTACCTTTTTTTTAATTTAAGTAAGTCTAAAATATGCGGCCATACAGTGCCCAACGAATAGACGCACATCTAGTTCTCATTGTTTAACTGACAATTCCTTGATCCAGGCACTTCTCAGAATTCAAGCAACTCCTCAAAGTTTTTTAAAATTTTCATTAAATCTAACAGTGTCTTCACTTACACTTCTACTTTATATCTCTGCCAAGTTAACTGTCACCATTTTTTTTTTTACCCTATAGCCATGCCTCTAAGCAGTTTGATCAAAAACTAAACTAACCTTTTTCTCTTTTATCACACCCTTTACTTCATCATTCCACCAATCACTCCTCTTCCCTCCTGCCCCCACCCTCCTATAACCACAAACTTCTGCCCCACATTCTAATACTGCATTTTTTAAACTATTCCAACCCTCTTCAACCCCCCCACTACTCATCTTTGCACTAGCCCACCTTTCTGCCAATAGTCGCTTATATCTCGCCCAAACTTCCTCCTCCCTTAGTTTATATGCTTTCACCTCCCTCTTACTTCTTGTTGCCACCTTCCTCTTTTCCCATCTACCTCTTACTCTAACTGTAGCTACGACTAAATAATGATCCGATATATCAGTTGCCCCTCTATAAACATGTACATCCTGGAGCCTACCCATCAACCTTTTATCCACCAATACATAATCTAACAAACTTTCATTACGTGCTACATCATACCTTGTATATTTATTTATCCTCTTTTTCATAAAATATGTATTACTTATTACCAAATTTCTTTCTACACATAGCTCAATTAAAGGCTCCCCATTTACATTTACCCCTGGCACCCCAAATTTACCTACTACTCCATCCATAACATTTTTACCCACTTTAGCATTGAAATCCCCAACCACCATTACTCTCACACTTGATTCAAAACTCCCCACGCATTCACTCAACATTTCCCAAAATCTCTCTCTCTCCTCTACACTTCTCTCTTCTCCAGGTGCATACACACTTACTATAACCCACTTTTCACTTCCAATCTTTATTTTACTCCACATAATCCTTGAATTTATACATTTGTAGTCCCTCTTTTCCTGCCGTAACTTATCTTTCAACATTATTGCTACTCCTCCTCTAGCTCTAACATTATTTGAAACCCCTGACCTAATCCCATTTATTTCTCTCCATTGAAACTCTCCCACCCCCTTCAGCTTTGTTTCACTTAAAGCCAGGACATCCAGTTTCTTCTCATTCATAACATCCACAATCATCTCTTTCTTATCATTTGCACAACATCCATGCACAGACTTCCCACTTTAACAATTTTCTTCTTCTTATTCTTTTTAGTAATCTTTACAGAAAAAGGGGTTACTAGCCCATTGTTCCCGGCATTTTAGTTGACTTTTACAACACGCATGGCTTACGGAGGAAAGATTCTTATTCCACTTCCCCATGGATATAAAAGGAAAAGTAATAAGACCAAGAACTATTAAGATAAAATCAAAGAAAACTCAGATGAGTGTGTATAAATAAATGTGTACATGTATGTGTAGTGTGACCTAAGTGTAAGTAGAAGTAGCAAGACATGCCTGTAATCTTGCAAATTTATGAGACAGACAAAAGACACCAGCAATCCTACCATCATGTAAAACAATTACAGGTTTTCATTTTACACTCACTTGGCAGGATGGTAGTACGTCCCTGGGTGGTTGCTGTCTACCAATATTGGAATTTAGTTAGTCACAGTAATTATTTGTTTATTTACTTATTCAGTGACAGTAGTTATTTATTTACTTACATAGAATATCGTATTCACATTCGACTTGCAATATTTTCAACTTGCCTTTATATCCTGTGCTGTAAGAAGGGATGGAGGTCGTGGTCTCCACAGTAACTGGCAAAACTTGTCCACAGTTTGGCGCTTCAATATTTTTCCTTGGAAAGACCACAACCAGTATGCATTGTCTACCTGATTTACATAATAAATATAGTAAATTATAATATCCAAAATATATACAGCCTCTCCTCACTTAGCAATGTACTCGTTTACCGACGACTTGGACTTACGATGGGCTCTCTGACCAGTATGCATACCTAAATAATGTATATTTCCTCTATTCTGTTTATTACAATATACAGTACACTACTGTATATACTTTTAAAAATATACTAAATGTTATAAATGGTGCAAAGGTGACATTAAAACAATATCAAAGATGGTTGACAAACCCACTACCATTATAGTATGCTCCTTTTTTAGCGATGAATTCGTTTACCAATGTGGTCTTAGGAATGGAACTCCATTGTTAAGTGAGGAGAGGTTGTACTGTAGAAAATTAAGATATTCACCACACAGTGTAAATAAAAACTTTCATCTAAATATGTCCTTTTTGAAGACTATTAGGCTACAAATTAATATCCACTTAAATTTTAAAATGAATAAAGTATAATACAAATCTCATAAGTACTTACTTTATGTCCCCACCAAGAGACACAAGATGCAACATAGCGACCTGTTGGGTCCCATTCAATGTCAGTGGCCATGAAGTGCTCTGTGCTCATCATAACCTTGTTAAGAAGTAAGGTTTCATTTGTATTAAAAATACTTTATTATTATTATATTAAAGTGGAAGTGCTGAACCAGTAGGGGGTCATACAGTGCCTAAGGAATAGGAGGCAATCAGGTTCCATTCAAGGAACAGGACAAGTCCAATTCCTTGGATCAAGAGCCACTCACCAGAATCAAGCAACCTCCCTCAAGGAGTAAAACTTTATAGCAGCACATAACACCACTGTACTTAGTTTTACAGCTTCAAATATTAACTACTGCAAGTTAACTGCACAATTTTTTTTTTTAACACAGCAGCCATCTCCCACCAAGGCAGGATGACCCAAAACAGAAGAAACTAAAGTTTTTCTTCTTTTAACATTTAGAAAATATTTTCTTTCCTTTTCAGTCCAGTGATCTGATCCCCAGACTTCAGTGGCAAAAGGAGTGACTCACCACTGGGCTATTTTTCCACTTCAGTTATATTAAAAATAGTGAAACTTGAAGCTTTTCTGCTTCTTGAAACAAGCATTATTAGTAATAATGCTACTTTTCATGTCCACTGGATAAGGCCCTATACCCCTAGTATACTTGTGTATATATTTAGGAATGAGGAATAAGGTTTCATATATAAATATTTAATGAAAGAATTGTTATTTTTATCACAATAAGAAGTTTACTACATACCATAAAGAAAAGCATTTCTATGAGACTATACACAACAGTCATTCTTTCCAGTTCAGTTTTATCTAATGTTTTCAAAATTCATACCTACATTTCCTAAGCAAGGATCAATGTTAGGTCTCATATTATTCCTACTACATACTAATTACCTGATGACAGGAATTAAATCATAACCTTGTTTGTGGAGGTCAAAATAAAAATGGAAGTGAACAGAAGACTAGATCTTAGGTAGGTGTAATACATTAAAAGGTGATAGTGATCACAGCAATTTAATAAGCACTAACTTCACATCACACAACATACTACACTAACTCTCACCAATATTATGAACTAAAATTAGAATTACAGCCATCACAAAAGATAAATGTGATGAATACGTCTTACCTGGAAATCTTTGGTATCAATAAATTCCAAAGCACCACTCATGTTACGCAGGCCAGCCAGCACCACAAACTGACCCTGAGGTGACCAGAAGAGGTTGTTGCATGGACGTTTTTCTAGCTTCTTAAGTTCTGAAGGAGCCTGGCCTTTGTTGACTTGGAAGAATGTTACATTTACAGTTGGAGGCTCACCACTGATGATACCAAACTTGTTGTTCACTGGCTCCCAAGCAAAGGCCTGCAGAAATTTAGATATAAATCTTTCAACAAGAAGTATTTTTAAATGAAGGTCTTTTAAGTCAAAATATTATCATTAGTGCTACAAAGCATCAAAGTTAGCACAGGAAGATAAAGATTTTTATTGCAATTCAATCTGCAGTTTCTGAAAAAATCAAACCTAACAGACCATAAAGAACAAATACGTATACTGTTAAGGTTATTTGATGAATACCTAATAGCCAGTTAAACTAATTTTAAAGTTAAGAATTTATGAGATTACAACATGTAAGTACCTTTAATATTCATCAATTTTTTTTATACATAAAATCAATAACCTTCAAAGAACTAAATACCTGTATATTTTCCTTTATTTCTAAACTATCAACCGGAATGCCTTTCTCTCTCATGTGAAAAATTTCAAAGTTGTAGTAGATACCAGAGTACTTTATTTCATTCTTCTCACGTTTGGCCTTGGCATATCTGGCAACCTTAACACACAGGTAATCACCACACTTTTGCCAGTGCATCTTGCAGTCTGCCACATTAAACAAATTCTTGGTACGAGTCTGTAAAAATTCAAGTGGGCAAATAACAATAATATACATGCCTACTAAAATATAATTTTTTTTTTTTTTCAACAAGTCGGCCGTCTCCCACCGAGGCAGGGTGACCCAAAAAAAAAGAAAAGATCCCCAAAAAGAAAATACTTTCATCATCATTCAACACTTTCACCACACTCGCACATTATCACTGTTTCTGCAGAGGTGCTCAGAATACAACAGTTTAGAAGCATACACATATAAAGATACACAACATATCCCTCCAAACTGCCAATATCCCAAACCCCTCCTTTAAAGTGCAGGCATTGTACTTCCCATTTCCAGGACTCAAGTCCGACTATATAAAAATAACCGGTTTCCCTGAATCCCTTCACTAAATATTACCCTGCTCACACTCCAACAGATCGTCAGGTCCCAAGTACCATTCGTCTCCATTCACTCCTATCTAACACGCTCACGCACGCTTGCTGGAAGTCCAAGCCCCTTGCCCACAAAACCTCCTTTACCCCCTCTCTCCAACTCTTTCGAGGACGACCCCTACCCCGCCTTCCTTCCCCTATAGATTTATATGCTTTCCATGTCATTCTACTTTGATCCATTCTCTCTAAATGACCAAACCACCTCAACAACCCCTCTTCTGCCCTCTGACAAATACTTTTATTAACTCCACACCTTTTCCTAATTTCCACACTCTGAATTTTCTGCATAATATTTACACCACACATTGCCCTTAAACAGGACATCTCCACTGCCTCCAACTTTATTTATTAAAAGCTGTGGGATGATTAAGCATGTTAAAGTTTAAGAACACAAGCATAAAAACTGGCAATAATAATCCTCTAACAAAACTGCTTAGGTGGCAAATAAAGGCTTCATAATTAACCCTTCAACTGTGTCAGACATACTAGTACGCAAATGATATCTGTGTACTAGTGCGTATGTACATTTTTTTGTTCCTTCAAATCTGCCACCTGCCAATATTTTTGATCTCAGCACAACTTTTTGTATCTTCTTTTAACCCCTTTGCTGACTGTACCATTGTACTACACCTTTGAGTTCACTGGCCGTGCTGTAGTACGTGAGGAGCTCAGCTCACTCAGATAAGCTGTGAGCAGTAAATCTGGGCCTAGTTATGAGAGAATGGGTTGATGCAATAAGTGTGCACCATATAAAAAATATTCTGCAGCACGCAGTGCATGGGAAAAAAAACCGTGACCGTGTTTTTGGTATAAAACAGCAATTTTGCGGTGTATTTTCTTATGGTTTTTATGGTTGTATTCTCAAGTTTCTTGGTTTTGTCTGATAGAATGGAAGATATATTACAGAAATAAGAGATGATTTTGATTGGTTTTAGGATGGAAAATAGCTTGAAATTGAGCTTGAAGTAGCAGAAATGTTTGATTTTTGCAGATGTTCAAGAGTAAACAAATCACATCACGCATCCAATACACATCAACTGGTAGGTTTATTATACAGTCACAAATGAACTGATATTATTTATACAATTATTACAATACTGCATTAACAGTAAATCTTCTATTTTCGTGTGAATAAAAAATCAAAATGGAATTCATGTGTCAAGCATGGAAACGTAACTAATGAACAGAGGAAATGTTATTTTAGTGTCAGGAATGCCTGTATTGTTTATTCTGGGCCCTATTTTGAAATTGGAATATTTTGAAATTTGTGTGAAACTGGCCAAATTGAAATAGTTGACTGGGTGATTTCCTTGTGCTCAGTTGATAAAATGGGAGACATACTTGCGAAATAGCTAAGAATTTGGTCAACTGGAACAATGTAATTGGCCTAAAGCAGGACTCAAAGTGGGCAAAACTGCCAATGCATAAATATTGCTGACAGCAAAATTTATGAAAACGTAATTTTGTCAATTTTTTTTTTTTTATCAAATTTCATACTTTGTTTTATTACCTTCAGCAAAGTTTCTCTACCATTTCGTAAGAAATTCTGTATTTTTTCTTAAAGTCTTGGACATTGTGGTCAAGTTTCAGATTAGGGGTCTGGATAGTGAACGGTTTAATCTATTCATACATTTAAAAAAATCTAAGGCCAGGAGGGTCAACACTTTTTTTTTTTTTTCAACAAGTTGGCCATCTCCCACCGAGGCAGGGCGAGCCAAAAAGAAAGAAAATCCCCAAAAAGAAAATACTTTCATTCAACACTTTCACCTCACTCACACAATCACTGTTTTTGCAGAGGTGCCCAGAATACAACAGTTTAGAAGTATACATGTATAAAAATACACAATATAACCCTCCAAACTGCCAATATCTCAAACCCCTCCTTTAGAGTGCAGGCATTGTACTTCCAATTTCCAGGACTCAAGTCCAGTTATATAAAATAACCGGTTTCCCTGAATCCCTTCACTAAATATTACCCTGCTCACACTCCAACAGCTCGTCAGGTTCCAAATATCATTTGTCTCCATTCACTCCTATCTAACACACTCGCACACGCTTGCTGGAAGTCCAAACCCCTCGCCCACATCACCACCTTTACCCCCTCCCTCCAACCTTTTCGAGGACGACTCCTACCCCGCCTTCCTTCCCCTTCAGATTTATACACTCTCCATGTCATTCTACTTTGATCCTTTCTCTCTAAATGACCAAACCACCTTAACAAACCCTCTTCAGCCCTCTTACTAATACTTTTATCAACTCCACATCTTCTAATTTCCACACTCCGAATTTTCTGCATAATATCTACACCACACACTGCCCTTAGACAGGACATCTCCACTGCCTCCAACCGCCGCCTCGCTGCAGCATTTACAACCCAAGCTTCACAACCATATAAGAGTGTTGGTATTACTATACTTTCATACATTCCCTTCTTTGCCTCCATAGATAACATTTTTTGCCTCCACATATGCCTCAATGCACCACTCACCTTTTTTCCTTGATCAATTCTATGATTAACCTCATCCTTCATAAATCCATCCACTGACACGTCAACTCCCAAATATCTGAAAACATTCACTTCTTCCATGCTCCTCCTCCACAATTTGATATCCAATTTTTCTTTAAATCATTTGATACTCTCATCACCTTACTCTTTTCTATGTTCACTTTCAACTTTCTACCTTTACACACACACACACTCCGAAATTTGTCCACTAACCTTTGCAATTTTTCTTTAGAATCTCCTATAAGCATAGTATCATCAGCAAAAAGTAACTGTCATTTCCCATTTTGTATTTAATTCCCCATAATTTAATCCCACCCCTCTCCCAAACACCCTAGCATTTACTTCTTTTACAACCCCATGTATAAATATATTAAACAACCATGGTGACATTACACATCCCTGTCTAAGACCTACTTTCACCGGGAAATAGTCTCCCTCTCTTCTACACACCCTAACCTGAGTCTCACTATCCTCATACAAACTCTTTACAGAATTTAGTAACTTACCACCTATTCCATATACTTGCAACATCTGCCACATTGCTTCCCTATCCACTATCATATGCCTTTTCTAAATCTATAAATGCAATAAAAACTTCCCTACCTTTCTCTAAATACTGCTCACATATATGCTTCAATGTAAACACTTGACCTACACATCCCCTACCCACTCTAAAACCTCCTTGCTCATCCACAATTCTACATTCTGTCTTACCTCCAATTCTTTCAATAATAATCCTACCGTACACTTTTCCTGGTATACTCAGTGAACTTATTCCTCTATAATTTTTACAATCTCTTTTGTCCCCCTTCCCTTTATATAAAGGGACTATGCACGCTCTCTGCCAATCCCTAGGTACCTTCCCCTCTTTCATACATTTATTAAACAAAAATACCAACCATTCCAACACTATGTCCCCCCCCCCCTGCTTTTAACATTTCTGTCATGATCCTGTCAGTTCTAGCTACTTTACCTCCTTTCATGGCTAATTACTCAGATGACTATCTGAAGTACTAGTACATTTACCTAGAATAAGTAAACAATAAAATGAGGATCTAATCAGGATCTGATGTTCCTCCATCAGCTTTCCTTCGAGCAAGCAAGGCACGGAAGAGGCATAAAGATTATTTATTCAAAATTTATTACAATTTCATGATAATAACAATAGAATTCAGCCACTAAGTATATTTAACCCAGGATAACCCTGCAGTCAATATGAAATATTCCCATATTTTTAGGTTTATTACACTGCAACAATTGTAATATTTTAAGTATTCCCTGTACATGGCCTTTAAAGATTCAAAATAGTAAAAAAAACAAGAGGATAAAAACAGTTATACCATATATTCCAAGTGAAGCAGTGTTGGGCTAAGCATTTCTGCAAGTCTGAAGTGCTAAAACACCATTAAACACATTTAATACAAGAAACTACTGAACATATTATACAGTGAAACCTCAGCTTTCGTATGTCCTAGTTTGTACGTAAAACTATGGTTCTTCTCTATAAAATGTATTTTTTGTTAATATTTTTGGGCGTCTGGAATGGATTAATTGGATTTACATTATATCTTACAGGAAATATTAACCAGAATACATTTTATAGAGAAGAACTATAGTTTTACATACAAACTAGGGCATATGAAAACAGGTTCCACTATATTGTTAAACATTAAAGGAAATAAAATAAACAAAAAAATCTTGGTATCAATAAATTTTAAACATTGCAAGTGCATTTATGTCGCTAGTGCGCCCGGAATCAGCTGGAGATAAAAAGAAAAAAAAAAAGGAAAAAATTTATCAATCAGAAACAAATACATTTGAGTGGAGAGAGAAACAGACAATTTGAGAATGACATAACCAACCAAAGCCAAATTTGAACCAAATCTTACCACAGAATATGAATAACAAAATAGTAAATGTGTGTGGGTTATTCAGCATTTTATAGCAAGAGTGAGATGGATGGTCAAAAGAGGTCAAGTGCCATGAGTGAGCAAAGGATAAATGGCAAACGTAACATTTGGTGCAGTACAGCATACGATTTTCAGTTAAAGTATCAAAATCTGCATTACAAGCAATACTTCTAGAGAAGGGGAGACAAAGTTACTTACTTCTTCTCGGCTTGGAATTGAGACGAGCGACACTTTAGCAGGAACATCTTTATCTTCAGCAATCCAGTAAGCCAAAATATTGTCTGTTGGAGACCAACTGAAGTCCTTGATTCCCAAAACCTTGATACTCTTCTTGTCCAGTAAACCAAATGACTGAAGAAAAGAATCCAAATTAAATCTAGTAGTACTGTTCTTTGTGCTAGTAATACAGAGAATTTATGTAAATTGCATTATGTAAGCATGAGCAGAAAAATTAGTGGTAACGTCAAAATAAGACAGCAACTGCTACCAATTAATTTTTTTTTTTTTTATCACACTGGGCGATTCCCACCAAGGCAGGGTGGCCCAAAAAAAGAAAAACTTTCACCATCATTCACTCCATCACTGTCTTGCCAGAAGGGTGCTTTACACTACAGTTTTTAAACTGCAACATTAACACCCCTCCTTCAGAGTGCAGGCACTGTACTTCCCATCTCCAGGACTCAAGTCCGGCCTGCCGGTTTCCCTGAACCCCTTCATAAATGTTACTTTGCTCACACTCCAACAGCACGTCAAGTATTAAAAACCATTTGTCTCCATTCACTCCTATCAAACACGCTCACGCATGCCTGCTGGAAGTCCAAGCCCCTCGCACACAAAACCTCCTTTACCCCCTCCCTCCAACCTTTCCTAGGCCGACCCCTACTCCGCCTTCCTTCCACTACAGACTGATACACTCTTGAAGTCACTCTGTTTCGCTCCATTCTCTCTACATGTCCGAACCACCTCAACAACCCTTCCTCAGCCATCTGGACAACAGTTTTGGTAATCCCGCACCTCCTAACTTCCAAACTACGAATTCTCTGCATTATATTCACACCACACATTGCCCTCAGGCATGACATCTCCACTGCCTCCAGCCTTCTCCTCGCTGCAACATTCATCACCCGAGGAGAAGGCTGGAGGCAGTGGAGATGTCATGTCTGAGGGCAATGTGTGGTGTGAATATAATGCAGAGAATTCGTAGTTTGGAAGTTAGGAGGTGCGGGATTACCAAAACTGTTGTCCAGAGGGCTGAGGAAGGGTTGTTGAGGTGGTTCGGACATGTAGAGAGAATGGAGCGAAACAGAGTGACTTCTCATGACTAGAACAACTGTTAATATAAATGAGATACTACACAGCTAACATAACCACAATTTCTTTAAAGCATCTATGCATTTTTTTTTAATATTCTAGCTTCCCAGAATTCCCTAATTTGTCATTAAAATTTAGTTTAAATAACTTTATAGTGATATCTAAACTGGTGTATCTAGCATGCCTCTAGCAAGGCAGTGATAGTGTGAATGATGGTGAAAGTGTTTCTTTTTCGGGAGATGGCCAGCGTGTTTAGAAAACTAGCAGAAATGAGTTGATAAACATGAAGACAATGAAGATCACTCCTAGATACCATTATGTTCATAAGAAATGCTAAACCTAAACATCATAGCATCTCAGGGATAGTAAGCAGTCAAGTTTAATCTAAAGCAGGGGATAGTAACTCCAATTTCTTAAAGAGCCCTGCATCACCATAAAGGTAAACATCTTGAAGAGCCATTTCTAAATACTACTAGCAATTTAGTTAAAAAAAACAGCATTAAAAGTAGTTACAGCAGAAGTGGGTGGGGATCAAGTACTTTTTCCTTTTGTATTCACTAATGTGAAATTCTAGACATTTGCAAGATTTTTTAAATGCTTAATGTGAATCGCTAGAATATACAATGTAAAGTTGAACTGTAGACAGATGGAAAATGGTTTAAAGTGCTCTGTCATCTCTCACAAGCTAGATTTTAATTTCCCAAGGAGTTTAATATTTTAGGATATTGGTTTCTCTGAAATGTTTGATTTAAATTTGGACGGCAACCGTCTCAAATTTACAACTCGTATGATAGGAATTTGCATGCATTTCCTTGACAATTGAATGCCTCTTCTGAATCCCTTTAAATCTTCAACACTGATATTTAACTATTAATTTATGCTGCACTCTGTGGGATAAAATAAAATACATCTAGTCATTACATTTTTTTTTTTTTCAACAAGTCGGTCGTCTCCCACCGAGGCAGGGTGACCCAAAAAAGAAAGAATCCCCAAAAAGAAAATACTTTCATCATCATTCAACACTTTCACCACACTCACACATTATCACTGCTTTTGCAGAGGTGCTCAGAATACAACAGTTTAGAAGCATATACGTATAAAGATACACAACATATCCCTCCAAACTGCCAATATCCCAAACCCCTCCTTTAAAGTGCAGGCATTGTACTTCCCATTTCCAGGACTCAAGTCCGACTATATGAAAATAACCGGTTTCCCTGAATCCCTTCACTAAATATTACCCTGCTCACACTCCAACAGATCGTCAGGTCCCAAGTATCATTCGTCTCCATTCACTCCTATCTAACATGCTCATGCACGCTTGCTGGAAGTCCAAGCCCCTCGCCCACAAAACCTCCTTTACCCCTTCTTTCCAACCCTTTCGAGGACGACCCCTACCCCTCTTTCCTTCCTCTATAGATTTATATGCTTTCCATGTCATTCTACTTTGATCCATTCTCTCTAAATGACCAAACCACCTCAACCCCTCTTCTGCCCTCTGACTAATGCTTTTATCAACTCCACACCTTCTCCTAATTTCCACACTCCAAATTTTCTGCATAATATTTACACCACACATTGCCCTTAGACAGGACATCTCCACTGCCTCCAACCGTCTCCTCGCTGCTGCATTTACCACCCAAGCTTCACATCCATATAAGAGTGTTGGTACTACTATACTTTCATACATTCCCTTCTTTGCCATGGAAAAAAGCACAAACTCTTACAATTCAGTCTCCAATACATAATTCTGTAAAAATAGTCATATATCTATACTAAGTAAAAAAATTAAACCCAGTAAATTTAATGTCCTCACTCCCAGGAAAAAAAGGCATTTTACAATTAACTTTTTCTGGCCATGTTTATGGAAATAACTGACAATGAAAAGTGGCATCATACCCATCTTTACTGGGTTTCAAGATTTTTTAAACAAATCTTCAGTCGGCAAACCTTAGGTCAAGTACAGTGATGAATAACTCCAAGAGTAATAGTTTACATTATGTGGAATAGCTATAATTTATACTTTAACTTACTGGAGTTTCATATACACTCAAAACATCTTCACCAATTCTTGCAAAATACTTGTCATCATTAGACCACTTGAATACTGGCCAAACTGGTGGTCTCTCAGCATTAAAGGCTCGTTTCTTCAGGCCTGAGCGAACATCCCAAACAATGATAGACTGAGGCTCTTCAGATCGTTGGTCTACATGTGGTGAGAAAGTCACAATGTACCTGTGGGTTAAAGTAACCATTAATACAAACACATACAGCTTGTCTATGAATTTTTATTTTTTTTCAGAAAACCTCAAGCCTTAAGACCATTATTTTTCTTCTAGCACAATTTTTTAATTATGCATGAATAAATATTCATTCATACCTTATTCCAATACTTACTTTTCACAAGGAGAGAAATCAATGAACTGAACACCTGGATGACTGAACTTCTGAACTTGACGAAATTCTTCTCCACCCCAGAGAGCAATACCTTTACCATGAAATGTAGCCAGGTAAGTTCCCCTTGGTGACCATCGTACATAAGTCTCCGTCCATCTCTATAAAAAAAAAAAATCCTTTCATAATTAAGCATAATGCTTATTTATAATACAAATGAAGCAAATAACATTTATACCGTCTCTGTACCATAAAATACAAGCACAGACTCACCTCTCTCTTTGCTACCTCTATAGCTTCTGGAACAGCATTTAGGTAAATAGCAGTAGTAGTACCGCCATCATAGATAATTGAAAACTGGTCAAAGCAGTTTTCATCAAGCAGATAGTAACTCATATTTCCCATATCCTGAAAATCACAATCACATTAAAGACATATGCCAATATTCAACATCTTATTCAGCCTAGCCTGTTAAATGATCACAAAATATCAAAACTGTCTGCCTGCAGGGTAAATAACAGTTTGACCAAATATACCATACTCTAAAGTGATTAATTTTAAACTTTATTAATATGCTTGAATTTTTAAATATAGCCTCTCCTCACTTGGCGACGTAATCATTTGACAACGCCTCCGACTTATGACAGGTTCTCTGACCAGTATGCATTGGCTATATAATGTATATTAGAGCCGAGTTCCTCTATTCTTTATTACAATATACAGTACACTACTGTATAAACATTTAAAAGTAGTATACCACAAATGTTATAAATGGTGCAAAGGTGACATTAAAACAATATCAAATATAGTTGACACAAACACACTACCATTAAATGCTCCTCACTTAGCGACGAATTTGTTTACCAATGTGGTTTAGGAATGGGACTCCATCATTAAGTGAGGAGAGGCTGTAACTATTTATCTGTTACTAATGAATAGTAACATATAACATCTTTGAACTTAAATGTACTAGTATAGTAAGCCCTCATTTAACAGATTTCAGAAATACAAGACAAACTCTATTGGGTCAACTGAGTCAGAAATAGCAAAGTCTACTGGTTTTAGTGCTGTCTGATATTGCTAAAATTATGGCTGAACCACCTCAACTCAATTAACCACAATCAATGTTACCAGCCACACACACACTCTTCACTAGATTATTAAACTGAAGGTTTACTTCATACAAATTTCCATCGTATGAATAATAAAAACATCTACATACTTTGTATGGTTGGGGTACAGGCGCAACAAATTCTTCAGGAATATCTTCGTACTTGTCAAAATCAGTGAAAAGATTGCACAGAAAAGTATGCTGCTTGTCAAGTTTGTAGTTGTTGCGCTGTCTGACTGCCTCATCAGCAGCAGCTCTATCCTTAAACTCAAGAAAGATGTATCTGTTCACAGAAAAATAAAACCATGAGAGTTTTGTATATGGTACACAAAAGTAAAAGGCAGCAACAATATTTTCAGAAAAAGTACCCAATAATAAATTTGTCCATCAACACTTGGAAACCAACTAAAACACCCTACATGTGAAATTACACAGCTAAATAGGAAGATTTCAGTGATCAATTATTACAAGATAAAATGAAAGTTCTAAGAACAGCAATATAGTTTGAAATCAAATATGTAATAAATACCAAAGGCAGTATACTGCTGGGGATGAAGTTCTATTCACCTCCCACTCTGCATACTTCCTTTCTCTGTAGACTTTACTCCACTTCCCTAGGATTGGCACTATATATATATATATATATATATATATATATATATAATATATATATATATATATATACAGTGGACCCCCGGTTAACGATATTTTTTTCACTCCAGAAGTATGTTCAGGTGCCAGTACTGACCGAATTTGTTCCCATAAGGAATATTGTGAAGATTAGTCCATTTCAGACCCCCAAACATACACGTACAAACGCACTTACATAAATACACTTACATAATTGGTCGCATTCGGAGGTGATCGTTATGCGGGGGTCCACTATAAAAAAAAAAAAAAATATATATACAGTGGACCCCCGCATAACGATGGCATCGCATAGCGATTTTTCCGCATAACGATTACTTTTATCGCAAAATTTTTGCCGCGCATACCGATTAAAAACCCGCATACCGATTTTCGTCCGAGACGCGTCCAATGTGCCCTCAGCCAGCCTCACATGTGCCGCTCCGTCCCATTGTTTACCAGCCAGCCTCCGCGGTAACATCCAAGCATACACTCGGAATATTTCGTATTATTACAGTATTTTCGGTGCTGTTTCGGGAAAAAATAAGTGACCATGGGCCCCAAGAAAGCTTCTAGTGCCAACCTGTGGTAAAAAGGGTGAGAATTAGTATGGAAATTAAGAAAGATTTTGAAGGGTTTGGGGCTAACCCTGAGAAGCCTATGCCAGTTGTGGAATCCATTGTGCCTACTTCAAAGATAAGGAAATGTGTGCACAGTGGGTTGAACTGCAAACCTTTATAGATGAAAATCACCCTGACACAGCTGTTGCAAGCCGTGCTGGTGACTATTTCAATGACAATGTTGTGGCCCATTTTAGACAAATCGTAAAGGAACGGGAGGTACAGAGCTCTATGGACAGATTTTTTTGTGCGACAGAGGTCCAGTGACTCTCAAGCTGGTCCTAGTGGCATTAAAAGAAGAAGGGAAGTAACCCCGGAAAAGGACTTGCTACCTCAAGTCGTAATGGAAGGGGATTCCCCTTCTAAACAGTAAGAAGATAATGCTCTCCCCTCCTCCCATCCCATCAATCATCACCAATCTTAAATAAAAGTAAGGTCATTTAATTGTGCATGCCTTTTTCAGTTTGTGTGTATTAAAATTAACATTTCATGTGGTAAAAAAAATTTTTTTTTCATACTTTTGGGCGTCTTGCACGGATTAATTTGATTTCCATTATTTTCTTATGGGGAAAATTCATTCGCATAACGATTATTTCGCATAACGATGAGCCTCTTGCACGGATTAAAATCGTTAACCGGGGGTCCACTGTATATATATTATATATATTAAAATATATATATTTTTTTTTTTTTCAACAAGTCGGCCGTCTCCCACCGAGGCAGGGTGACCCAAAAAAGAAAGAAAATCCCCAAAAAGAAAATACTTTCATCATCATTCACACTTTCACCCCACTCGCACATTATCACTGTTTTTGCAGAGGTGCTCAGAATACAACAGTCTAGAAGCATACACATATAAAGATACACAACATATCCCTCCAAACTGCCAATATCCCAAACCCCTCCTTTAAAGTGCAGGCATTGTACTTCCCATTTCCAGGACTCAAGTCCGACTATATGAAAATAACCGGTTTCCCTGAATCCCTTCACTAAATATTACCCTGCTCACACTCCAACAGATCGTCAGGTCCCAAGTACCATTCGTCTCCATTCACTCCTATCTAACACGCTCACGCACGCTTGCTGGAAGTCCAAGCCCCTTACCCACAAAACCTCCTTTACCACCTCTCTCCAACCCTTTCGAGGACGACCCCTACCCCGCCTTCCTTCCCCTATAGATTTTTTATGCTTTCCATGTCATTCTACTTTGATCCATTCTCTCTAAATGACCAAACCACCTCAACAACCCCTCTTCTGCCCTCTGACTAATACTTTTTTTAACTCCACACCTTCTCCTAATTTCCACACTCCGAATTTTCTGCATAATATTTACACCACACATTGCCCTTAAACAGGACATCTCCACTGCCTCCAACCGTCTCCTCGCTGCTGCATTTACCACCCAAGCTTCACACCCATATAAGAGTGTTGGTACTACTATACTTTCATACATTCCCTTCTTTGCCTCCATAGATAACGTTTTTTGACTCCACATATACCTCAACGCACCACTCACCTTTTTTCCCTCATCAATTCTATTAACCTCATCCTTCATAAATCCATCCGCCGACACGTCAACTCCCAAGTATCTGAAAACATTCACTTCTTCCATACTCCTCCTCCCCAATTGATATCCAATTTTTCTTTATTTAAATCATTTGACACCCTCATCACCTTACTCTTTCTATGTTCACTTTCAACTTTCTACCTTTACACACATTCCCAAACTCATCCACTAACCTTTGCAAATTTTTCTTTAGAATCTCCCATAAGCACAGTATCATCAGCAAAAAGTAACTGTGTCAATTCCCATTTTGAATTTGATTCCCCATAATTTAATCCCACCCCTCTCCCAAACACCCTAGCATTTACTTCCTTTACAACCCCATCTATAAATATATTAAACAACCATGGTGACATTACACATCCCTGTCTAAGACCTACTTTTTACCGGGAAGTAGTCTCCTCTCTTCTACACACCCTAACCTGAGCCTCACTATCCTCATAAAAACTCTTTACAGCATTAATAACTTACCACCTATTCCATATACTTGCAACATCTGCCACATTGCTCCTCTATCCACTATCATATGCCTTTTCTAAATCCATAAATGCAATAAAAACTTCCCTATCTTTATCTAAATACTGTTCACATATATGCTTCAATGTAAACACCTGATCTACACATCCCCTACCCACTCTAAAACCTCCTTGCTCATCCGCAATCCTACATTCTGTCTTACCTCTAATTCTTTCATTATAACCCTACCGTACACTTTTCCTGGTATACTCAGTAGCTTATTCCTCTATAATTTTTACAGTCTCTTTTGTCCCCTTTCCCTTTATATAAAGGGACTATACATGCTCTCTGCCAATCCCTAGGTACCTTCCCCTCTTTCATACATTTATTAAACAAAAGTACAACCACTCCAACACTATATCCCCCCTGCTTTTAACATTTCTGTCCCTGATCCCATCAGTTTCCCGCTGCTTTCCCCTTTCATTTTACGTAATGCCTCGCGTACCCCCCCACATTTACTTCTCCTTTTCACTCCTAAAAGATGGTATACCCCCCCTACCATGCATGAAATTACTGCCTCTGTTTCTTCCTTAACATTTAAAAGTTCCTCAAAATATTCTCGCCATCTACCCAATACCTCCATCTCCCCATCTACTAACTCCCCTACTCTGTTTTTAACTGACAAATCCATATTTTCCCTAGGCTTTCTTAACTTGTTTAACTGACAGTGCCTCTCCAAATTTTTTCTTATTTTCATTAAAATTTCTTGACAGTGCCTCTCCCACTCTATCACTGCTCTCCTTTTGCACTCTCTCACCACTCTCTTTACCTTTCTTTTACTCTCCATATACTCTGCTCTTCTTATAACACTTCTGCTTTGTAAAAACCTCTCATAAGCTACCTTTTTCTCTTTTATCACACCCTTTACTTCATCATTCCACCAATCACTCCTCTTTCCTCCTGCCCCCACCCTCCTATAACCACAAACTTCTGCCCCACATTCTAATACTGCATTTTTAAAAACTATTCCAACCCTCTTCAACCCCCCCACTACTCATCTTTGCACTAGCCCACCTTTCTGCCAATAGTCGCTTATATCTCACCCGAACTTTCTCCTCCCTTAGTTTATACACTTTCACCTCCCTCTTACTTGTTGTTGCCACCTTCCTCTTTTCCCATCTACCTCTTACTCTAACTGTAGCTACAACTAAATAATGATCCGATATATCAGTTGCCCCTCTATAAACATGTACATCCTGGAGCCTACCCATCAACCTTTTATCCACCAATACATAATCTAATAAACTACTTTCATTACGTGCTACATCATACCTTGTATATTTATTTATCCTCTTTTTCATAAAATATGTATTACTTATTACCAAATTTCTTTCTACACATAGCTCAATTAAAGGCTCCCCATTTACATTTACCCCTGGCACCCCAAATTTACCTACTACTCCTTCCATAACATTTTTACCCACTTTAGCATTGAAATCCCCCAACCACCATTACTCTCACACTTGATTCAAACTCCCCACGCATTCACTCAACATTTCCCAAATCTCTCTCTCTCCTCTACACTTCTCTCTTCTCCAGGTGCATACACGCTTATTATAACCCACTTTTCACATCCAATCTTTATTTTACTCCACATAATCCTTGAATTAATACATTTATAGTCCCTCTTTTCCTCCCATAGCTTATCCTTCAACATTATTGCTACTCCTTCTTTAGCTCTAACTCTATTTGAAACCCCTGACCTAATCCCATTTATTCCTCTCCACTGAAACTCTCCCACCCCCTTCAGCTTTGTTTCACTTAAAGCCAGGACATCCAGCTTCTTCTCATTCATAACATCCACAATCATCTCTTTCTTATCATCTGCACAACATCCACGCACATTCAGACTTCCCACTTTGACAAATTTCTTCTTCTTATTCTTTTTAGTAATCTTTACAGGAAAAGGGGTTACTAGCCCATTGTTCCCGGCATTTTAGTTGACTTTTACAACACGCATGGCTTACGGAGGAAAGATTCTTATTCCACTTCCCCATGGATATAAAAGGAAAATTAACCCTTTCAGGGTCCGTCCCGTAGATCTACGGCTTTATGTTCAGGGTCCAAACCGTAGATCTACGCCATGAGCTCAGCTCACTCTGATAAACTGTGAGTGGTACATTTGGGCCTAGATATGAGAGAATACATCTATGTGGTATGTGCGCACCACATAAAACAGATCCTGCAGCACACTGTGTATAATGAGAGAAAAAAAATGAAATCATGATTTTTCGATTAAAACAGCAACTTTGCAGTGTTTTTTCGTATGTTTTTTATAGTTGTATTTGCGATTTCTTGGTCTCATTTGATAGAATGGAAGACATATTACAGAAATAGAGATGATTTTGATTGGTTTTAGCACTGGAAATGGCTTGAAACTGAGCTCAAAGTAGCAGAAATGTTAAATTTTTGCCAATATTCAAGAGTAAACAAACGACCTCACAATTCTAATACACGCCACCTGGTGGGTCTAATATACATTCACAAATATGGTGATGATATTTATACAATTATTACAGTATTGCATAACAGTAAATCTTCTATTTTTTGTGTGAATAAAAATTCATTATGTGAATAAAAAATCAAAATGGAATTTATTTGTAAAGCCTCAAAACATAACTAATGAACAGAGGAAATGGTAGTTTAGTGCCAGGAATGCCTACATTGTTCATTCTGGACCCTATTTTGAAATTGGAATATTTTGAACTTTGTGTTAAATTGGCCAAATTAACAATTTCCGATCACTTTATTTTGTAGTTGAAACAGTTGACTTGGCGATTTCTTGTGCTCAATCGATAGAATAGAAGTAATACTAGTGAAATAGCTAAGAATTTGGTTGATTGGAATAATGTAATTGGCCTAAAATGGGAGTCAAAGTCGGCAAAATCGCCGATTCGTAAATATCGCTGACACATCAAAATTCGCGAGAGCATAATTTCGTCAATTTTCCACCAAATTTCGTACTTTTTGTTTTATTACCTTCACAAAAAGATTCTCTACGATTTCATAAGAAAAAATAACAAATTTTTTTTTTGAAAATTCTTGGACACTGGTGCGTGACTCCAGATTTGGGCCTTGGACCCTGAAAGGGTTAATAAGACCAAGAACTATTAAGATAAAATCAAAGAAAACTCAGATGAGTGTGTATAAATAAATGTGTACATGTATGTGTAGTGTGACCTAAGTGTAAGTAGAAGTAGCAAGACATGCCTGTAATCTTGCATATTTATGAGACAGACAAAAGACATCAGCAATCCTACCATCATGTAAAACAATCACAGGCTTCGTTTTACACTCACTTGGCAGGACGGTAGTACCTCCCTGGGTGGTTGCTGTCTACCAACCTACTACATACATACACATATATATACATATATACATATATATATACATACATACATACATACATACATATACATACATACATACATTCAACCTTTACATATATTTGATGCTTCATTGCTATATTTTCTCTCCCATGTACTACCTCTAATCCTAGTGGATATACACATTGGATATTGCAAACCTCTCAGTACAAAACATTTAAACAAGATTACAGTTTTCACTTGATTAATAGGACAGTAGACCTACCAAAGCATCTCTTTAGTGGTACATGAAAAAAATGAGGACAAATCGAAAGAAAAGAAACACCTACCCTTTTGTCTTGCCATCTTCATTTGTGGGATAGAATTCGTTGATGATGGTGCCGAACTCCTTGAAAATCTTACGAACCACATTCTTCAGCTTCTCTAGCCTCTCTGCTCCAACTGATGGCACACCATCAACAATGATGACAGACTCCACACCATCAGTTTCCTTTGGCTTTTGGCGAAGCAAATCTCCCAGAAGTTCTGATTGCAAATGTAAAAATAAAATGTACAAGTTTGCATACAGTATAAAGTAATTCCTACTTAAAATATAATCAGTATATAGAGTACATGTACTTCGTATGTTGGCATACCTTCAAGAACTTACATCAGAAAGCAAGAAAAATTTGCACCTGGTTTCATGTTGGTGAAGAATCACTTTAAGTTGCTTACCTGCACAAATGCAACAGGCAATTTTGAGTAAGCCCATGCTAAAGAATCATGCAGAGAATGCTTATGTTTTACGCGGTCACGAGACTTTATTTGTTGAATATTTCAACTATTTTTGCAGTGAAGATGTACTTGGCCAGAAAGAACCTTATGAATCAAGGTTTTTACCTCACTCTTGATTATTCCCACAGTTATCCTCCACGCTTGCAGTCTGACACCAAATCTGAGGCGTGTGTTTTTTACCTCTCAATATATCACTGAAATTTAAGTACCACTACATACACAGGGTAATGATAAAACACAATAATGGATGACTTTTTTGAGATTGGCATGCCAGAGTTCTAAAGTAAATTTATCATTGCAGATGAATTTATCTCCCCCCCCTCAAAAAAAAAGGTGTCATGGGATGAAGTGCCTCAATCAACCACAAATGAAGGGTGGGATCAATTATGGCATTCTGATAACGATACCGTTAAAATTAGCCGATGCAAATACTTTTGCACACCCCTAATTCAGATTACCTCTAGGTGGCACACTACAGCTATGTTTGGCAAAGCCACCAGCTTTTCAATAATAATTTTTGGTTAGATTGGTTAAATAACAAAAAAGGCACAATACCGTGATTGGAACCCTACACAAACAACCCGCACATAGAAGAGGAGCTTACAATGACGTTTCGGTTGGTTCGGGTTATTTGTGTAATGTCTGGTTAATGGTTGCTGATAGTTTTTACTAAATTTACTTAGATCTATTTAAAATTAGTTACGTTTGGTTTGACACCTTGGGAAAATACAGATCAGTACTTTAGATATATTTTGGGGCAGCACTAAAACACTGGATCCCTGCGAGAAGTTAATAATTTTAATAATGCAATATTATACCAGCTAAATCTACACAAGGACCCTAATGAAAATAAGTCAGAAATAATGGAAATAAGTCACTGTCTGACTTTTTTGGGTTATCCTGGGTTCTCTACACATTTGCTATGTATTTGTGTGCACCTGAATAAAGTTACTTATTCTTTGGGGTTGTCGTTGGCAAATTACAAACGTTACTCTACAAGACATTTGTAATCACCTAAAGCTTACGTAATAACCTAAAACTAATGTAAACTTAGTGAATATGGAACTGTACCTTAGACTTAATTTGTTACAGCCTAGTTCAACTCATTTCCATCGTGGATTTGCCAAGGACGAGGCCCACAACAGTGCACATCAATTTAATAGTTGTGAATACCACTTACTATAGATGACTGCTTCAACAAATCTCCACACAACCCACAATATATATATATTAGAAAATAAAACCCCACGTCCAGCTGTTATTGTACCGGTAGTGACCCACAACTTTCCATTACCTCCCAAAACCCTCCACAATACACACCTTCTTCAGTAATATCCTCCACGAAGTCTTCGGGGTCACTAAAATCAGGCTCCTCCTCCTCAGCACCCCCATCGTCATCGTTATCCAGCGATTTAATTTTATTTTTCTTGACCATCTCGGTGCAGACCTCGCGTGGTGGCGGACAGGGACCAGTTCCAATAATGTTTCATCTACAACACTATACACCTTTAATATTATATTTAACAACTATATTAAGTAAGTAAGTTTATTTAAGTACGGGTATACATAAATACAGTTACACAAATTATCATACATGGACCATATTTGTAAATTACCTAAGATAACCCAAAAATGTCAAAGTGAATGATTTCCACTGGGGTCCTTAAATCGTTTATATTTAAGTGATGTTCAACTTAGGAATTAATGGATTTTAGAGTCAATGTCAATTTAAGTTATAGTTTTTGTTAATAGTTTGATTTATTACGTTTTATTTTACCAATCTCTTCTGCTGAGAAAATGTATAGCCTCATAGCGCTATACAAAACATGAATTAATTTGTAGAAATTATTGGTGTTATTTCATGCCTCAATAAAAGAAACAACTTGAAATTTAGCTTTTAATTGTGTGTTGGATTAAATTCGTACGTTTCCACAAAAGAGTGAGAATAATGTCCACACCTTCACGACATATTTATTTGACTTATAAAGCTTTTATGAATTATAAACTTTTAACTTGATAATAAAGTATAAACAAAAATGAATCTATAAGAATAGCACTTCATAATATGTATCAAATGCTTTTCATTTGAGTAAAATGTGATTGGTTACGTTTCATCAAGTAAATTTTTTGTCAAGTTCAGGTTTGAAGCTTCGGCACTTTTCCTGAGCAACTTTACTTTCTCCCTGTTGACCTGCCTGTCAAGGCAGTTGCTGTGGCTCCGTTCATGGGTTCTGTGGTGTTCTGTCTATCAAGGCAGGTGCTCTGGCTCCGTTCATGGGTTCTCTTCTCTCTCTCTCTCCTCCTTCAGGCTCCTGTCGTTCATGGGTTCTCTCTCTCTCGTCCTGCCTGTCAAGGCAGGTGCTCTGGCTCCGTTCATGGGTTCTCTCTCTCTCGTCCTGCCTGTCAAGGCAGGTGCTGTGGCTCCGTTCATGGGTTCTCTCTCTCGTCCTGCCTGTCAAGGCAGTGTGGTGGCTCCGTTCATGGGTTTCTCTCTCTCTCGTCCTGCCTGTCAAGGCAGGTGCTCTGGCTCCGTTCATGGGTTCTCTCTCTCTCTCTCTCGTCCTGCCTGTCAAGGCAGGTGCTCTGGTTCCGTTCATGGGTTCTCTCGTCCTGCCTGTCAAGGCAGGTCTCTGGCTCCGTTCATGTCTCTCTCTCTCCTCGTCCTCTGTCAAGGCAGGTGCTCTGGCTCCGTTCATGGGTTCTCTCGTCCTGCCTGTCAAGGCAGGTGCTCTGGCTCCGTTCATGGGTTCTCTCTCTCTCGTCCTGCCTGTCAAGGCAGGTGCTCTGGCTCCGTTCATGGGTTCTCTCTCTCGTCCTGCCTGTCAAGGCAGGTGCTCTGGCTCCGTTCATGGGTTCTCTCTCTCTCGTCCTGCCTGTCAAGGCAGGTGCTCTGGCTCCGTTCATGGGTTCTCTCTCGTCCTGCCTGTCAAGGCAGGTGCTGTGGCTCCGTTCATGGGTTTCCGTGATCTATCAAGGCAGGTGGGTGGCTTGTTCATGGTTCCTGTGATCTGCCTGTCAAGGCAGGTGGGGTGGCTCCGTTAATGGGTTTCTCTCTCTGTCCTGCCTGTCAAGGAGGGGGCTCTGGCTCCGTTCATGGGTTCTCTCTCTTCGTCCTGCCTGTCAAGGCAAGGGCTCTGGCTCTGTTCATGGGTTCTCTCTCTTTCTCTCGCTTCAAGGCAGTCGTGCTCGTCATGTTCTGATCTATAAGGCAGGTGGGGTGGCTATGTTCATGGGTTCTCTCGTTGACCTGCCTGTCAAGGCAGGTGGTGGCTCCGTTAATGGGTTCGGGTTGACTCCAGTCAAGGCATGTGGGTGGTTTCCGTTAATGGGTTCTCTGTTGACCTGCCTTCAAGGCAGTGGGTGGCTCCGTTCATGGGTTTTCGTGTTGACTGCCTGTCATGTAGTGAGTGCTCCGTTCATGGTCCTTTCTACTCCTGTGCCCTCCTATAAGGTAGGCTGACTCCCTCATGGGTTCTCTTTCTATCTGCTGTTGTCCTGCCTATCAAGGCAGTGCTGTGCCCGTGCAGGGTCCGTGGTGATTGTCTATCAAGGCATGTGCTGTGGTTCCGTTCATGGGTTCCGTGGTGATATGTCTATCAAGGCAGGTGGGGTGGGTTTCTCTCTCTCTCTCTCTCTCTCTCTCTCTCTCTCTCTCTCTCTCGTCCTGCCTGTCAAGGCAGGTGGGGTGGCTCCGTTAATGGATTCTCTGTTGACCTGCCTGTCAAGGCAAGTGAGGCGGCTCCGTTCATGGGTTCTGTTGACCTGCCTGTCGATGCAAGTGAGGTGGCTCCGTTAATGGGTTCTCTGTTGACCTGCCTGTCAATGCAAGTGAGGTGGCTCCGTTCATGGGTTTTTCTGTCTCTCTCTCTCTCTCTCTCTCTCTCTCTCTCTCTCTCTCTCTCTCTCTCTCTCTCTCTCTCTCTCTCTCTCTCTGTGTTGCCCTGCCTATAAAGGCAGGTGCTGACTCCGTTCATGGGTTCTCTCTCTGTTGTCCTGCCTATCAAGGCAGGTGCTGTGGCTCCGTTCATGGGTTCTCTGTTGACCTGCCTGTCAAGAGCAGTGCTATGACTTCGTTCACAGGCTCTTGATTTACAGAAACTGAGCTACTCTGCACTTTCTTGGATCGAATTTAAATGCTTCAAATTAACATTTTCCTAGGCGCTGAATGTATATATATATATATTATATAATATATATATATATATATATATATATATATATATATATATATTATATATATAATATATATATAATATTTATACTATAAATGCGTGTTTGTGTGCATGAATACAATGTAAGCATCTGCTTGCAACACACTGGAGAGAGAACTGTGAAGATATATTATGGTGTGTAACATCCATTGTTTGTGGCTTCACGATGGTCAATGTGACGCTGTCACGCTTGTCTTGATTTGTGTATCACAGGAGAGGAGGGGTAGAGGAGTGGTGACACGAGGATGATGGTCTATTGGAGGGATAGTTGTGGGTGGTAGTGGGCGAGAGGGGGGGGGGCAATGGGCGAGAGCTGTGTCGGTGGGATGGACAGTGGTGGTGGACACACTACAAGCTACACATACACACACACACCTGAATGGTAACATCATCACCATCAGCTATACAGGTAAGCTCTAATGTCTACCACATACACAGGCGCCGTATATACCAACATCCACTGCGATACATACCAACACAAGTTGTGGGGAATCTAGTCTTGACTAATACATAGAAGGTACTTATCCGAGCTACCAAGAGGCAGGAGTATTAAACTATATCACATTGAGCTAGACTGAAATAACCCGATTTTCCATCTTTGTTTTATTTAACCAGCATACAAGCTTGTTTTGTAGCTCTTGGGTCGAAAAAAAGTATATAATCGGTTGAAGTTTTTTTATATGCTGCCTGTATCGTTCACTTCGCTGTTTATGCCTGGAATATCAATGAGTATAAAACTCTAGGCAGTACTGGATTAAAGTATACAGGGAGACCAACTCGTCTGTCCTCATACGTAAGGGATCCCCTACAATGCAGACTTCGCCAATTATATAAAAATTAAGGCACGCACCAACAATTGGGTTTCCACCTTCCAAACTATACTGTTTGCTATGCTCTTTGCACTCAAATACCTTCAAGTATCTTAATTTTAATACCTTAATTGCAACGATTCTCTCTTCCATAAATACTCTCGTCTCCATGAGTGTCAATAGCCAGAAGAAAGAATTCTAGGATTGCAGACAGTAGTCAGACTACACCTATGAATTCCATCTCACGTTGGTCCTCAAATTCACGATAAGAGCTTATGAACTGGAAAAGGCAGATGTTTTCAACTAGTCAACCAGTTTGAGGATAATAAAAGTATCTTCAAATGAACTTCACTGACTTGAGACTGAGGGAAAGTGGCACCGGTCAATCCAGCTATCAACATTCTATGATGTAGGAACCACAAGTATATGATGCATCCAACAAAATCAGCATACTCTTGGACGTCACTACTGCCCGGCTCCGGCTGCGTTAGAAGGTTGCTTCACCAACTAATGTAGATTAAACTTAATGTAAACTTCGCCAGATGGACTACTGTCAGTGACCCTGCGTCATTATGGAATGCGATAAGATTAGTAAATGTACAGACGACTTACAAATGTTCAAGAAATGCCAAAGTATTTTTATCCACAGCGACAAACCGCCAGCCGCCAATCTGAAAAAAAACCCAACTTCGTCTATTGCAAATATTTTTATTTACTACAACTACATGTACAAGGTATACACGTCTAGCTGACGTCAATGACGTACTACTATTTGGAAAGCCGCTGGTTATGCTGAGCATTTCGAGCAAATTAAGTCTGTTTTGTCCCAGGATGAAGCCCACACCAGTCGACTAACACCCCTGTACCCATTTTAAACTGATGGGTGAACGGGAACAGGGACAGCAGGTGTCTTATGGAAACGCGTCCCTAATGTTTTCCGGTCGTACCGGATGAGATTCGAACCCCGGACCTCTGTGTGTGAGCAGAGTGCGCTAGCGATCGAAATTTGCTTAAATTCAACAAACTCTTACTTCAGTACAAGGCATATTAATACTTTTGTGACTGAATTCATATCTGCATATGTTTATCTGGTTATCTGTAACAAGATAAACATGTAAATAGTTCTTTACCACTGCAACTGGCTAAGCTACCAAAACTTTGAGGCCAAGTCCCTAGACTTAAGTGCTTCTGTGATCTTTTGGCTGTCGCCCACTGGGCGTATGGGGTGCATAATAAAGATAGTAAATTAACTTATATCTCCAGACCATTTTAGTAAAATCGGGATGGTCACTTATTTGAGTAGCCAAGCACTTTTGAGCCATTTTTTGTGTGCAGTTTTTCTCATTAGCCTTTTAATTAGTTAAGTTTGACTGTTTTATTGTGCACACCATACCCATGCCCATACCCCTTTATGCATATTGGGGTATCACCAACAAACTACTAGCTATCTTCAAAGGAAAACTTAAATTCCTCAAAACAGTTCCTAATCAGCAGGATTGTTATACTTACTTTCGACTGTAGGTCAAAACTACATAATGTACCTTTTATGTCCCCATAACATGTGTACCTTTAAGACTATTGTAAAAAAGGAACTGTATGTCTAGTACACAAAGTGTTAAATAAAAACTTACTTAACAGGTTATAATGTGGTGGGAAGCAGGCAGCGTGTTGGTGGGTCTGGTGGTGTTGAGGCGCCTCTGGAAGTCCTATGTTGGAGAGAATGAAGTGAGCAGTAAGGGGCGAGTAATGGTGATAACAGGCTGCGACAGTGGGATAGGCTATAACCTAGCACTGAGTGCCCACGCCTGGGGCTGGACAGTAGTGGCTACCTGTGTGACACCAGATGGGAATGCTGCCTCTCTTCTCCGCCACGCTGGCATCCACACTGTTGCTCTGGACTTCACTCGTCCAGATACACTCGCACACCTCATGGATCTACTGAAACAACTAAAGGATAATAAACAAGGTAAGTCTCTATCTAAACTGGGACTAGTGCTTCCGGGTGCCCCCCCCCCCCAAAAAAAAATAAAAAAAGTCCTAATCTGTTCGCCTGAAATATCTGTTCAGTTGTTTGACATTGCCTTTGTTTTCATATATCCTAATATCTCTTGCGCACGACCCCAAAAAGTCTAACGCTGATAAAAAAAAAAGCATCCCCCCGGAAATCTGTGAAACTACCATGGCCTGGTGGCTAAAGCTCTCGCTTCACACCGCGAGGGTTTGGGTTCGATTCCCAGCGAAGGTAGAAATATTGAGCGTGTTTCTTAACACGGTTGTCTGTTCCCCCCCATCAGCAAAATGGGTACCTAGGAGTTAGTGGACTAGTGTGGGTTGCATCCTGGGACAAAACTGACCTAATTTGCCCGAAATGCTCTGCATAACAAGCGGCTTTCTATAGATGTCATCTAGGCCTGTATACCTTGTACATGTACTTGTAGAAATTAAGATATTATAATCACAAAATTTCAGATTTTACGAAATCAAGATTTCGTTGAGAATGGGGGGGACAATAATTTGAAATTTTTACTGTGTAAGAGATCATTCTCTCAATGTTATGAAACAAATTAAGGGTAGCACATTACTATGTACTTCCGGGAAAGTCGAGAATGGTTAACTAATGGTTACTATGGTACCAGAGGTGTGGGGAGTGGTGAACAACGCAGGGTTGTTAACCTACGCCCCGTGTGAGTGGCAGACGAGCACCATGGTTTGCAGGCAGATACAGGTGAACCTGATGGGCGCCATCGTCGTAACCAGGGCCCTCCTACCTGCCCTCAGAACAAACAAAGGTAATTCCTGATAGGTGCGAAACCTGTATGGATCGTACAGCGATGAGAATGTTACGCAAGTAATTTCATTCCTTATATGCTTTAGTTTAACCTTTCTTCATGTTTAGTGTTAATTACTTATTTCCTGTAAGCATAATTTTCTTGTCTTACACTATCTATCTTCAAGGCTGTCATTTTTTAACTTCTGAACGCCTTAGGCGATCAACTTCAGTGATTAACACTTTGGTATCTTTATTGAGGAAACGTTTCGCCACACAGTGGCTTCATCAGTCCATGCAAAGTAGAATGATGAACAGGAGGAGTTTGAGGTAGTCTCTCAGGTGTCCCTAGATGTTCTTTTCAAGATTGATGGACTGATCACATCGACTCTAGGCTGAGGGACTGATTACCTCAGACTCCTTCTGTTCACCATTCTCCTTTGTATGGACTGATGAAGCCACTGTGTGGCAAAACGTTTCCTTAAAGATACCCAAGCGTTGTACATGTCTAATTCATCAACTTGTCGGTTCTCTGAACCAGTTATATACTTCATATTTTCAATCGCTGTGAGCTATAATTATGGAAAAGTTTATGAATCAGTTGGCACTGAATGTCGCCTCTGCTCAATTTTACTAGGGACATTCCTGATTTTGGTTTCCATGCCATTGCTTTAGTAAGCCTCTACTGGTCGCCTTCAAACGTTATACTTGTGTATCCAACTTGAAAGAATGTTGGCATTTTTCAGTTTACCTGGAGTTTACCTGGAGAGAGTTCCGGGGGTCAACGCCCCCGCGGCCCGGTCTGTGACCAGGCCTCCTGGTGGATCAGAGCCTGTAGTTTATAGGTGCCATTAGTTTTAATTTCGAAATGATACAGCAATATTTTACATTACTCCTCTGGAGTATTCTTCTGAATGGCTTCAATCTTTAATGTTAATTTGTCTTAGGAAATGAATTAAACTTTTTTCTGGGTTTAGGCTTTGAGTGCAAATTTCATATTTTTATAACCTAATAAATAAACTTGAAATTGTTGGGTTGTGTGTAGTAGCTTAAAAACACAGCTTCTTGTTGGCTTGAAGCTTTGTGATGTTTCACAAAGGAAGCTTCACAATTATTTTATTAAATTGTTCCATGAAGTAAATGGAGAATCTCTCCGGATCAGAAGTCAGTTTGGCTTGACTGGGTTATCTTAGGTTAAATCTACATAATGTAAAAAACGTGCTTATATATTCAAAGCCTAAATAGGTTACTAAACCTTAATCATTGGCCAGTTTTGTTTAGAGAAAACATTGGATTGATTTTTGGCCTGTGTAGGTCCCAAACTGCTATTTTTATTGAAGGAATTGGGGAAATTAAAATACTGGTTTAATAAGATAATTTGAGTTCCTCGTCAGATTTGCTTCAAACATACAACTCGATAATGCAGCTTGCTGGCGGCTTCGAATTTAGTGTTAGAATATTATGGGACATAGATCTGTGGGAGATAACTACAGAATGCCTCTTCAGTTTGGTTTTTAACTTTTAAAGCTGGTCCTTCTTGCTGGAAGGTGTGGACTTTTCTTGGGCTGTGCATGTCCTAATTTGTCGGGTTTTATTAAAGAAACTGATATATTAGTTTCCTTGGGATAACTTGTGAATGTCTTCTTTCATTCGGAACCTTCAGTGCTAATATTTACCTGCATTAACTTGTGCCAACTTCGTACTATGCTTTCGCATGCATTCAGGTACAGGGGACTGGGGTTATGTAATAAGAGGATACTCCTCTCAGATCGTGCAGCGACCGATATATATCTACTTAAGTCTACCAGTTACCACTTAGCTAGGTACTGTACTTCACTTAAGAATGCCGTAAGATAGAGAAAATGTTAGTGTATGCAAGCTTACCTATGTGGTTGTAGGGGTAATCACAGGTCCTGGCCCCGTGTGTTACCACGTATGTGGTTAAGGGTCGAGTCTCTGCTCCTGTGTATGTGTTTGGCAGGTCGTGTGGTGATGGTATCATCACCAGCAGGGCAGGTAGCCACCACCAACATGACTGTGTACTGTGCCACCAAGTGGGGTGTGGAGGGCTTTACCCAGGCACTTCGCAGGGAATTAGCTCCCACTGGAGTCTCCGTCGTACTGGTCAGGCCCTGTGAGTAGCATATTTACTCGCTTTCTACATGCCATGTCACTGAAAGCACAATACTAATGCTAATTGCTGTTGACATGTTACAATTACTTTTACTTCTAAGGGCATGTAACCTAGAATTATTTACTAGCTAACTTCAGCTTTATCTCAGCAGCCACCAATATTCATCAGTCACATTAATTAAACTATCAAAAATTATACCACATTTCGCTAAAATATTTGAATCTAACATTAAAATGAATGCATTATAGTAGGATTAATGTTCTGTGATAAGCCTGTTTATAACTGAGAATTTTACTCGTTTAGTGTGCTATTTTTGCCGAGTTTCTACTATTTTACAATTTTTACAGGTAACCTTCCCAACCGCACAGGAATTTTACGTAACAACGCAGCACAGCTGAGAGAGATGATAGAGGAGGCCACAGAGCAAACTCTACAGGAATACGGGAAGGCCATGAAGGAAACAGAAGAAGCATTTAGACAGGCTTTCGAGAGTGTAACCGAGGTGCAGGACCTCCACGACGACTATCTGCTTCAGTGCTTCCGGTAAGTAAACTGTGAAGAATAAATCTCAATACTGTGGCTGCGACACTTCACTTGGGAGCGGAAACTTGGAGATGACCTGAGACTAATTACGAGAATACACTCTGGAGAAGACCAGAAAAAACTACAGGCGAACCTTTGCATATTGAAGGATAGGTCTGACAAATGGATTTTAGAATGTATCCTAGCAGAAGCAAAGTTATGGAAATTGGGGTATGGCAGGATTTCGGTGCCATCCAGACCACCATTATAAAGTCGCAACTAAGCGAGAAAAAGGAGTGAAGACCATAGGACAGGTCGGAAGGAGAGCGGGGAAAGAAGTCTCTCTTCGTAAGTTTCCTCTCCTAAGTGCGGATTATTTATGAGTCTTTAAAGACACAAAGAAATATCTAAAATAAAATGCCCTAGGTGTTTGCTTACCTGTCTTTAACCACAATTATCAGGTTTTCACCAGGCAAGTAAACCGCTATGTGAATAAAACGTGCAGTTTGACATCTTATTGAAGACTTTCTGTTCTAGGGATATTAGAGTAAACTGCCACTTTAGTTTTACTGAAGAAAAGACAGAGCAATCTGTGACTGACACATGACTATTCAATATTACACGTTAAAAGTCCAAATATACTATGTCTATCATCTAAGGTTTCTTCACAACACCATGTAGACCTTTACTTAATGGTGTGCTTTCAAATTAAGACGTGTAGAAAACTGTATTGAAGTTACATCCAATACCATTTAAACTATTTATAAAATGTACCACTAATAAGTTCCAGACTTTCTTTTCCCTTAAAAACTGCGCTTGTATTTTTGCGCTGTCTTTTTGTAACGTCCAGTTGTGGTCGACCACCACGTTAACACAAAACAAACGTAATACACGTCGTTCAGTGCAGACATGACGTCAACTGGTAGCTGTCAGGAACGTCTTAAGATCAGATTTCGTTCGGATTTTTAACCTCGTAGGGTTAGCCACCCAGGATAACCCAAGAAAGTCAGTGCGTCATCGAGGACCGTCTTGTCTTATTTCCACTGAGCTCCTCAATCTTGTCCCCCAGGATGCGACCCATACCTGTCGACTAACACCCAGGAACCTTATTTGCTGCTAGGTGAACAGGACAAGAGGTGTAAGGAAACGTGTCGAAATGTTTCTACCCCACCGGGAATCTAACCCGGGCCCTCCGTGTGTGAAGCGAGAGCTTTGTCATCAACTCAATCCAGTAAGTTTATTCGGTATACACAAATAATTACATAGATTATCACACATAGCAGCATATGTGTAGAGAACCTAGGATAACCCAAAAGTCAGTGACTTATTTCCATTGGGATCTTGTAACGCCTCCCTCACTACCTCTGTCCCTTTACCCACATTCATGCTAGGTCCTGTTATATGAAAAACAGTGGCAAAACTACTTTGTAGGCGATGGGACAAAAATTGTCCGCGAACGTAAATTTGAGCATCATTTTTTAAATCGGCACATCAAAACTGATTGATGTAGACCTGTGTTATGAGTGTCTCAAGTTGAGCTTTCTCGAGAAAATGATTTCATAAACGACTTGATAAAGCTATACACTGAGCAAATTGTCGCAATAAAGTTATTTACTATTAATAATTTTTTATTTTTGTAATGCTCGCTGTTTTTTTTTTTTTTTTTAGATTTAAAGCAAAAATTTATTTGTTGGCTTGTCTGGCGAAAAGATTGTTACTGAATAAGGTCTGGTTATAAGCATAATATATAAAATTGTTCCAGCCACGGTGAGGTGACATACCGTAGCTTTCAACCGAAAGATCCAGCTTCGATCCTGGGTCGAATGGAGGCATTGGGTATATTTCCTTGCATCTAATACCCTAGCTTACCTACCAGTAAGTAGGTACATGGAGTTAATCACACGTTGAAGTATCATCTTGCAGAAGATGACTAAAGCCCCAATCGAAAGATGCAATGATGAATTTTCTTTTTTACCTAACTCTCCATGGTTAATAATCCTAATGTACTACTTGGAGTTTATAGGGCCACTGACAGCTTACGCCATAATGAACCCTTAGTCTTTCTTCATGACATTTATAGGACCACTGACAGTTTACGCCGTACGAAGCCCTTAAAGTATTTTTCATCCTCCCCCAGGTGTGCCATGATGAGTACTCGACCCAGGGCCACATACTCTGCGGCACCGCTGATGGTACGGCTATCGCTCCTTCTCTTCCAGCTTCTCCCCACCAGCTGGCTTGACTTTCTCATCGCCAGAAACTTTTACAACATTATTCTCTCTCTTGGCAAAAATAATTAGATAATTCAGAGCCGAATAGTTAGCAAGTCACGAATGTGATATGAATATCTAATAAATTACAATTCATAATTTGCAAGATGTTTAAAGGAGTTCCACGAATTTAGATGAAGTTTGTGAGTCTTGCACTAACCTTACCTAATCTAACATTTCAAGTATATAATACAGTTCTTTAACATTAATTTACAATTGCGTGAATGCTTCTATGGATCTATATAAACTGTCTAACAAATAGAACAGAATAGTCAAAGGCGGCTACAGTGAAAAAGCTTTGTTCCACAGGGTACAGTATTCTCTCCCATCCTTTTTCTCAATCTCGTATCTGACGTAGCTGTATGACCCTTATGGGTTTAGCGCTTAGTTTTTTATTATCACTATAATAAAACTTATCTGACAAGAGATGTAAGCCATAGCACCGTGTCCTCCTTTATGGTGATGCCTGAATTTGACAAGTCATCCATTGAAGGACACTGCAAATTTCCAAGTGGACATTAACCAAATCTTTAAATGGGCCTCGGAAAATGTTACGTTCAATGAAGACAAATTTCAATTACTCCACTATGGAAAACTCGAGGAAATAAAAACTGGATCGGAATGTAGAACAAATTCAAACTACACAATAGAGCGAAAAGCTAATGCAAGGTACCTGGTAGTAATGTAAGAGAATCTCAAAGATCACAACAATGCCCCTACCACACCTAGTAAAATGATAGGATGGATAATAAGAACCTTCAAATTTAGGGATGCCAAGCTAATGATGACTCATTGCTTTTTCTCACTAGGCTGGAGTATTGCTGTACACTAATGGTCCCTGTCAAGGCATTCGAATTGCAGACCTGGAGAATATACAGAGAACTTTCACTGCACGTATAAGTATAAAAAGGCACCTAAATTACTGGGATCAGTTGAAGTTGGGTGACCCCGTGGCCTGGCTGGCAAAGCTCTCTTCACACACGAAGTGCCCGGGTTCGATTCCCGGCGGGGTACCTGGAGAGAGTTCCGGGGGTCAACGCCCCCGCGGCCCGGTCTGTGACCAGGCCTGGTGGATCAGCCTGATCAACCAGGCTGTTACTGTTGGCTGCACGCAAACCAACGTACGAGCCACAGCCCGGCTGGTCAGGAACCGACTTTAGGTGCTTGTCCAGTGCCAGCTTGAAGACTGCCAGGGGTATGTTGGTAATCCCCCTTATGATAAGCCTATAGAGGCAGGTGCCAGAAGTCGCCAGAAACTTACCACAGGTCAGCTGTTTTTAATAATCTTCCTGGCCTGCTAGTGTACTCGCATATAATCTAGTGATACCAGTGAATAGCAGAATACAGTGTTGTAGTAGCAACTAACCAGTATTATAATGGTACTTAGTGGAGTGGAGTGACTTTCATTAGTTTCTTTTTCTTGAAATACGAGACGTTACTGTGAATTTCATATAACCTGTAGTTACCAGCGGTCGCAATATACACAACGAGAAGCAATTATTACTACAGAAAAAGCGTCCTTCCTCCAAAATTTGCACCAGTCAACTATAGTGATAATATAGCATTTATTGTGGTGGAGACGGAAAAACAAAAATAGAAAAGCCAGATACAGCGATTGATAAACAAAGAGGTCGACTGTACGTCATTGTAGGAGCTGCCAGATATCACCGGCTCTTCAACACGCAAGTTATACTTTTGTATCAGTCAAATCACATATTACTCGGGTAGATAATTTCCAGTAGATCCTTCATGTGTTAGCTCAAATCACCGACCAGTATGTTTAAATAAGTGACCCACTGATCAGAGCAGATCGACTGGTCCGAACCCTTGACTGGTCCGAACCCTTGACTGGTTTCAAAACAGTTTCGTTGGACAATAAAGCAGACTGTAAACGGATGGGTTGTAGGCGCCCTTATAAACACAAACATTAAAAATCGGGAACGTGACGGTAAGCTGTCCAATATACAAAAAAGAGTTAGAAACAGAAATACAAATAGCTAGAGCTTCATTTAAGGTTATTAATATAATATTCAAGAGGTTGCTAGTAGACTTGCAGTAAAACCATTCAAATCATTATGAAGCTGTGTGTAGTCTGTGGTCAGTCAAACAAACGGGCTACCACATGGATAAATTGTCATTTTTGTGGAAATTGGTGTCACGCTCCTTGTGCAGATATCCCAGAACTAGCTACAAGCAGTATTAAAACAGAGAAGTGTTTTTGGGTATGCCCAAATGAGGAAAATCTGTGGACTAAAATCACAAGGGTATTAAAAGAGGATAACATCAAAGCTGCTTTCATAGAAAACCTGGAAGCTTTCTACAACAGATGGGAACATAAAAAGTCCGGGCTGAATGGTACTGCCCTTGATACTGGCCATGTAGTCACAAACTGTAAGGCTGGAGGTGATGTCCTGGTAGTCAGTAAATGTGGGGCTGATAGTGCTGTCCTGGGAGACAGTAATGGTGAAGCTGGAGGTGCTGTCCTGGGAGACAGAAATGGTGAAGTTGGAGATATTGTCCTGGGGGACAGTAATGGTGAAGCTGGAGATTTTGTCCAGGTAGTCGGGAATTATACGCAGGAAGGAATACATATAAACGACCTCATAGAGGACAGGAGCCATAGTAGGGAAACAAGTGTAGTCAAAGATAAGATAAAACCAATATTGCAAACCAGAAATACCGCAGGAAAACAGCAAACAAGAGGACTCCAATAGCAATAGTGAGGATAAATTACCAAAAACAACTGGTGGGAGCTCCATTGTTGGTGCTAAGGAGGATAGGAATAAGACAGGGAAACATGCACCAACAGGGAATACAGTCACAGAAACCCAAGGCAAACGGAAACCAAGCCTGTGCACATACTATGCACTTGGTATCTGCTGGCATGGGAATCTGGAAAAACAGATGGGACATTTCAACTATGACCACCCTGAAAATGTCATGCCCATATGACAACAGGAAAATGCAAAACTCCCTTCCTGTAAGCTTTTTCACCCTGAAATGTGTACCTCTTCAGTACAGGAAAGACTGTGCTATAACTTAAATTGCCAGGCATACCATCTAAAGGGGACAAAAAGATACAAAACATCCAGGCCATGGGAAAACCTGGGTAGCCACAGCCACTCAAGAGGGAGAGGTTTTTTAGTGCCAGGAAGGAAAAAAAACTGGGAGGAAATGGCAGAATCGTACACCAAATCCAGTCATTCCTGGAGTGGAACCACAGTCGATGGCCTCCACTCCCAAAACCCAAAAGATACAGATACTAATGCCGGAAAAAAAATCCCCCCCAGTACCAACAATACCACCAGTCGATAACATTCTTCTTTGCAAATATACAGGGTCTAAAGCCAGCAATAAACAACAAAATACCTTTCATCCGTGGACTGCTTGCAGAGGCAAAGGCAATGTTCGCGGCTTTCACTGAGACCCACATAAAGGATCACTTGGACAACGAAATATGGATCCCAGGTTACAACCTATTTCAGATTTTGACAGAGTGAACAGGCAAAAGGGGGGGTTGGCCTGTACATTGCAGAGTCACTTGTTTGCACAGAACTGCTTAATGCCTCAAATGACGTAGTGGAAGTTTTAGCAGTAAAGGTCGAGAACCAAAACCTAGTCATTGTGGTAGTCTACAAGCCTCGGATGCAACATCCCAGCAATTCCAGGAAAAAGCTGTTAAAAATTGACCACTGTCTGGAAAATCTTCCAGCTCCTGCACCCCAAAATCTTGCTCCTGGGGGATTTCAACTTAAGGCACCTAAAATGGAGGAATATAGCAAATAATATTGTTGCAGTAATAACACCAGGAGGCAGCTCTGATGAAAACTCACACTCACACGAGCTTTTAAAATCTCTGCACAAAATTCAATTTAAACCAGCAAATAATAGAGCCTACTAGACTGGAGAATACACTAGACCTCATCTTCACTAACAATGATGATCTGATAAGAAATGTCACCATATCAAAAACAATATACTCAGATCACAACATAATTGAGGTTCAACATGTATGCGTGGAGCCCCAGACCGACAAAATGAGACTAGTCACGAGGGAGCATTCACCAAATTCAACTTCAATAACAAAAACATAAAGTGGGACCAAGTAAACCAAGTCCTAACCGATATAAGCTGGGAAGATATACTAAGCAACACAGACCCAAACTTTGCCTAGAACAGATTAACTCGGTGGCACTCGATGTATGCACAAGGCTTATTCCTCTAAGAAAAAGGAGGAGTAGATGTAAAATAAAAGAGACAGGCGCTCCCTTTACAGGCGACGGAAAGAATAACAGAGCGGGTAAAAGAGGTCAATATATCAGAAATGCGCAGGGAGACACTGGTCAGAGAAATAGCAAGCATCGAACTTAAGCTAAAAGAATCCTTTAGGAGTCAGGAATCGCGGGAAGAACTAAAAGCCATAAATGAAATCGAAAGAAACCCAAAGTATTTCTTCTCCTATGCCAAATCAAAATCGAGAACAACGTCCAGTATTGGGCCCTACTTAAACAAGATGGGTCCTACACAGATGACAGCAAGGAAATGAGTGAGCTACTCAAGTCCCAATATGACTCAGTTTTTAGCAAGCCGCTAACCAGACTGAGAGTCGAAGATCAAAATGAATTTTTTATGAGAGAGCCACAAAATTTGATTAACACAAGCCTATCCGATGTTATCCTGACGCCAAATGACTTCGAACAGGCGATAAATGACATGCCCATGCACTCTGCCCAGGGCCAGACTCATGGAACTCTGTGTTCATCAAGAACTGCAAGAAGCCCCTATCACGAGCCTTTTCCATCCTATGGAGAGGGAGCATGGACACGGGGGTCGTCCCTCAGTTACTAAAAACAACAGACATAGCCCCACTCCACAAAGGGGGCAGTAAAGCAACAGCAAAGAACTACAGACCAATAGCACTAACATCCCATATCATTAAAAATCTTTGAAAGGGTCCTAAGAAGCAAGATCACCACCCATCTAGAAACCCATCAGTTACACAACCCAGGGCAACATGGGTTTAGAACAGGTCGCTCCTGTCTGTCTCAACTACTGGATCACTACGACAAGGTCCTAAATGCACTAGAAGACAAAAAGAATGCAGATGTAATATATACAGACTTTGCAAAAGCCTTCGACAAGTGTGACCATGGCGTAATAGCGCACAAAATGCGCGCTAAAGGAATAACAGGAAAAGTTGGTCGATGGATCTATAATTTCCTCACTAACAGAACACAGAGAGTAGTCGTCAACAGAGTAAAGTCCGAGGCAGCTACGGTGAAAAGCTCTGTTCCACAAGGCACAGTACTAGCTCCCATCTTGTTCCTCATCCTCATATCCGACATAGACAAGGATGTCAGCCACAGCACCGTGTCTTCCTTTGCAGATGACACCCGAATCTGCATGACAGTGTCTTCCATTGCAGACACTGCAAGGCTCCAGGCGGACATCAACCAAATCTTTCAGTGGGCTGCAGAAAACAATATGAAGTTCAACGATGAGAAATTTCAATTACTCAGATATGGTAAACATGAGGAAATTAAATCTTCATCAGAGTACAAAACAAATTCTGGCCACAAAATAGAGCGAAACACCAACGTCAAAGACCTGGGAGTGATTATGTCGGAGGATCTCACCTTCAAGGACCATAACATTGTATCAATCGCATCTGCTAGAAAAATGACAGGATGGATAATGAGAACCTTCAAAACTAGGGAGGCCAAGCCCATGATGACACTCTTCAGGTCACTTGTTCTATCTAGGCTGGAATATTGCTGCACTCTAACAGCACCTTTCAAGGCAGGTGAAATTGCCGACCTAGAAAATGTACAGAGAACTTTCACGGCGCGCATAACGGAGATAAAACACCTCAATTACTGGGAGCGCTTGAGGTTTCTAAACCTGTATTCCCTGGAACGCAGGAGGGAGAGATACATGATTATATACACCTGGAAAATCCTAGAGGGACTAGTACCGAACTTCCCACACGAAAATCACTCACTACGAAAGAAAAAGACTTGGCAGACGATGCACCATCCCCCCAATGAAAAGAAAGGGGTGTCACTAGCACGTTAAGAGACCATACAATAAGTGTCAGGGGACCGAGACTGTTCAACTGCCTCCCAGCACACATAAGGGGGATTACCAACAGACCCCTGGCAGTCTTCAAGCTGGCACTGGACAAGCACCTAAAGTCAGTTCCTGATCAGCCGGGCTGTGGGTCGTACGTTGGTTTGCGTGCAGCCAGCAGCAACAGCCTGGTTGATCAGGCCTGATCCACCAGGAGCCTGGTACAGACCGGGCCGCGGGGGCGGTTGACCCCCGAAACTCTCTTTCCCGGTAAACTCCAGGTAAAAATCCAGGTATGTATGCTGGGAGGCAGTTGAACAGTCCCCGGGCCCCTGACAAATTATTGTATGGTCTCTTAACGTGCTATGACACCCCTGCTTTTCATTGGGGGGGATGTTGCATCGTCTTGCCCAAATCTTTTGCTTTCGTTGTGAGTGATTTTCGTGTGCAAGTTCGGTACTAGTCCCTCTAGGATTTTCCAGGTGATATAATCATGTATCTCTCCCGCCTTTCGTTCCAGGGAATACAGGGTTTAGGTACCTCAAGCGTTCCCAGTAATTGAGGTGTTTTATCTCAGTTATGCGCGCCGTGAAGGTTCTCTGTACATTTTCTAGGTCAGCAATTTCACCTGCCTTGAAAGGTGCTGTTAGTGTGCAGCAATATTCCAGCCTAGATAGAACAAGTGACCTGAAGAGTGTCATTATGGGCTTGGCATCCCTAGTTTTGAAGGTTCTCATTATCCATCCTGTCATTTTTCTAGCAGATGCGATTGATACAATGTTATGGTCCTTGAAGGTGAGATCCTCCGACATGATCACTCCCAGGTCTTTGACGTTGGTGTTTCGCTCTATTTTGTGGCCAGAAACATTTCGACGCGTTTTTTTTACACCTGTTGTCCTGTTCACCCAGCAGTAAGTAGGTACCTGGGTGTTAGTCGAATGGTGTGGGTCGCATCCTGGGGAACAAGATTGAGGATCCCAACGGAAATAAGACAGCCCTCGATGACACACTGACTTTCTTAGGTTATCCTGGGTGGCTAACCCTCCGTGGTTAAAAATCCGAACAAAATCTTAAGTCCCTTGACCTGTACTCCTTGGAACGCAGGCAAGAAAGATAAATGATAATGTACATGTGGAAAATCCTAGAGGGACTAGTCCCAAATCTTTACACGGAAATCACTCCCTACAGAAGCAGAAGACTTGGCAGGCGGTGCAACATCCCGCCAATGAAAAGCAGGGGCGCCATGAGAACGCAGAGACAGCACGATAAGTGTCAGGGGCCCAAGATTGTTCAACTGCATCCCAACATGCACAAGGGGGATTACCAATAAACCCATGGCTCTTCAAAAGGGAGTTGAACAGGCCAGGCAACAAATCAGTGCCTAACCAGCCAGGGCTGTGGTCCGAACGTCGGTTTGTGTGCGGCCAGCAGTAACAGCCTGGTTGATCAGGCCTTTTATTATGGTGACCGCTAAACCTGTAGGAATTATACAGCGCCTGTGGCGGGGATGGAAGGCATTCAGACTCAATTCAGGGAATTGGAGCACAGATCCAACTCCTTAGATCAAGAGCCCCTCACCAGCGTCAAGGAACCTCCCTTGAGGGGTGATCAGGCCTTGATCAACCATCGCAAAACCTGGTCATGGACCGGGCCCCGGGGGCGTTGACCCCCGAGACACCTTCCAGGTATACTAAGCAAAAACTGGATACATTAAATGCTGGAGTTTGCGTTGTGTACTAATTTGCTGAGAAATGAATAACTGTCTCGACGACAACTTATATATTTATATATATATATATATTATATATATATATTATATATATAGTTAAAGCACGCTGAATTATATTTTTGCTATGTTAATTTATTCACATGAAGCACTGAGCACCTGTGAGTCGTTCAGTACAATACTTTATAAAAATTCTTTATATTTCTGTTAAAAAAATGAAAATGTTAACCTTATCAGCATCGACTCAACATTTTCATGTTATGTAAATTAAGAAGCTTTATTTTACCGACGAAATCATGGCCTGGTGGCTAAAGCTCTCGCTTCACACACGGAGGGTACGGGTTCGATTCCCGGCGGGGTGGAGACATTTCGACGTGTTTCATTACACCTGTTGTCCTGTTCACCTAGCAGCAAATAGGTACCTGGGTGTTAATCAACTGGTGTGGGTCGCATCCTGGGGGACGAGATTGAGGACCCCAATGGAAATAAGTTAGTCCTCGATGACGCAGTGACTTTCTTAGGTTATCCTGGGTGGCTAACCCTCCGGGGATCCCCTCAAGGAAGGTTCCTTGATGTTGGTGAGGGGCTCTTGATTTAGGGAATTGGATCTGTGCTCCAGTTCCCCGAATTAAGCCTGAATGCCTTCCACATCCTCCCCCAGGCGCTGTATAATCCTCCGGGTTTAGCGCTTCCCCCTTGATTATAATAATAATAATAATAATAATAATAATAATAATAACCCTCCGGGGTTAAAAATCCGAAGAAAATCTTATCTTAGTGAATGATAGTTATTTGAATTATTACAAAAAAAAAGGAGTAAATTGTTAAGCCATGTTTCTAGTTTTAACTGAATATTTTTCACTGAGTTCTTTGCAATTGCTTTACTGCCACTCATAAATTTGAATTTTCATTAATATCATTATAAATACAGTATTGCAAGAATACCTCCAGTAGTCTAGGCTTCTAACATACATACTGTAGCCAGTGGGAAAGTTAGTTTATTCAGGTATACACAAATAGTTACATAGATTACCATACATAACATTTGTAAAGAACCTAGGATGACCCAAAAACGTCAAAGTGACTTATTTCCATTGGGGGAAGGAGGTGAAGAACAGGTTTAGCAATTATCATAGATAATTGTTTGAATATGTATATTTTAAATAGCGTAGGTAGTGGAGCAACAAGGTGAAGTGTAGATGTGGAAGACAGGCTGAGTTGATGATGAAATTTATGGCGCAATAAACTGGTAATGCACGTTCTGTCCTCTCCAGGAAGGAGCTCTCGACATTTGGAATTAAACCTATCCTTCCCTTCCTTGGCTTGAGCCTAATTGCTTCCCGTTCCACCATGAGTTGTATGACCCTTACGGGTTTAGCGCTCGATAACACATGTCATGACCATCTCTGGGATATCTACCTGAAGGTCTGCTACTCTGTCCGATTCCCTGTGTTTGGCCAAGGTTTTTGTTGAACTCCCTGTAGAATAATTATATAGTTTTACGCTTAATAGGCAAGATAAAAAGATATGTAGGAAATGTTGTTGTATTGGGAAATAAATTAGTTACGCAGTTTTGCCCTCTCTAGTGAGGCGATTTGATACCGGTGAAGAGCACTTGATCCGCGGAGTTTGAGGTATCCATCCTTTCCCCGGTTCATACTTGTATACCTCCCATTCCTCATGCACCGTGTGACCCTAACTGTTTAGCACGATATATACATTATTTTATTAAGCCATAGCCAAAAATATTTCACCCAGGGTTTGAAATATTTCCAGATTGTAAACAGTGTTTCTTATCTGCAGGACGTAAGTGACGTCTGAGAGTCACACTCGTCACTTGTACTCCATTTATGAGTCTTATAGGATTTATAAACCTTGTAAATAATAGTTTGTGAGATATGGGTGATGTGATGAGCGAGTGAGCAAAGTTCCTGAGTCACTTAAAGCAGTAGGGCCGGCCGGGGCCGCCCATTCATTCACTTTATCTCTGTACATCCTCACTACAAGCTGTGAGATGCAGTCCAGTAAGGAGAAAGGTGAGGAAGTACAACTTGATGTAATCCTGTGACAATGAATCATATTGACATTATTCACATATCTTCTGTTAGGTTTATAGAATATTTTATGTATAACATACGTGTGTCCAGAAGACCATTTTAAATATTTTTTTGTTTGCTACACCTAAATAAAACTTATCAATTAAACCTTATGGATTTAAAATACATTCAGGATTTGTAAGTGTATGCATGGCTAAAGATTTTATTTTCAGAATTAATTAAGCTGATTCAGCTAACTTACTGAATTTTTTTTTTTTATATGTAACAGAAAAGGGAAAATTTTTACACACACTAATCCCTTGGTAAGTTTATTTAGACACGGGTATCAGTATGACCCTTATGGGTTTAGCACTTAGTTACAATTTTAATAAATAATAGGCACAGGTACACATAAGTGCAGTTATCATACATAGTGTAAATTACATAGGAACCCAATGGAAATAAGTCACTTTGTCTGACTTTTTTGGGTTATCCTAGGTTCTCTACACATATGCTACTGTGTATGATAATCTGTGTAACTGTGTATACCTGAATAAACTTACTTACCTAATGGAAATTAGTCACTTTGACATTTATGGGAGGGTTATCCTAGGTAATTTATGCATATGTTACTATATATGGTAAGTTGTGTATCTGTATTTGTGTACCTGTACCTAAATCAACTTACTAACCCTAAAAAAGTCAGTGACTTATTTCCATTGGGGTCCCTTCAAAGTGAAGGGGCACCATGGTGCTAGTAAAGAGCTCTACATGGAAGGAGGTTGCAGTGCTTTATGACCCTAGTGGGTTTAGCACTTGGTTTTGATTATAATAATAACAATAATAATAATATGTTAAAGGAATTGGAACTGCTATCTTCTTTGAATCAAATCTGATTATCTCCCATTTCCCAGGTACTATATTACCCCCACTGGTTTAGCACTGCCCCATGATAATAATAATATAGACATACAAATAACTGAGATGAGGAGGATCCTAAACCACTCATATACACCAAGGAAATTTAAATGAAACATGGTGCTATTCTTGAAAGTTAAGAAATATTTATATTTGTGTGTTCAAGAAATATTTGGTAAAAAATTCATCAAATCTGGCTCATATATATATTATACCAGTAGTTATTTTTTACATATTGTATGTCAGTTTTTATCGTGTGGTATATTACTGTATTACATTTCAATGTACATATACGAGAGCATAAAAAAATAAAGAATTCACACTTCCAATCAGTGCAACACCTACCAAAATAAAAGTATTATTAAACTATTTCTGAGTCATTTAACCTATTAACCTACTAACATATTAATCTATCAGCCTATTTGTGACTATAAGAAAGATGTGGTGGTAGGGGAAGTTGAATATTCAGATGACTTTAGGGAGAACTCCAAATATTTTTCTGTGATACCTCTTTTTTTTTTTTTTTTATCTGAGACTGTGGGTTTTTGCAGTTTGTGCTAGAGGCAGATCCTATTATTAAATGTAGTCTTCAAATTACTTTATCATGAAAGAATGTTTTCTCTCTTAATTGTTAGGAATTACTGTTACAATCACACTGTGTATTTTGTAAAACTTAAAGTGACTGGAAAAATATCATAGGAAAAATAACAGAAAAATCATAATTTTGGCTACGTTAATTTAGGTTAGGGTAGATTATGTTCCTGTGACTTTTCTAGATTTAGACTTTCCTTCTCACTGGTTTATTCTTTCCAAATTGTTTAATATTTTATTTATGAATTTCTTCTCATATTGACTTCAAAGGATTCTCCTGACCTTGAAATTGTTAATACAACAGTGGTGGTTCTTTTATTGCTATCAGTCATCTTTTCTCTTTGACTTACTATTGTTAAAATGTAAAATTTCAATGAAGGAAGTATTTTTCCATCAGTAACTACATCAAATTTAATGCTGTTCTGTATTTTATTTTTATTAAGGTTTAGTGTGTGGTTTGCTGGATTCTGTGGGTGATGTCAATGATGGAGTGAGACAAACAGTGGCAGGATCCCTCATAACTCTAGGGCGTCAACACCCAGCATTGGTTCTCTCTTGTATCCACAAGTTCATTACCAGTCCACAGACAGCTCCAAAAGTAGGTCACTTAATTTTTTTTTATAAGAGTTTTTATAAGTAGTCATATATAATATTGTAATCTTGTTTTGGAAGGTTCAAAGTAATTTTATTTAATTTTATCAATTTGATCAGTGTATTTTTTAATTTATACAGCTATTTCTCAGCTACATATTTTTAATTCCAGAATGCCTCTTATTAGTGGCTCTTGTGTAATTTTTATTTTTTCAAAAATTCATAAACTCTGGATATAAAAATGTAAATTTCATAATACATAACTAATCCACGTATTGGAAAAGAAAACTAAAGGATGTTTCAATCCAGCTTGGCATGTGTGACCATGGTACATTGGAGTGAATGGAGATGAGTGATCTTTTCGAGATTTAATTTGCTGTTTGTGAACAAAGTAACATTTATGAAGGGATCCAGGTCAGCCAGTTAGCTGGACTTCAATTCTGAAAGCTTCAAGAATAAGACACCTGTGCAACACTTGAGTACATATATATCTTCTTTCAACAAACCGGCCGTATCCCACCAAGGCAGGGTGGCCCAAAAGCAAATACAAAAGTTTCTCTTTTTAACTTTAGTAATGTATACAGGAGAAGGGGTTACTAGCCTCTTTCTCCCAGCATTTTAGTTGCCTCCTATGACACACATGGCTTATGGAGGAAGAATTCTGTTCCACTTCCCCATGTCTCAGAACTAGGATTGAAAAAAAGTTGCCAGTGGCAAAAATGTCTCCATCATTAAAGTCTTGATTGAGCTTTTAGTTTTAACTAATTCTTTTTTTTCTTTTTTTACACATTGGCCATTTCCCACCGAGGCAGGGTGACCCATAAAGAAAGAAAAACGCCGAAAGAAAGAAAAAACTTTCATCGTCGTTCAAAATTTTCACCATCATTCACACATAATCACTGTCTTTACAGAGGCGCTCAGATATGACAGTTTAGATGTCACCCCAAACAGCCAATATCCCAAACCCCTCCTTTAAAGTGCAGGCATTGTGCTTCCCACCTCCAGGACTCAAGTCCTGCTAACCGGCTTTCCTGAATCTCTTCACCCTGCTCACACTCCAGCAGCTTGACAGGTCCCAAAAACCATTTGCCTCCATTCACTCCTATCTAACACACTCATGCATGCTTGCTGGAAGTCCAAGCCCCCTTGCCCACAAAATCTCCTTTACCCCCCCTCTCTCTAACCTTTCCTAGGACAACCTCTATCCTGCCTTCCTTCCATTACAGAGTTATACACTCTCTAAGTCATTCTACTTTGTTCTATCCTCTCTAAATGACCAATATGTTATATTATTATATCTTTCTTTCAATACACCTGGCATATCCCACCAAGGCGGGGTGGCCCAAAAGGAAAAACGAAAGTTTCTCCTTTTACATTTAGTAATATATACAGGAGGGAGAGAGTATGGAGGAGGTGAATGTATTCAGATATTTGGGAGTGGACGTGTCAGCGGATGGGTCTATGAAAGATGAGGTGAATCATAGAATTGATGAGGGGAAAAGGGTGAGTGGTGCACTTAGGAGTCTGTGGAGACAAAGAACTTTGTTCTTGGAGGCAAAGAGGGGAATGTATGAGAGTATAGTTTTACCAACGCTCTTATATGGGTGTGAAGCATGGGTGATGAATGTTGCAGCGAGGAGAAGGATGGAGGCAGTGGAGATGTCATGTCTGAGAGCAATGTGTGGTGTGAATATAATGCAGAGAATTCGTAGTTTGGAAGTTAGGAGGAGGTGCGGGATTACCAAAAACTGTTGTCCAGAGGGCTGAGGAAGGGTTGTTGAGGTGGTTCAGACATGTGGAGAGAATGGAGCAAAACAGAATAACTTCAAGAGTGTTTCAGTCTGTAGTGGAAGGAAGGCGGGGTAGGGGTCGGCCTAGGAAAGGTTGGAGGGAGGGGGTAAAGGAGGTTTTGTGTGCAAGGGGCTTGGACTTCCAGCAGGCATGCGTGAGCGTGTTTGATAGGAGTGAATGGAGACAAATGGTTTTTAATACTTGACGTGCTGTTGGAGTGTGAGCAAAGTAACATTTATGAAGGGGTTCAGGGAAACCGGCAGGCCGGACTTGAGTCCTGGAGATGGGAAGTACAGTGCCTGCACTCTGAAGGAGGGGTGTTAATGTTGCAGTTTAAAAACTGTAGTGTAAAGCACCCTTCTGGCAAGACAGTGATGGAGTGAATGATGGTGAAAGTTTTTCTTTTTCGGGCCACCCTGCCTTGGTGGGAATCGGCCAGTGTGATAAAAAAAAAAAAAAAAAATACAGGAGAAGAGGTTACTAGCCCTTGCTCCCAGCATTTTAGTCGTCTCTTACAACACGCATGGCTTACGGAGGAAGAATTCTGTTCCACTTCCCCATGGAGATAAGAGGAAATAAACAAGAATAAGAACTAGAAAGAAAATAGAAGAAAACCCAGAGGAGTGTGTATATATATGTTTGTACATGTATGAGTAGTGTGACCTAAGTGTAAGTAGAAGTAGCAAGACGTACCTGAAATCTTGCATGTTCATGAGACAGAAAAAAGGACACCAGCAATCCTACCATCATGTAAAACAGTTACAGGCTTTCGTTTTACACTCACTTGGCAGGACGGTAGTACCTCCCTGGGCGGTTGCTGTCTACCAACCTACTACCTAGGATATTATTATATATTATTATTATTATTATTATTTTTTTTTTTAACAAGTTGGCCATCTCCCACCGAGGCAGGGTGAGCCAAAAAGAAAGAAAATCCCCAAAAAGAAAATACTTTCATCATCATTCAACACTTTCACCTCACTCACACATAATCACTGTTTTTGCAGAGGTGCTCAGAATACAACAGTTTAGAAGTATATATGTATAAAGATACACAACTACCAATATCCCAAACCCCTTTTTTGAGTGCAGGCATTGTACTTCCCATTTCCAGGACTCAAGTCCGGCTATATAAAATAACTGGTTTCCCTGAATCCCTTCACTAAATATTACCCTGCTCACACTCCAACAGCTCATCAGGTCCCAAATACCATTCGTCTCCATTCACTCCTATCTAACACGTTCACGCACGCTTGCTGGAAGTCCAAGCCCCTCACCCACAAAACCTCCCTTACCCCCTCCCTTCAACCTTTTCGAGGACGACCCCTACCCCACCTTCCTTCCCCTACAGATTTATATGCTCTCCATGTCATTCTACTTTGATCCATTCTCTCTAAATGACCAAGCCACCTCAACAACCCCTCTTCAGCCCTCTGACTAATACTTTTATTAACTCCACACCTTCTCCTAAGTTCCACACTCCGAATTTTCTGCATAATATTTACACCACATATTGCCCTTAGACAGGTTTGAGACGCATCCATCCCTTGAAAAGTTAGAAAAGTTCTTTCCAGTTTTTTCACCGTATGTTTTCCCTTAATATATCTGTAATTAGGATGTATGTTCACCTATCTACTATTAAATTTACAGGTTCAAGTGCAATGCATCTTATACAATATAGCAGAGAATATAATGCGTGAATGTGGTGAGAAAATTGAAGATGTAGAGGTAATTAGCATGTGGATTGAAGGAGCACTCAAGCTTCTGACCCTTCCATCGGTGGCTCCCGACCTTCAAGAAGGTGCCTCAGGGATGATGGTGGCACTTGGCAGTAACTCCACCCATTGTAATACTGTGAGTGTTTGTTGACAATTTCACTCCTGTGGCATGTCATGATAAGTTACTGTCAAACCTCATTTATTCTGTTCATTGCTAGAATCCTTGGTTTGATGAGAGATAACATTGACTCCTAACCATCACCAGTTAATTGTAAGTCTGTTTTTGATCTGAGGATATATTACATGCTCTGCAAAGCTTTTCTTGCTCCTTACATTACTCTGAATATCTAGTCTGATTGGAAGCCCCTGGTTGCCTTGATAATTTGAGATGAATGCATTAGGTTAAAACACATCTACTTCTCTGTTTATTGATTACATACAGTAGCCTCCAGATTTAATTATACTTTTCATTGAGTGACTAAAAGGTGACTTAGCAGGGCAGTGAGTGTGTATATTTTGCACCTAAATACAAATAAATCAGACTTGGTGAATCGTAAGAGTATCAATATTTTATGTACTGCATCATTATCGTATCTAAATCATTTGTAGAGTAATAATTTTTTTAACTGGTTAGTAGTTTGGTTACCAGTTTCTTTGAATTGGCTGATTTAAAAAATATGGTTGACTGGATAATACTGTATTTCCATTTATTTGTATACAGACTCACAAAATCATAGTAACACGATTGCAAACAAACCACGGAACAGGTGGGGATTGAACCCATGGCCTGGAGTTTTAGGATTCACTTGCCATAGGTTTAATCCCCATCCATTCAGTGGTATGTTTGTATACAGTTTATAACATATCAGCCATCTTTCACTAAGGTAAGGGGACCACAAAAAAAGGGGAAATACATTCATCATCATTCAGTCGATTGCTGTCTTGCCAAAAGTATGCTGACATCACAGTTCAGATGACCCTTTTAGCTGCAACATCCTCATCACTCATCCTCATCCTCATCATTATGAGCAAAAACTAATGAATGGGTGTATGGGAGTGTATTCACAGCAGCATTGCATGGTATAAACATAACATTTCAAAAGTTTTAGTTGCTGACTTGGACTACGCATTACTGTATATAGTAATCTATAGAATATGTCTGTTTTTTTTTTATTATTGCAAATACAGTAATGCAAAATGTATTTAGGCATTACAACTTCACCAAAGTTAGTTTAGTTTTAAACTTAGTCATCACGTATGTTTAGGGGATAAAAATATCTAAAGTCTTTGTTTTTTTTTTCTTCCACAGGTGATGGAAAGTTTAGTAGGTCAGATCCAAACTGGAATAGTACCATCACAAAGTATTGTAGAAACTCTTGGAGCCTTGGTTGCTGGTAATGTCAGAGGAACCATACCTTACCTTAAAATCTTACTAGGACTTATTGTTGGATGTCTTCCACAAGTTAAGCAAGACACTCTCAAGATTGCAATAACTAATATGTTGAGCAAGTTCTCTGAAGCTATTTTAGAGGCTGTGGAAAATAAAGAGCCTGATCCAAACATTTCAGTAAATTCTTATATGACAGAAAGTGCAGCAATATTTGAATCGCTAGTCCATCTTTGGCTGAAAAGTTCAAATGCAGGTGTTAGGCATGAAACAGTGGTATGTCTTGGTCATATGAGTCATCTTCTTTCTAAAGAGAAGCTTGAAGAGCTTGCAGGTTTGGTTGTAACAAGTGTCTTGTCACTGTATCGCAAGACTTCCTCTCCTTATAGCCTCACCTTATCACTAGCATTACTAATTGATGCAGTGTTAAAAAATCAACTCACTGAGGGCATGAAATTTCATGTTGATAATTTGCTAAGTTCCCTATTCAGCCAGGTATGTATCACGCCAGATTATGCGGAGCCAAATACCGTCAAGAACCATTATGAGGTGCTGCGTTGTTATGAACTTTTAGGGAACCATTACCCTGAAAATGTGAAAAATCATCTTTTACAAAGACTCGAGAATGCTAGTCACATGCAGCGAGTTGGAGCCCTTATTGTGACTAAACATCTCATTAATAGCAAAACTCTTAATACAGAGAATGTTTCCAGCTTGATTTCTACACTGAATGCAATTCTTACTGATCCAAACAGTAAAGTTGTGAAGAGTGTGACACAAGTCATTGTTGCATTGTGTCATAATAACCATCTTTCTCCACATGCAGGTGCTCCTTTCATCACATACTTAGTTAAACATTCTGCTGGTGTTTCTCCATCCCACAGTCGGCGGCCGTCTCTGGCCGAACCAGATAGAGAGTCAGTGGCTGAGGTCAGCCGCCGAGTGCTCCACTTGCTGGCTACAACTGTGGAGGCTGCCCAGCCCATATTATGGCCACATTTGCTAAATTTTGTTTGTAGTACAGAATATGATGCTAGTCTTCCTACAACTCTGAGTTGCTTAGCACACCTAGCTAACAAATATTCGTCTTTTAATGAAGAGAAACCTATACTTGTAGGGCCTCCAGGACCCCCTTCTGCTCCAGTTTTACTCTCCCGTTTATTAGTGTTAAGCTGTGTGCCAGGTGATGGGGTTGTTGGGATTGCTGCTCTTAAATTGCTGCAGGGCCTTGCAGCTCATGTTAGCCCTGATGTTGTGGAACCCTGGAACCAACACCTTCCACAGCTTTTATCAACATTACATGACCTTACACTTAAAGTTGATGCTGAGCCTGCTGCAATGCAGGTAGGTGTTTCCTTATTCTACTTGTAAGCTGTGCTGAATGACTCATATTTCTCCCATGCTTATTTTCAATATAATAATGTGTAATAATATACAGTATGTCAATTTTGGCCTTGTAAAAGATAACTTTATATATTTCAGAAATTTCTATTCATAGAACTATTGTGCCTTATGATTACATGAAAGCTGGAAATGAATATGCAATAATAATAGCCTGAATGATGGTAAAAGTGTTTCTTTTTCGGGTCACCCTGTTCCGGTGGGAAACAGCCAGCTTGTTAAAAAAAAATTAATGTGAAGTCATTGAATAATCACTAGTGGCACAAGAGAACTATATATAGCACTTTGGGAAAAAAATAAAGTTCATATATGAAAGGGAAAGTGAACTGCTCTTATTCTTTATTTTGTTTAATTACTTTTTGTATTCTGTTGGTATAACTCCTAAATGCCTTGCATAAGTAAGATTTTTTTTATAAGAAATCCTTTTTCTTTTTAACACAAACATAACTTCTAGGAAAATAAATGATTATGATTTTTCAAATTAATGTTTTGATCATGATTATTATATGACAGTCATGGCTTCTAAAGAGCAGTTCAAATTCTATATACAGTAGGCCCCTTGCATTTTTTGCTCAATGGTTACTTTTTTCAGATGTGGCACGATTCCTTGAGAGACTTCTTGGCTTCGACTATCACTCACATTAACAATGAAGAATACACCAACAACATAGGAAAAGCTCAGGTATTAAGTTTTTAAAATTATTTTATTTTTTTCATGTTTATATTTTTTGTTGAATAATACAGTATGGTATTAATATGAATTTTAATTTTTATAGCAATAATTTAAAACAAATTAAATTGAGAATTGCTTAAAACTACTGTAATATATACTATATTAGTAACATAATTATTGAATTTTGTTATTCCTGTGATATACTGTTCTATGACAGGTTTCAAGAATTTTTCTACCCTCACAGTATGCCTGGAGTCATGCTTTTCTGTTGATTGCCTGTTCAGTCAAGCTGTTGCTGTTGGTGGCCCACTGGTTGATGTTAGCCTCCCTGTCACTTTTCTGGCTTTCATGGCATTTTTTTTTTTTTTAACACATCAGCTGTTTCCCACCAAGGCAGGGTGACCCAAAAGGAAAGAAAAAAAACTTTCATCATCACGCAACACTTTCACCATTTGACATTATTAAACCCAAGTCCTTTACTTGTTCCTTCAGTATTAGGAGAAGGCTCTCCTGTGTTATGGATCCCATGATCCTTTTGAGTTCAACATTCTTTCCACATTTGAACAATTGGAATTTATCATCTTGAAACATCATGTTCTTTTAAAGTGCCCACTGGAAGAATTTGTTGATATCTTCTTTCATATTTTCCTCATCTTTTACCAAGGTGACCTTCATGCTTATTTAAGAATCATCTGCAAAAGATGATACAAAGTTATTGCTAGTGTTTTTATCTAGTTTTGCTGTTAGGTCAAGAAATGTCAAGGTGCCACAACAGTGCCTTAGGGTGCTAGAGCTTGCTTTGTTTACCAACACTTTCTTTTGTGTTTGTTAGAAAATTGAATATCCACATTTCTACTTTTTCTGTTATAAATATAATTGATTAAATTTGTGAATTATGATATGAAGCATTACATGGCAGAGTAAGTGCCAAATCCAAAGAATGGAGAAAAATGTAGGCATGTGGGAGATTGGAGTTATGAAGCTTAAGTGGGGCTCTGAATCTTATTTATGTATGTAGAAGAGTGTTGACACATTCCTACAAACAGGTGAAAAATTAAGGAATTAATGTGTTCACTAACCCTGATTTTTGCCATAGTGGTGTTTGCTTTTTTCTACTATACAGTGCCTCATATGTGAACACATTAATATATATGGTAATAGTGTAATGTGTATTTTTTCAGAAAGAGATACATTGCAGTATATAAACATTATATCTGTTTTTCTAAAGCACATGAGGCTTACACTCCTATCCAGTACTTTCAAGGACTCCCCAAGTTATGAACAAGTTGCACTTCCTTTATTTCAGTCTACAAACGAGGTGTTTTTCATGTTTCAACTTGCGACTGAGTTATGTTCTTTTTGTTTCACCTTATGAACAGGTCATTTGTGACCCTGAATCCAGTGTTACATTATATAAAAAATGATTGTACAAAGAATGGTTATGTGTCATGTTTCTAACTGAAGATTGGTATTCATTAAACAAGTAATTTTTCAATACAGCCTCTCCTCACTTAGCGACGTATTCATTTACTGACTACTCAGACTTACGATGGGCTCTCTGACCAGTGTGCATACCTAAATAATGTATATTAGAGCTGATTTCCTCTATTCTGTTTACAGTGGTACCCCGGGTTTCATACAGCTCCAGACTCAAACAATTTTGTAAGTGTATTATTGTAAGTGTTTTCATGAGTGTATTTTTGGGGGTCTGAAATGGACTAATCTAATTTACATTATTCCTTATGGGAACAAATTCGTTTGGTAGCGGCACTCGACCAGCCTTCTGGAATGAATTATGGCCGAAACTCTGGGTACTACTGTATTACAATACGTATACTGTACACTAATGTATAATCATTTAAAAATATACTAGAAATGTTATAAATGGTGCAAAGGTGACATTAAAACAAAATCAGAGATGGTTGACACAAATCCACTACCATTGTAATATGCTCTTCACTTAGCAACGAATTTGTTTACTGATGTGGTCTTAGGAACAGAACTCCATCGTTAAGTGAGAAGAGGCTGTATGATATTGTCTGTTGGATATCATTTGCAAGTGTAGATCATTGTAACTCAGAAATTTGTAAGTCAGAGACTCCCTGAATACTTGCATCCCATCCCTCCCAAATCCTGTATGTGTCTAATTATATTGATATTGTGCTGTATTTCTAGAATAAAATGTTTACATTTTGAAACAGATGGAACAGCTTCATATATATGACAAGCAGCAGGCTCAGCTGTGCTTCCTGATGTCCCTCATAGGTGTTACTCTGAGGCAGACAACCAATAAGACCTTTATTGCTACTACTTTGGACTCCCTCTTCAATGCAACATGTCATAAATCTGCAATTGGTTAGTAGTTTATAGCACTGTTATTTTTTTCAGTTAGGTATTACTTTTCTTAAAATGGCATTATTCCTGCATTTTTACTTCAGGATTCTTGAGTCATTAATGATTACCTACAAAAGTTACTTTAGGAACCCTGAGTCAGCATTAGTGACTTTCAGAGATTACCGTACTTTAGCATTCTTAAGTCAATATTGGTGACATTCTGAGATTGTGCAATAGGGAAGGTGTTGTACTTTACAGACTAAGAGTAATGTCATCAACCAGTTTCTCTCATTAACACAACTAATGACAAGCTCATAAAGATGACAGACTACAAGTAGACTAATCTTCAATGTTGACATCTCATTGCTGGTCGTGCATCTCCTGGCTGATCACATCTCTCCTGATCAGTCGTGCATCTTTCAGCCAAATCATAATACATTACATGGAGAGGCCTCAATATAGTGCTGACTGATTTACAAATACAGTGGACCCCCGAGTTTCGGCAGCCTCGACTTTTGTGAAATTCGACCTTCGGTGAGTTTTTTTTGGAAAAATTTGGCCTCGAGTTTCGTGAAAAGACTTGTGTTTCGGCGACCATCCGGTACCTGTCCGCCCATCACCGTGCACACCAAGCCAGTTTCCCACGCCATTCACGCTCAGTGTGCCATTGTTTACCAACATGTGACCATCACCCCGTGGGTTCATACAATACATCTCATAATAATCCATTTTTTTGTGCTTGCAACTGCTAAATAAGTCATCATGGACCCAAGGAAAGCTAGTGCAAGCCCTTTGGTAAATAAAGTGAGGAACACGATCCAGAGGGATTTTGACGGGGATGTGGAAGAGTTGGTGGAGGACCACAGGGAAGAGCTAACCACTGACAAACTGCAAGAGCTTCAATTGGAACAGCATCAGACCACAGCCGAGGAACTTGCTTCAGAGGAGGAGGAAGAGGGAGTGGATGAGGTGCCTTCTTCAAAGATTAAGGAGATTTGTGCAATGTGGAATGAGTTGCAAAGTTTTGTTGAAAAGTATCACCCTGACCAAGCTGAAACAAGCCATATCTGCAACATGTACAATGACAGTGTTGTTTCCCACTTCAGGGAAATCTTAAAGAAACGCCAGAAAAAGACCTCTCTGGACGGATATTTTGTGCGACAGGGGTCCAGTGACTCTCAAGTTGTTCCCAGTGGCATTAAAAGAAGAAGGGAAGTAACCCCAGATAAGGACTTGCTACCTAAAGTCCTAATGGAAGGAGATTCTCCTTCCAAACAATAGTGTACACCTTCCTCCTATCCCCTCCTCCCATCTTCCATCCACCCAGAAGTCTTCAGTAAAGGCAAGTGTAATGTTATTATTATTTTTTTTAAATGCATGTACTTGATTTCTGATTGTTTTCATTTTGTAAATCTTTATTTAATTTGAAAAAAAAAAAAATTTATTTTAATATTTTTGGGTGTGTGGAACGGATTAATTTTATTTCCATTATTTCTTATGGGGAAAATGGTTTCGAGTTTTGTGAATTTCGACCTTCGGCGGGCTCTCTGGAACGGATTAATCACGAAACTCGGGGGTCCACTGTATTTCATATATGTTTTATTGTCTTCACAAAAATCCAATATTGCATATTTCATGTTGTTTGTATCCTAGTGGTATTGACATCATTGCAGCTGCTATCTGAAATATTAGTATGCATTATCAGCAGCATTAGCTGTCTATAAAAATGTGTCCTTACCTCATATATGCCTGAATGTAACTGACCATTGATTGTATGGTATCAAGGGCACAAAGATTGTTTGACTGAATTTTTATTCAGTGCATAAGAGCCAAGATGTTCCCTAAGTATAAATTACATCACATGATAGGATTAATAAAATTTCTGTATTGCTCTTCCAGTTAGATAAGTGGCTTTCCATTTAAATAAGTGTAATTCCCCTGTTAGCCATAGGCTCTTGCTTAGAATATATCTAATCCTAATTTTGCATTTATAGAGCGAGAGAGTTTTGCTTTGTGTGTGGGCACAACAGCAGCTTCACATATTGATCTTGTCTTGACTCACATTGATATATGGCTCAAGTCAGCTGATCCTACAAAGAGACCAATGTCTTTCTTTAGTTTGATTAAGGTATGTACTGATTTATGATTAGAAAATAATTTTTGTGTGTGTATGTTTAATTATTTGAAATTGCAAGAGTTAAATTATGCTTGCGGTGTCCTTTCTTCAATGTTTAGTTTTCTGTATGCTAACTCCTCTTGGATACCATTCCAGTAGCGTAACACTATTTAAAAAAATTTTCTAGAATTTAAAAAAAAATATTTTAGTACAGTAATTTAAATTATTTCTCCATGGGGAAGTGGAACAGAATTCTTTCTCCGTAAGCCATGCATGTCATAAGAGGTGACTAAAATGCCGGGAGCAAGGGGCTAGTAACCCCTTCTCCTGTATACATTACTAAAGTTATGAAGAGAAACTTTTGTTTTTCAGTGGGATACAGCTGGTTTGTTGAAAGAAGAAGAATTTAAATTTTTATCTCTTGTTCTACCAGTTGATGGAGCTAAAACAAAAGCTGTTACCCACCAAGGTAGTTGATGACCCAAGTAAAGAATCACATTCACCATTGTTCATTCAGTAACTGTCATAATAGAAGTGTATATCTGTCACTATTCAAATGATCCAACAAACTGAGACATCCTCACTCATCCTTCAGAGTAGTCATTGTACAGTACTTCCAGCCTCCAGAACTCAAGTCTCACTAACAAGTTTCACTGAATCCCTTCCTAAAAGCTTCCTTGCTCACACTCCAGCAGCACATAAAATCTACTCACTCAGATCTAACCCATTCACATAAAATTGTATATATTTTCTTTTATCCTCTCATAAACTCTTTATGTATATGTATGTTTACCTGGAGTTTACCTGGAGAGAGTTTCGGGGGTCAACGCCCCCGCGGCCCGGTCTGTGACCAGGCCTCCTGGTGGATCAGCGCCTGATCAACCAGGCTGTTGCTGCTGGCTGCACGCAAACCAACGTACGAGCCACAGCCCGGCTGATCAGGAACTGACTTTAGGTGCTTGTCCAGTGCCAGCTTGAAGACTGCCAGGGGTCTGTTGGTAATCCCCCTTATGTGGTTATATAATATAATTTTTTCATCAACAAAGATATTTTCATTGTTTTTAGCCTTTCTTTTTAACTCATATCTCTTGGGTCTAAAAATGCTTTAGTAGTTCATGATTCAAGAAACAGTAAGAACGCAGTCGCAAGCAAATCACTGGCCTGTGAGTTTTAGGACTCATTTGCCATGGGTTCAAGTCCCACTTGTTCTGTGATCTGTAGCTCATCTTTTGATTTTTTCTAGCAAGTCTATACGTTTTAGTACCTCTGCTTATTCCAGTTTTGGTAATTTATGTTATAAGCAGCTGTGCTTTAATATTTCCCAGTGCATATATCCAAATGTACTTTAAATTGGTAGGTAGTAGGTTGGTAGACAGTAACCACCCAGGGAGGTACTACCATCCTGCCAAGTGAGTGTAAAACAAAAGCCTGTAATTGTTTTACATGATGGTAGGATTGCTGGTGTCTTTTGTCTGTCTCATAAACATGCAAGATTTCAGGTACGTCTTGCTACTTCTACTTACACTTAGGTCACACTACACATACACATACAAGCATATATACACACACACACCTCTGGGTTTTCTTCTATTTTCTTTCTAGTTCTTGTTCTTGTTTATTTCCTCTTATCTCCATGGGGAAGTGGAACAGAATTCTTCCTCCGTAAGTCATGCATGTCATAAGAAGCGGCTAAAATGCCGGGAGCAAGGGGCTAGTAACCCCTTCTCCTGTATAAATTACTAAATTTAAAAAGAGAAACTTTCGTTTTTCTTTTTGAGCCACCCTGCCTTGGGGGGATACAGCTGGTTTGTTGAAAGGAAGAAGAATTTTAAATTGGGTCATTGTTTTATACTAGGTTATCACAGTTTCATTAATATGATAATCTAGTGACATGCTTATCATTGACGGCTTGTAAGCCTTTTGCTTTTACTGGTGTCTTGAATGTTTTATTACACAGTGTATTATCTTTGTGTGGCCTGTGTTTGCTTTTTCTATTATTTTACATGGCATTTATATACACTAAATTTCATAATTCATCTGTCACTCTACTTGCTCAGTCTCTCTGTGTTTCTGGTGTAGAGTTTACTGCTGGTAAGCGGTAAGGCCACAGATCCATATCCTCGTCTTTTTACAATATGTAAATTCATCCATGTGATTCTTTTGTTTCATTCAAATACTTTCTTTTGATAATTTTCCACTCTTATTACATTATCAGTCTCCATGAAGAAATCTTTTCTTTCAGCTGGTTTCCTCAATTTCTCTAAAGTTGTTTATCAGAATGTTATGCACCATTACAAAAATACATATTATTTTCTTTGTAAGGTGAAAAACTATTTGAACCAAAAAACAGTAGCAGATGAACAGAGCTGTATATTTTGACCTCAATCAGGTAATGTCTCTTACCGTTGTTTCATTTTTTGGATACATTGGTGTCTCACCTTTCATCATTCAGTTTTCATGACCTGTTTATTCAAGTATTATTTTTTGTATTTAAGTTACCTCTTTTCTCAACAGCAAGATACCCGAACTGATGAGACTTCCTGGGTTCGGGCAGGCTTGGTGCTATGCCTTGGCCAAATTTCTACTTTGGCTTCCCCAGCTGTGGTTGGTAGTCGAGTGGATGGCCCCATCATGCTCCATCTTCTTAATATAATCAACAGTAACAAGGTATGGATTTATGAAGGATGAGGTTAATCATAGAGTTGATGAAGGAAAAAAGGTGATTGGTGCATTGAGGTATACGTGGAGACAAAAAGCTTTATCTATGGAGGCAAAGAAGGGAATGTATGAAAGTATAGTAGTACTAACACTCTTACATGGGTGTAAAGCTTGGGTTGTGAATGCAGCAGCAAGGAGGCGGTTGGAGGCAGTGGAGATGTCCTGTCTAAGGGCAGTGTGTGGTGTAAATATTATGCAGAAAATTCGGAGTGTGGAAATTAGGAGAAGGTGTGAGTTAATAAAAGTATTAGTCAGAGGGCTGAAGAGGGATTGTTGAGGTGGTTTGGTCATTTAGAGAGAAGGGATCAAAGTAGAATGACATGGAGAGCATTTAAATCTGTAGGGGAAGAAAGGTAGGGTAGGGGTCATCCTCGAAAAGGTTGAAAGGAAGGGGTAAGAGAGGTTTTGTGGGAGAGGGGCTTGGACTTCCAACAGGCGTGCATGAGCGTGTTCGATAAGAGTGAATGGAGACGAATGGTATTTGGGACCTGATGATCTGTTGGAGTGTGAGCAGAGTAATATTTAGTGAAGGGATTCAGGGAAACCGGTTATTTTTACATAGCCGGACTTGAGTCCTGGAAATGGGAAGTACAGTGCCTGCACTCTAAAGGAGGGGTTTCGGGATATTAGCAGTTTGGAGGGATATGTCGTGTATCTTTATACGTATATGCTTCTAAACTGTTGTGTTTCTGAGCACCTCTGCAAAAAGAGTGATTATGTGTGAGTGAGGTGAAAGTGTTGAATGATGATGAAAGTATTTTCTTTTTGGGGATTTTCTTTCTTTTCGAATCACACTGCCTCGGTGGGAGACGGCCGACTTGTTAAAAAAAAAAAACATGTTTACACTATCATATATTAAGTGAGCAATAGAGCTAGGCCTAAAAAATGCATATACAGTGCACAATCACTTGCCTTAAAATATTTTCATACTTAGCCTATAATGAGTGGTGAATATATTTATTGTAGGAAGGCTGAATAAATGAAGAATAGGTGTAATTGAAAACGGCTGTATTAGCGAAGCACTGTAAAGCAGGGTCCTTCTGTATGATGATTACTGCAATTAGTCTGGCAGTGCTGATTCACAGATGCAAAGACAAACTGTCTTGGAGGCCAGAGCTAACTGTTAATTCACATGGCTGCATATTTACCGAGTCATTTGTTTTTGTCTTACTGGTAATTCTGAAGTGGGGAAAATTTTTAATACAAGAGCTATTATTGGTACTCTTTTGTGAGGAATATTAAGGTAGAAAACCAGGGATACATCTTAATTGCCATATTTATGTATGCTTTGTATCAGGTACTGTAAGTTTACTAAATACCATAATTATTTCAAATTACCATTTTCTACCCTTGTCACTAAAATGTTTCATCACTATATTTTGATGTATTAAGGAATTGTTCATTAGAATATAGTTCATGTAAATAGTTGGTATTCATTTTGATTGTTGTGTAGTTGTAAATAACAAAGAATATCATTATCCATAGAGTGATGTTGTGAATGAAGCTGTTCTGCATACAGTTAGTAATATAGCCCGGGCTCTTGCACGACTCCCAAGCTTCAAGCTTCGTCAACGTCCATTGCTCATCACGCATCTCGTCAACACTGCCAAGGTTGATAACATCCCTCATCCTGTGCTGGCTAGTGTCCTGCAGGCACTTAGAGATCTTGTGTATCCTTTTATAACAAGGCCAGGCCAAACCATTACTAATGTGTTAACAAAGCTTGGATAAAGACTGTAGTAATTATAATAGTTTATTTACATGCACATACAGTACAAGAATTTTATTAATAAATTAATATGGTTACATAGTTGTGGCTGCTAATAATGACTAAGGGTTAGAAATTTTAAAGGGTATTATTGGGTACAGCTTTTGGTAACTTTCCTTATTTGTCTGTTGGCTGTTTTACTCATTTTAAGGACATTTGCACATGTAAAATAAATGTAGAAGTTTTTGCTAAGCATTTTTTGCTTTGGAATTTTTTTTTAACATGCTGACCATCTCCCACTGAGGTAGGGTGACCTGAAAGAGAATCACTTTCACAATCATTCACACTATCACTGTCTTTCCAGAGACATGCTGATACGACAGCATTTTAACTTAATTGTAACTATTTATTCACAGTTCACAACTACTGTAGTTGTAGCTCACTAATTAGAAATAGAAATTAGACTACTTTATATTTCCAATTAGGAAGTTATCCATTATTATAAGTTAGGTTATTTTTGTTTCTTATGCATAATTTTCTTAACTGTGGTTTAGAGCTCTGGAGCCAGAGTTAAATGTGGAAGAGAGAACAATAATACTGCAGGCAGCATTAACAGCTACTCTGCCTCGCTTGTCTCAAACACACAATGTGGACTCTTACCTCACAAAGTGTTGTGCTCAGCTCAGTGTTCTCATTAGGTATGTTACTTTTGGTTCATATATTTTTGCACTTAATAAACTTCAATAGATTACATATATGTTATATAATAAGGGTGACTGTTCACTGAACAGACGGGTGGAACCCACTTCAAGTCAGTCGTAACACTAGCATTGGCATGCTAATTTTAGCACTGGCTTGCTATGGGTTCAAACTCTCTATTCAGTGAATTGTTTACAATTGCATCATTATAATTTTTGGGTCAAGGATGACTGTATTAGAATGTTTAACTAAAATAAAAGTAAATACTAGGCAAGCATTGAATTTTCCAAGAAGGTATATATGTGTTACAAGGAACAGCTAACAGTCTGTTTATTCCTTTAATAGAAATGCACATAGTTATACTCAGCATTTTAGGCAAACTTATATATTGCCAGCCATAAGCTGAGTGACTATAATGAGGGGATATAAGATAACTGATAATTTTATGCTAGATGATCATAACAGAAAACCAAAATTTCAGAACAATAATACAAAAAGATACCAGTCCGGCAACCCTGGACGATGTGACAACTTTACTACAGTCATGGACAGTCGCTCCCACTGAACTGATCAGAATTAAGTCTGTGGAACTCCTTCATGCAGCACTAAGAACATATTATGATCATCTCAACATAACAATTGAGGTAAGGCTATGACAGAAATAAAATACAATACATAAAATGTGGTAGGCATTCAAATTCATTAAATTTCATTGAAGCTTAAATTTTAATACGTATTTGCATATATGTACATATATTGTTAAGCATTTCTGTGTTTATAATGTAATTTTGAACACCCCACATCATATTTGATTAGGTAAAGGATACAACTGGGTGCACACCTCTCCCTACATAGGTCAGGTGCCTTTGCATGCCATGTAGTTCTGCTCTGCAGTTGTTGAGGTCTCTCCTATTGCCTTCTTCCAAGGCCTTTAGGATGTTTGGAAACTAGTTTTTCTCTTCTGAGCTTCATGCTCATTTTCCACTGTGGACACATGATCTTCCTAGGGTTGCAACTTTGCTTTTTCGAGGGTATGCCCTGACTTTCATTCCTGACCTTCTTTGTGGTTAGCATCACCCTCCAGGATGGTGACCAGGTTCACCTGACCTGCCCTGTCTTCACTTAGTGCACATAGCTTCTTCTGGCCTCTTCCTTGGGGCATTGAGTGTTACCCTCTAAGTCATACCACTCGTTCAGGATTCATCCTCATATTCTGCTCATCCTGGCCTTATGTAAAAAATTATTTTGTAATAATCTCAGTATTTTTGTTTTTTTACCACCTTATAAAAAATAAAACAATTTTGACTTGAAAAACGTATTTCTGTTGTTTTTAATATAAGGGAAAGGAAGATATATTAATATGCAAAGCATGAGCATGGAAATGTGTGTGCAAAATAGGAGGAAGTATAAAAAAATGTGAAATGAGGTGAGATTCTACTCAAACTTGAATTGAAGGTGCTGAGAATCACCTGTAGATTATTGGCTAATGAAAGGTGGTTTAGTTAGACTTAGGGTAGGTTAAAAGTTTAATTCAACAGCCACGAAGCTATGCTCAGAGGAAAGGTTGGAGGGAGGGTCTAAAGGAGGTCTTAAGTTCTAGGGACTTCAACATCAACATATGAGCATGTAGATCAGTGACTTGTATGGCTTGAGGTGCTGGTGGAATGTGAGGAGAGTAACATTTATAAAGGGACTCAAGGAAACCAGTTAATTAGACTTGAGTCCTGGAGGTGAGAAGCACAGAGCCCACACTCTAAAGGAGTTTGGCATGTCATCTGAACTATGTTGTCAGCACACTTTTGGTGAAACAGTGCTTCAATGAATAATGGTGAATATGTTTCCTATTTTTTGAGGGCCACCCTATCACAGTAGGAGTAATTGATAGCTTGATGGTTTATTAACAGTAACTTTAAAATACAGGGTCCCACAAACTTCAACCAGACATGTCACCTTCTAGCATTCCTAACTCCTCGTCTAACGGATCCTTGCTCACAAGTGCGAACTCAAGCAGTTGGAAGTGTGTTCATGGTGCTGCGTATTGCTGGCCGCTACAATGGTGTGACACCAGATCATGTAGATGATGATCTTGAACTCTTAAAGGTGTGTGTGCTTCTTTATAGTATTTTTCATTTACTTTTAAAACATCAACTGTCCTTTTAATTTTTATAAATTGTTCATTAATTTTGTTAGCTGTATTTAAAATTAATGAATTTATATTATTTCTCATGGCATTTAAAAATATTGTAGTAACTTTTTTTTTAAACATACCGGCTGTCTCCCACCAAGGCCAAAAAAATTTTTTCAATGAACTGGCTGTATCCCTCTGAGGCGGGGTGACCTAAAAGAAAAAAAAAAAGATTTTCTTTTTAAATTTAATGATTTATGTGGGAGAGGGGGTTACTTGCCCCTTGCTCCCGGCATTTTAGTTGCATTTACTACATGCATGACTTACTGAGGAAGGATGCTTCTCCACTTCCCCATGGAGTGCAGTAAATAAGAGTTAAAAATTAATATTCACCTATAAGTAAACATTTGGGAGCAAGGGGCTAGTAACCCCTTCTCCTGTATAAATTACTAAATTTAAAAAGAGAAACTTTTGTTTTTCTTTTTGGGCCACCCTGCCTCGGTGGGATATGGCCGGTTTGTTGAAAGAAGAAGTAAACATTTATTATATAGTATAGTTATCATTGGGTGCCTCTGCAAAGACAGTGATTATGTATGAGTGATGTTGAAAGTGTTGACTGGTAATGAAAGTTTTTTCTTTCTTTCTGGGTTTTTATTTCTTTTGGGTCACCCTGCCTTGGTGGGAGACAGCTGATGTGTTGAAAAAAAAAATAGCAGATGGGGTTAAAACAGAAAAAGTGAAGTACAAGATATTTTGTCATGTATTTATGTTAAAAATAAAGTTGTGCAATACAGTACTAATATTTGTCCTTGACATTTGCAGGCAGCAGAGGAGCAGATATCTGTTGATGATCCACATAGGATTGATAATCTAGTAAAAGACATAGGCAAGGTTAGTAACTCATACTGTGTTGTACTAGTGTACTGGAAGACATAGGTAAGGTGGTTATAATAAACTAGTGCACTGAAAGGTATAGATAAGGTTGGTAGGTGCACTGAAAGTTACAGGCAAGGTTAGTAAGTATGTATCAATACACAGATCACAGTGTTGATCAATTTTGAGTTTTTATTGCTGTCAGGTCTGAATGGCAACCAGTTAATAGTGGCTTGTTTTAAAGATAAAATTGGTTCAAAATTATCCCATTAAATGTGGGGAATGTGTGTATTGCAGTTTTTGAACTATAGTATTGACAACCCTATGGCAAGACAGTGATAGTGTGAATGATGGCGAAAGTGTTTCTTTTTTTAGGCCATCCTACCTGGGTGGGAGATGGCCAGTGTGTTAAAAAAGTTTATAACAACATCACTTAACTTTCTCGTTGCCTCATCTTATCTCACTGTTCCCGATAATTGTCATTTTAATATTTTTGATAGGGACTATTATTGCAGTAAAGTTTGCAGCGTACATCATTCATTGTACTTGATAAAGCTCAAGTTATGGGTTAAATGTTATACCAATAAAAACGTCACTGCATTGTCTTACTTAACACTTACCTAAATTCAGTTAACCAAAAAGAGGGTAGACTCGCTTCCAAATTTGTGTGCTGATTATGGAGATAATGTCAGTAATAGTAATAATTTCTTCAGGTTATGAGCACCAAGCTTTCCTTTGTGCAACTGCGCTCGTTCTTGTCAAGTGTGGTGGTAGGCTTGCAAGATAGGCTGGGTGAGTCATCGGCTGGAGTAGCTCTGGTTATCACTACAGTATTCAGTCTTCGTGGCCATCAACTTCACCAGCACATTAAGGAGTTGTTAGGTAATGTCTTTTATCAGTAATTGTAGTATTGTACTTTATAAAAATTTAATTCGTTTTTACTGTATCCTTTATTCATATGCAGTGGACCCCCGGTTAACGATATTTTTTCACTCCAGAAGTATGTTCAGGTGCCAGTACTGACCGAATTTGTTCCCATAAGGAATATTGTGAAGTAGATTAGTCCATTTCAGACCCCCAAACATACACGTACAAACGCACTTACATAAATACACTTACATAATTGGTCGCATTCGTAGGTGATCGTTATGCGGGGGTCCACTGTACTTCATTTCATTTCTTTATATTTGTCCATGTTTTTTCTTAAAACTTTGTCTAATTACTTGGTGTTCTGTGCTTAGTGCCCTTTTAATGTATTTTCCCTAGGTAATGTCAACTTATAAGCATGACCTCAGGGCAGTGCGTAGTGTGAATCTTATTCAAAGAATTCATAGCTTGGTTACTAAAAGAATTATCCAGAGGGCTGAGGAGGGGTTGTTGAGGTGGTTTGGATATTTAGGGAGGATGGAGCAAAATAGGATGACTTGAAGGGTGTATAAATCTGTAGTGGAGGGAAAGTGGGGTAGGGGTCGCCCTAAGAAAGGTTGGGGAAGAAGGAGTAAGGGATGTTTTGTGTGTGAGGGGCTTGGACATCCAGCAGGCATATGTGAGCATGTTAGAAAGGAGTGAGTGGAGGCAAATGGGTTTTGGAACTTGACAAGCTGTTGGAATTGAGCAAGGTAACATTTATGAAAGAATTCAGGTAAACCAGTTAGCCAGTCTTGAGTCCTGGAGGTGAGAAGTACAGTGCCTGCTCTGTGAAGGAGGGGTGGAGATATTTGCAGTTTGGAGGGGTTTCTGAACTGTAGTATTGGCATACTCTGTGGTAGATGGCCAGTGTGTTAAAAATAATGTATTACATCTGTTTTTCTTCCTTTTTGGGTCACCCAGCCTTGGTGGGAAATGGCCAATGTGTTAAAAAAAAAATCTGTTTTCATATCATCTTTCACTTATATGTACATATTATTCAATCACATTAAACAAATGTAAATAAATGTAAATGACATTTACTGGCTCCTACAATGCCCTTAACACGTGAATTTTTTTTATACTATGCACACCTACAGTGAAAACGTGTTTTCTCTGATGTAGTCCTAACCAAGCCAATCAAGACCATTTTGGAAGCCCTAGAATTTTGGCATAATTTTTTGTCAGTGGTACTTTTCCAGTTGGTGTAAATTTACATCATCAATAGTTTAAGTGGCAGAAGATTTTCCCCTTTTATATAAAGCACAAAGATTGAAGACACCGCTTTGTTCAGTGTATCAAATGTTGTTTGAATTTGTTGTGTCATGTAGCAGTTTGTTGTAGTAATCAAGCCTGTGTATTTCAGATTCTATATATAACAGACTTGAGAAGGTCACTCATCCAGAGACAAGACGAAGAACAGTAGAAGCTCTGACTCGCCTCGCCTCCCACAATTTGAATTTGGTGCTAGACACTATTCTTACATATCCACTTCCATATGAAAAGTTAGTTTTTAAGAATAATTTTTTCTTGCTTCAGATAGTTAACTGAAATAGTGTATTAATTAGAAGGCAGGAAGCAGGAAGATGCAAGGATTATTATGAAACACTTTAACTCCTTCACTGTCCAGAGTCTCAAAATTAAAAGTTGCTCTGTGTCCACATTTAACCCTTTGACTGTCGCAAGCTTGTTCTTGTTCAGACCAGAGCTTTGGTGAGATGGGGAAGGAAGAAGGATGGGTAAGGATGGAAATATTGGAAAAGGGTGGGAGGGGGGTGAGAGGTAGGATATAAAGGTAAGTGGCCCAACCACTTTGGTGCAATGATAATATATTTAATTAAGGGGTATAAGACTAACTTTATTGGTAGTAGGTTGGTAGACAGCAACCACCCAGGGAGGTACTACCGTCCTGCCAAGTGAGTGTAAAACGAAGCCTGTGATTGTTTTACATGATGGTAGGATTGCTGATGTCTTTTGTCTGTCTCATAAATATGCAAGATTACAGGCATGCCCTTGCTAATTTTTACTTACACTTAGGTTCACACTACACATACATGTACACATTTATTTTACACACTCATCTGAGTTTTCTTTGTTTTTTATCTTAATAGTTCTTGGTCTTATTAATTTTCCTTTTATATCCATGGGGAAGTGGAATAAGAATCTTTCCTCCGTAAGCCATGCGTGTTGTAAAAGTCAACTAAAATCCCGGGAACAATGGGCTAGTAACCCCTTTTCCTGTAAAGATTACTAAAAAGAATAGAAGAAGAAAATTGTCAAAGTGGGAAGTTTGAATGTGCGTGGATGTTGTGCAGATGATAAGAAAGAGATGATTGTGGATGTTATGAATGAGAAGAAGCTGGATGTCCTGGCTTTAAGTGAAACAAAGCTGAAGGGGTGGGAGAGTTTCAGTGTGAGGGGAAATTTAATGGGATTAGGTCAGGGGTTTCAAATAGAGTTAGAGCTAAAGAAGGATAGCAATAATGTTGAAGGATAAGCTATGGCAGGAAAAGAGGGACTATAAATGTATTAATTCAAGGATTATGTGGAGTAAAATAAAGGATTGGATGTGAAAAGTGGGTTTAATAAGCGTGTATGCACCTGGAAGAAGAGAGAAGTGTAGAGGAGAGAGAGAGATTTTGGAAATGTTGAGTGAATGCGTGGGAAATTTTGAATCAAGTGTGAGAGTAATGGTGGTTGGGGATTTTAATGCTAAAGTGGGAAAAATGTTATGGAGGGAGTAGTAGGTAAATTTGGGGTGCCAGGGTAAATGTAAATGGGGAGCCTTTAATTTGAGCTAAAGTTAGAAAGAAATTTGGTAATAAGTAATACATATTTTATGAAAAAGAGGATAAATAAATATACAAGGTATGATGTAGCACGTTTAAAGAAAGTAGTTTATTAGATTATGTATTGGTGGATAAAAGGTTGATGGGTAGGCTCCAGGATGTACATGTTTATAGAGGGGCAACTGATATATCGGATCATTATTTAGTTGTAGCTACAGTAGAGTAAGAGGTAGATGGGAAAAGAGGAGGTGGCAACAACAAGTAAGAGGGGGGTGAAAGTGTATAAACTAAGGGAGGAGGAAGTTCGGGTGAGATATAAGCGACTATTGGCAGAAAGGTGGGCTAGTGCAAAAGATGAGTAGTGGGGGGGTTGAAGAGGGTTGGAATAGTTTTAAAAAAGCAGTATTAGAATGGGGGCAGAAGTTTGTGGTTATAGGAGGGGGGGGGGGAAAGGGGGAAAGAGGGGTGATTGGTGGAATGATGAAGTAAAGGGTGTGATAAAAGAGAAAAAAAGGGAGCTTATGAGAGGTTTTTACAAAGCAGAAGTGTTATAAGGAAGAGCAGAGTATATGGAGAGTAAAAGAAAGGTAAAGAGAGTGGTGAGAGAGTGCAAAAGGAGAGCAGATGATAGAGTGGGAGAGGCACTTTTCAAGAAATTTTAAAGAAAAATAAGAAAAAATTTTGGAAGTGAGGTTAAACAAGTTAAGAAAGCCTAGGGAAAATATGGATTTGTCAGTTAAAAACAGAGTAGGGGAGTTAGTAGTGGGGAGATGGAGGTATTGGGAAGATGGCGAGAATATTTTGAGGAACTTTTAAATGTTAAGGAAGAAACAGAGGCAGTAAAATTTTTTGCACTGGTCAGGGAGGTATACCATCTTTTAGGAGTGAAGAAGAGCAGAAAGTAAGTGTGGGGGAGGTACGTGAGGCATTACGTAAAATGAAAGGGGGGGGTAAAAGCAGCTGGAACTGATGGGATCATGACAGAAAGTTAAAAAGAGGGGGGATATAGTGTTGGAGTGGTTGGTACTTTTGTTTAATAAATGTATGAAAGAGGGGAAGGTACCTAGGGATTGGCAAGAGCATGTATAGTCCCTTTATATAAAGGGGAAAGGGGACAAAAGAGACTGTAAAAAATTTAGAGGAATAAGCTTACTGGTTTACCAGGAAAAGTGACGGTAGGGTTATAATTGAAAGAATTAGAGGTAAGACAGAATGTAGGATGCGGAGAGCAAGGAGGTTTTAGAGTGGGTAGGGGATGTGTAGATCAGGTGTTTACATTGAAGCATATATGTAAACAGTATTTAGATAAAGATAGGGAAGTTTTTATTGCATTTATGGATTTAGAAAAGGCATATGATAGAGTGGATAGAGGAGCAATGTGGCAGATGTTGCAAGTATATGGAATAGGGGGTAAGTTATTAAAAGCTGTAAAGAGTTTTTATGAGGATAGTGAGGCTCAGGTTAGGGTGTGTAGAAGAGAGGGAGACTACTTCCCGGTTAAAAGTAGGTCTTAGACAGGGATGTGTAATGTCACCATGGTTGTTAAAAAATATTTATAGATGGGGTTGTAAAGGAAGTAAATGCTAGGGTTGTTTGGGAGAGGGGGGGATTAAATTATGGGGGAAACAAATTTAAAATGGGAATTGACACAGTTACTTTTTTTCGGATGATACTGTGCTTATGGGAGATTCTAAAGAAAAAATTGCAAAGGTTAGTGGATGAGTTTGGGAATGTGTGTAAAGGTAGAAAGTTGAAAGTGAACATGAAAAGAGTAAGGTGATGAGGGTGTCAAATGATTTAGATAAAGAAAAATTGGATATCAAATTGGGGAGGAGGAGTAAAGGAAGAAGTGAATGTTTTTCAGATACTTGGGAGTTGATTTTTCGGCAGATGGATTTATGAAGGATGAGGTTAATCATAGAATTGATGAGGGAAAAAAGGTGAGTGGTGCGTTGAGGTATATGTGGAGTCAAAAAACGTTATCTATGGAGGCAAAGAAGGGAATGTATGAAAGTATAGTAGTACCAACACTCTTATATGGGTGTGAAGCTTGGGTGGTAAATGCAGCAGCGAGGAGACGGTTGGAGGCAGCGGAGATGTCCTGTTTAAGGGCAATGTGTGGTGTAAATATTATGCAGAAAATTCGGAGTGTGGAATTAGGAGAAGGTGTGGAGTTAATAAAAGTATTAGTCAGAGGGCAGAAGAGGGGTTGTTGAGGTGGTTTGGTCATTTAGAGAGAATGGATCACAGTAGAATGACATGGAAAGCATATAAATCTATAGGGGAAGGAAGGCGGGGTAGGGGTCGTCCTCGAAAGGGTTGGAGAGAGGGGGTAAAGGAGGTTTTGTGGGTAAGGGGCTTGGACTTCCAGCAAGCGTGCGTGAGCGTGTTAGATAAGGAGTGAATGGAGACGAATGGTACTTGGGACCTGACGATCTGTTGGAGTGTGAGCAGGGTAATATTTAGTGAAGGGATTCAGGGAAACCGGTTATTTTCATATAGTCGGACTTGAGTCCTGAAATGGGAAGTACAATGCCTGCACTTTAAAGGAGGGGTTTGGGATATTGGCAGTTTGGAGGGATATGTTGTGTATCTTTATATGTTTATGCTTCTAGACTGTTGTATTCTGAGCACCTCTGCAAAAACAGTGATAATGTGCGAGTGTGGTGAAAGTGTTGAATGATGATGAAAGTATTTTCTTTTTGGGGATTTTCTTTCTTTTTTGGGTCACCCTGCCTCGGTGGGAGACGGCCGACTTGTTGAAAAAAAAAAAAAAAAAAAAAAAAAGACTAACCCATCAAAGTCACATAGATATAACAGATTTATAAGTACATGACTCTGAATTGGTAGTAATTATACAAGTTGCAATTGCTTTTTTTTTTTTTTTTTTTTTTTTTTTTTTTTTTTTTTTTGCGATTGCACAACGGATGTTTATGCGACAAGGAAGGCATAATTTTCTGGCCAGTTTATAAATTTCATGACAATGGCTTCTTACAGGTGGTGTCCAGCCATAGTAAATAGCATAATTTTTACATTAGAAAGTTATATATGATGTCTCCCTAATTGGGGGCGATGATTTTCTCAGTATACATAGAAGGGTTCTGGTGGTACCCAATCCTCTTCATCAGGGAGGTTGCTCAATATCATGGGTCGTGGGTAATCATCTTTATGAATAAAGCGACGGACCCTTTGTGGGAGAGTCGTTCGTTGAGTCCTGTAAGGAGGAGTAGTGATAGTATAATCCGTGGTATTTACCACTTGTATAGGATGTTCTCTATCTGGCATGTATAGTTCTTGCATTGTATAAAGTTGTTTCTTTTTAAGGTGTCAAGGCGTACGTTTATGGCAGTAATATCTTCTTGTATGTGTAAATCTGCCATTTTAATTCTGTCTCTCCTCCTGGTATCGGTGATGAAGCGAAGAGCTCTATTCTGGACCCTTTGTAACCGGAGCATGTTGGTCTTTGTTGTTAATGACATTGGGACACAAGGGTATTCGAGTATTGGTCTTATTATCATTTTATACAGATGTTTTTTGACATGTTGAGGGGCTTGATTGAATCGAAAGAGTCTGCTAAGACCGGCTTTGGCTATGTTGATCTTTTTAGTTACATGAGATGTTGAATGGAGCAGCCTGTCGATTTCATATCCCAAAATCTTGTTAGGGTTTCTAATGGCTACAGGTGTACCTCTGATGGAGATACCTCCTTTATCTTCAATTGTTGATGCAAAACATCCTATCGTGCTAACAAGGACCTTGTCAGGATTAGTTGTAATTCTCCATTTCTTTTCCCAATTAGATGTTCGACGAAGTTCAATATTCATTTTCTCTATGACTCTCTCGTACTTGTATTTTCCTGTTACCGGAGTTGATGAGACGACATGAATAACATCATCTGCAAACTGTGTCACAATTGTGTCATTAAACTCTGGTTGAGGAAGGTCATTCACATAAATGTTGAACAGGAGTGGACTGAGACAAGATCCTTGTGGGACACCAGCTGTCGGTATAAAAGGCTCTGTCGACCTGCCATGAAAGGTGGGAATGATTTTTCTTTGAGTTAAGAAATTATATATTTATCTGAGAAAAGTCCAGTTATGGTCTGGTAGGTCAATGAGTTTGTATGACGGTATTGGACGTGTAGTCTGATTTGCTTACTCCTGAACATTGGTAAAAATCGAACATTTCCGCTACTTTGAGCTCAATTTCAAGGTCATTTTCATCATGAAACTAATCAAAATCATCTCTATTTCTGTAATATGTTTTCTATTTTATCATGTGAGACCATGAAAATGAGAATACAATGATAAATACTATACGAAAATACACCTCAAAGTCGGTGTTTTAATAAAAAAAAAACGGTCAGTTTTTTTTTCTCATTATGCACTGCATGCTGCAGGATTTTCTTTATGTGGTGCACACTGACCACACAGACTCATTCTCTCACATGTGGGCCTACCAGCTTTCTCCTGCTTGATTTGAAGTCGCTAGAATTTACGCGTAGTATTAATATGTCCGAAACAGTGGCGTGTAAGAGATATATATACAACCAAAACAGTCAAAGGGTTAAACAAAAAAAAAATTTCTGAATGGTAGAGAATCTTTTTCTGAAGGTAATCACGCCAAAAATACAAAATTTGATGGAGACTTGTGAAATTATGCAGGCACAAAGTTAGTCTGGGCACAATTTATCCATCAGCAATTTCACCCTCTTTGAATCCTATTTTAAGCCAGTTCCATTGTTTATTTTGACCAAATTCTTAGCTATTACTCTAGTATGCCTTCCAGTCTATTGATTGAGCACAGGAAACTGCTCATTCAGCTAACAAAACTACCCTGTAAAGTGCACAGAACTTAGTAATACGGCCAATTTTACACCAAATTAAAAAATTCTAGAGTCCAGAATTAACGCTGTAGACATGCCAGGCACTAAACATTTCCTCTTTTCATTAATCATGTCCCCAGGCCTCTCCTATATTACACTTGCCTTCCGTTTTTAATTCATCACACAAAAAACGAAGATTTACTGTATTTTATGGATAATAAAATATAACCAGGAATGATTGGTCATGGGTTACAGCATCCCAATAATTGAATAAGATCTAGTAATAAGCCCATGAAGCAGACAGGGATTGTAAGGGGGGCTCTTACATGTCCTCAGGAAAATTGGCAAAAATTAAATATTTTTGCTTCTTTGAAGCTGATTTCAAGCTGCTCCCAGTTTTGGAATCAACCATAATCTTCTCTATTTGAGTAGTATGTCTTTCATTCTATCAAATGATACCAAGAAATAACCTATAAAAACCATCCTAGAAACACCTCAGAGTCACTGTTTTAAACCAAACACATCATACACCACATGGGGCATTATTTTTTTATATTGTGCATGCTTGCCACACAGATCCATTCTTTCATAATTAGGCAAAATTTACTGCTCTCAGCTTATCTGAGTAAGCTGAGCTCAAGACGTATCTCTGCGTGAGGGATCCTGGCCTCTGTAACGTAGATCTATGTGACAGAGAGTGAAAGGGTTCAGTACAGGTTTCCCTTGCTTTAGGTGAGTTTACTGCTGTGCAGGGCCCCATTTTTATCATTATTTGCATGTGTAATATACATTTACTGAATGCAGTCTATGCAATTTGTAAAGAGTTGTCACAGCTGCTCTTTGCTGATGACACTGTGCTCTTGGGAGATTCTGAAGAGAAGTTGCAGAGATTGGTGGATGAATTTGGTAGGGTGTGCATAAGAAGAAAATTAAAGGTGAATACAGGAAAGAGTAAGGTTATGAGGATAACAAAAAGATTAGGTGATGAAAGATTGAATATCAGATTGGAGGGGAGAGAGTATGGAGGAGGTGAACGTATTCAGATATTTGGGAGTGGACGTGTCAGCGGATGGGTCTATGAAAGATGAGGTGAATCATAGAATTGATGAGGGAAAAAGAGTGAGTGGTGCACTTAGGAGTCTGTGGAGACAAAGAACTTTGTCCTTGGAGGCAAAGAGGGGAATGTATGAGAGTATAGTTTTACCAACGCTCTTATATGGGTGTGAAGCGTGGGTGATGAATGTTGCAGCGAGGAGAAGGCTGGAGCAGTGGAGATGTCATGTCTGAGGGCAATGTGTGGTGTGAATATAATGCAGAGAATTCGTAGTTTGGAAGTTAGGAGGAGGTGCGGGATTACCAAAACTGTTTGTCCAGAGGGCTGAGGAAGGGTTGTTGAGGTGGTTCGGACATGTAGAGAGAATGGAGCGAAACAGAATGACTTCAAGAGTGTATCAGTCTGTAGTGGAAGGAAGGCGGGTAGGGGTCGGCCTAGGAAGGGTTGGAGGGAGGGGTAAAGGAGTTTTGTGTGCGAGGGGCTTGGACTTCCAGCAGGCATGCGTGAGCGTGTTTGATAGAGTGAATGGAGACAAATGGTTTTTATACTTGACGTGCTGTTGGAGTGTGAGCAAAGTAACATTTATGAAGGGATTCAGGAAACCGGCAGGCCGACTTGAGTCCTGGAGATGGGAAGTACAGTGCCTGCACTCTGAAGGAGGGGTGTTAATGTTGCAGTTTAAAAACTGTAGTGTAAAGCACCCTTCTGGCAAGACAGTGATGGAGTGAATGATGGTGAAAGTTTTTCTTTTTCGGGCCACCCTGCCTTGGTGGGAATCGGCCGGTGTGATAAAAAAAAAAAAAAAAAAAAAAATTAAAGTATATGGGAAAGTATGATAAAGAATAGAATTACATAGAATATAGAGATGTAATGTACCAACATGTTGAAAGAGATGTGATAAAAATCATGCAGGGAAGGTTCCATGAGGGCATAAGGGTATGTTGAGACAGCGACTTTGAGTTTCTTTGAGGAAGTTTCCACTGAGAATAAGGTGTCAAAATTTATATACTGTAGTAGTTATGTTCTTCCTTTTTATAGGATACATAAGTATTTCTCCATGTCGTAAGAGGTGACTAAAATGCCGAGAACAAAGGGTTAGTAACTCCTTCTCCTGTATAAATTACTAAATGTAAAAAGAAGAAAAACTTTACATTTTTTTTGGGGGGGGGGGTGGCATCACCCTGCCTTGGTGGTAGATGGCTGATGTGTTAAAAAGAAAAAAAATTGTTGTAATAATGCTTGAAGGGAAGGATGGTTTACCTTCCCTGTGCTTAGTCTTATTAAGAAGCAGCAGATATGTTATTGATAATAAAAAGAATATGCTAAGCTTAATTAGAGAAGGGTATGTATTTTGAAAGGTGTGTATATATGGTACATTGAGAGTTTACTTTAATCCCAGTTTTAAGGATTGATTAAGGTATCCTTGATTGGTCATGTACATGTGACACACATGCTCAGTGCTTCCTTCTCTTGTAAACGATAAGCTTTAAACCTAATACGTACATGTATACTAAACATAGGGACAGCATAGAGTATTCGAACTTTGATGATTTACTTGTATGTTTCATGTAGAAGCTTAGCACTTATTGCAGCCCTCTGATATCTGGCTTTACTAATTATTACTTATTAAATCTTAATCTTTGTGCATGCAGTCTTATCATGAGAAGACTTGATCACTTTCTTTTCTATTTTTACTATTTTTTCCCTCGTAAATAAATTCAGGTTTTCAGAAAACATAATTACAGTATTAATAATTATGAGGTATCATATGCTTTTTATATCAAATTAGTATTACCACCCCGAGTGGTAGGTGGACCCTCATGCTCGTTATAAATGTAATTTTTTACACAGGGGTGTATGTGAGACATGGCATAATTTGGGCCATGATGCACAGCTTTGTGAATCTGCAATAACTCTTCTGACACAAATTCTGGAGCGCACACAGTTGTATTCAGAGCAACCAACAACTACCGATGCTACTGTCAAGATTGCAACAATTCCACCATTGTCTGTAAGAATTATAGCACTTATTAATTCTTTAGCTTTTTACTTTGCTATTCTTCTTTCTGGTTTATTAAAATCTCTAGAGGTGTTGACTAAAGATTTTGATATCTAAGAGCATCTTTAATAATAAAAATTTTTGTATAATCTAGAGAAGATTATGGTGGCAAGTTCAATTTATCAAATAATAATTTAAGATAATGAGTATAGTTATAGTGATCTACTACGGCATATCAAGTTATGGTGGGATTGAAACCCTCTTGAATATGTATAATACAAATTTCATTGCTGTAAACTTTTTTACAGTATGTAAAGTTTATGCTGCATTATACATTAAATATTTGTTAAGGTTTACTTAAAGATTGGTGTGGTCCATTTACCAGAGTTTGATAAATCAAAAGTGAATAATTAAATACAGTCTAATTCCTCTCTGGCTAATGGATAAGTCTTACTGTTAGTGGTGTCTCTACCAGATTGACACTCTCCCATCACCAGCTAGTGGACCATTCTTACTGTTCGTGGTATTTCTACCAGCCAGACTTTCCTTGGTTTGCAGCTTATGAACAGTTCTAACTGTTTGTGGTGTTCCTACCAGACACATGATGGAGTATTTCCTGCCCACATCCCCAGATTGTAGGATTGCGGATGAGCAGGGAGGTTTCAGAGTGGGTAGGGGATGTGTAGATCAAGTGTTTACATTTAAGCATATATGTGAACAGTATTTAGATAAAGGTAGGGAAGTTTTTATTGCATTTATGGATTTAGAAAAGGCATATGATAGAGTGGATAGAGGAGCAATGTGGCAGATGTTGCAAGTATATGGAATAGGTGGTAAGTTACTAAATGCTGTAAAGAGCTTTTATGAGGATAGTGAGGCTCAGGTTAGGGTGTGTAGAAGAGAGGGAGATTACTTCCCGGTAAAAGTAGGTCTTAGACAGGGATGTGTAATGTCACCATGGTTGTTTAGTATATTTATAGATGGGGTTGTAAAAGAAGTAAATTCTAGGGTGTTCGGGAGAGGGGTGGGATTAAATTATGGGGAATCAAATTCAAAATGGGAATTGACACAGTTACTTTTTGCTGATGATACTGTGCTTATGGGAGATTCTAAAGAAAAATTGCAAAGGTTAGTGGATGAGTTTGAGAATATGTGTAAAGGTAGAAAGTTGAAAGTGAACATAGAAAAGAGTAAGGTGATGAGGGTATCAAATGATTTAGATAAAGAAAAATTGGATATCAAATTGGGGAGGAGGAGTATGGAAAAAGTGAATGTTTTCAGATACTTGGGAGTTGACGTGTCGGTGGATGGATTTATGAAGGATGAGGTTAATCATAGAATTGATGAGGGAAAAAAGGTGAGTGGTGCGTTGAGGTATATGTGGAGTCAAAAAACGTTATCTATGGAGGCAAAGAAGGGAATGTATGAAAGTATAGTAGTACCAACACTCTTATATGGATGTGAAGCTTGGGTGGTAAATGCAGCAGCGAGGAGACGGTTGGAGGCAGTGGAGATGTCCTGTCTAAGGGCAATGTGTGGTGTAAATATTATGCAGAAAATTCGGAGTGTGGAAATTAGGAGAAGGTGTGGAGTTAATAAAAGTATTAGTCAGAGGGCAGAAGAGGGGTTGTTGAGGTGGTTTGGTCATTTAGAGAGAATGGATCAAAGTAGAATGACATGGAAAGCATATAAATCTATAGGGGAAGGAAAGAGGGGTAGGGGTTGTCCTCGAAAGGGTTGGAAAGAGGGGGTAAAGGAGGTTTTATGGGCGAGGGGCTTGGACTTCCAGCAAGCGTGCATGAGCGTGTTAGATAGGAGTGAATGGAGACGAATGATACTTGGGACCTGACGATCTGTTGGAGTGTGAGCAGGGTAATATTTAGTGAAGGGATTCAGGGAAACCGGTTATTTTCATATAGTCGGACTTGAGTCCTGAAAATGGGAAGTACAATGCCTGCACTTTAAAGGAGGGGTTTGGGATATTGGCAGTTTGGAGGGATATGTTGTGTATCTTTATAAGTGTATGCTTCTAAACTGTTGTATTCTGAGCACCTCTGCAAAAGCAGTGATAATGTGTGAGTGTGGTGAAAGTGTTGAATGATGATGAAAGAATTTTCTTTTTTGGGGATTTTCTTTCTTTTTTGGGTCACCCTGCCTCGGTGGGAGACGGCCGACTTGTTGAAAAAAAACAAAAAAATCCCCAGATTCACTTCTTGAACTGTTCTTCAAAGGCTCTTGGTCTTTTATAGAGCATGCCACATGTCACTCTCTCTTCCCTGGACAGTCAGAGCTTTTATCCACCAAATTGCTATAATGTCTTGACACTCGCAAATTCTTCCTCAGGATCATGATTCCAGTATGTACTTTCAGTAGATGGGTTCAGGCACTCATATGTCCATCACATCCCTTCAACTCAATGACATTAATAACAAACTGCAGTTTACTATAGTTTCTTTAATTTTTTTATTTTTAAGTAAAAAACTCACACTCATAAGGTGAGGAGGTGTAACTGAGAACATTTCTACGACAATAAGATAAACTTATATCTTGTAAGATGTGGTAAGCACTTTCTTATCCTGCCTCATCATCCATATTTTTGCAAGATATCTCCCTATACTTTTATATATAGCATTTTTTCCTTTTAAGGAGGAAGAAGATTATAATGAGGCTGGTGAAGGACTCTTGATTCAGGTACTTAAACGTTAATATTCCCTAACTTGGATCAAACCTGATTATGCCTCTGTTTCCCAGATGCTGCCTCTAAATCACCCCTACAGGTTTAATGCTTGACTGATAATATATAGTAAATATTTGTTTTACCTCAGCAGCATGACCCAAAGAAGAAAATACATTCACCGTAATCCATGCAATTGCTGTCTTTCCAGAAGTGTGTTGACATCACAATTCAAATTATCCTCTGACTGCAACGTCTCCACCCCTCCTTCAGAGCGCAAGCACTGCTTTTCCCACCTCCAGGACTCAAATCAGGCTAACTAGTTTCCCTGAATCTCTTCTTAGTACCTTGCTTAAACTCCAAACAGCACATCCATTAAGAATTACTTGCCTCCATTTACTCCTAAATAACTCACTCACAGAAGCCTGCTGGATGCTCAAGCCCCTAAAACTCAAGTCACTTTTACCCCCCTTCCTGGGATGACTCCTACACCCACCTTCCATCACAGATTTATACATCCTTTTGGTCATCCAGTTCTTTCCATCCTCTCTATATGTAATGTACTTTTTCTTAACACACCAGCCATCTTCCACCGAGGCCGAGTGACCCAAAAAAGAAGAAATGCTTTCATAAAGTATTACTGCTTTTTACATTCAGTAATTTATACAAGAGAAGGGGTTTATATATAATTTATATAGACATACAGCAGGCATGTGTGAGTGTGTTCGATATGAGTGAGTGGAGACGAATAGTTTTTAGGACTTGATGTGCTGTTGGAGTGTGAGCAGGGTAATATTTTGTGAAGGGATTCTGGGAAACCAGAGGGGGAAAGTACAATGTTGTTTAGAGTGACATTTAAACATTGCATGCCTCTGCAAAGACAGTGATAGTGTAAATGATGGTGAAAGTGTTTCTCTTTTTTGGGGTCGCCCCTGCCTCAGTGGGAGACAGCTGGTGTGTTAAAAAAAAAAAAAAGAAAATATATATTTTTCTTTTTTTCATGCAGGGTACCTGCATTTGTTTTTATGATGGGATTATTGTATATGATGGACACCAAGGGAAAAAAGAAAACCCTGTGACTTAGTTAAATTGCAACTTTAGAAAAAAATTAATGTAGAAAAGTGACTTTAGAATAGTTAAATGATTATTAGTTGTGTTTTTGAGGATAAGTAACTTAAGATTACAATAATAATAATAATAATATAATAATAAAAATAATTGCTTGGGTTGTAAATGCAGCAGCAAGGAGTCAGTTGGAGGTAGTGGAGATGTCCTGTCTAAGGGCAATGTGTGGTGTAAATATTATGCAGAAATTCGGAGTGTGGAAATTAGGAGAAGGTGTGGAGTTAATAAAAGTATTAGTCAGAGGGCTGAAGAGGGGTTGTTGAGGTGATTGGTCATTTAGAGAGACTAGATCAAAGTAGAATGACATGGAGAGCGTACAAATCTGTAGGAGAAGGAAGGTGGGGTAGGGGTCGTCCTCGAAAAGGTTGGAGGGAGGGGGTAATGGAGGAGGTGTGGGTGAGGGGTTTGGACTTCCAGCAAGCATGTTAGATAGGAGTGAATGGAGACAAATAGTATTTGGGACCTGACGATCTGTTGGAGTGTGAGCAGGGTAATATTTAGTGAAGGGATTCAGGGAAACCGGTTATTTTATATAACCGGACTTGAGTCCTGGAAATGGGAAGTACAATGCCTGCACTCTAAAGGAGGGGTTTGGGATATTGGCAGTTTGGAGGGATATGTTGTGTATTTTTATACGTATATGCTTCTAAACTGTTGTATTTTGGGCACCTCTGCAAAAACAGTGATTATGTGTGAGTGAGGTGAAAGTGTTGAATGATGATGAAAGTATTTTCTTTGTGGGTCACCCTGCCTCGGTGGGAGACGGCTGACTTGTTGAAAAAAAAATAAAAAATAATAATAATAATAATCCTAGGTAGTATGTTGGTAGACAGCAACCGCCCAGGGAGGTACTACCGTCCTGCCAAGTGAGTGTAAAACGAAAGCCTGTAATTGTTTTACATGATGGTAGGATTGCTGGTGTCTTTTTATTCTGTCTCATACACATGCAAGATTTCAGGTACGTCTTGCTACTTCTATTTAGACTTAGGTCACACTTCACATATGTTTTTTTTTTTTTTTTTTCAACAGGTCGGCCGTCTCCCGCCGAGGCAGGGTGACCCATAAAAGAAAGAAAGTCCCCAAAAAGAAAATACTTTCATCATCATTCAACACTTTCACCACACTCACACATTATCACTGTTTTTGCAGAGGTGCTCAGGATACAACAGTTTAGAAGCATACACATGTAAAGATACACAACATATCCCTCCAAACTGCCAATATCCCAAACCCCTCCTTTAAAGTGCAGGCATTGTACTTCCCATTTCCAGGACTCAAGTCCGACTATATAAAAATAACCGGTTTCCCTGAATCCCTTCACTAAATATTACCCTGCTCACACTCCAACAGATCGTCAGGTCCCAAGTACCATTCGTCTCCATTCACTCCTATCTAACACGCTCACGTACGCTTGCATATATACACGCACCCCTCTGGGTTTTCTTCTATTTTCTTTCTAGTTCTTGTTCTTGTTTATTTCCTCTTACCTCCATGGGAAAGTGGAACAGAATTCTTCCTCCGTAAGCCATGTATGTTGTAAGAGGCGACTAAAATGCCAGGAGCAAGGGGCTAGTAACCCCTTCTCCTGTATATATTACTAAATGTAAAAGGAGAAACTTTCGTTTTTCCTTTTGGGCCACCCTGCCTCGGTGGGATATGGCCGGCGTGTTGAAAGAAAGAAAGAAGAATAATAATAATCTTTATTTCTACATGTACATATACAAGGTGTTACAAAAAACACGATTTCTAATAAGCATAGAGATCTCCAGTGAATACTAGAAAGGACTGCCCTTCTAGCATCCAGCCTGTTACTGGGTTTTCGTAACAAGTAAGTCAGTATCCTTGTCCAATTATCCATTAGAATTCAATAAGAATTATTAGTGCTTCAGGATTACAACTGGTAGGCTACTAACTAGAGAAATTAAAATTTAATAAATTTATTAATAACAAAGTCTAGAGGTATAAGATCAAAGTAAATTAAATTTATCAATTGAATATAATATAGGATACAAGTTCCTACACTTCTCTCGTGTACAGTAGTATTGTGCTGAAGGCACATCACATTTATACGTCTTAAGTACCGTCTGGTACATTAACATTAATAAGATATTACAAATATGTACAAGTAAGTTTGTGTGTGTGTGTGTAAGTGCTCTAAGTACATAGTTCGCTGAGTCTCAAAACTCAACTAGACTTAACCAGTGACTAAGTCCTCACATTAACTAACTTCTTGACCACCTGGCAATCAGAACAGCTTGCTTGAACAATAAAATGACTGCCAAGCCCAATAGCAATATAACAAGCAACTGCGACACAGAATCAGGATCAAGGAGATAATATAGCGACACTAAGTAGGGACCATCAGCAGATCCTCCACAAAAGTCACAAAACTCCCATACTACTGAATCTAAGTTCAGCATAAGAAAATCCCCGACTGTGACAGTACACAGATACCAGTACAAGTTAGGTCAGAAGCTACAGCTCAGGACCTGAGTTGCTCAGAGTGTCTATGCGACACACAACCTCAGTACAACGTCGAAAATCACTAAGTCTAGACAATGTTCTGTGAACAGAGTTCTACAGAACCTACAACAAGAAAGTGACAGAGACGATCTTCCAACAAGGGCCAGTAAGGGAGAGTTAGGCACGTCTTGTCAGGAATACATCCAACCACCAAGAAAGTCTAGCCCAGACTGACTACTCCAGGCGAGGTGTGAACACCCCCCCTTCTGATCACATGATTTCTCTGTGGACTGTTGCTGCCCAGCAACACCGAGAAGCCGGCAGGGAAACTAGCAACGAGCGATAATTACAGTAGTTAGACAATCAAGACTTGAACTATCAGCACTCAATAATATATACTATATAAATGTTGCATCCTACCTAATAAAAGTAACTAAGTCAAATAATATAAAGCAATATATTTACGATTTAGCTATTATCGCAAATACTATAAGCAATATAAAATTATATGAAAAGTAATATACATTATATACATTGTGACCCATTCAGGGGTCACAACACAAGGTATACAGGCCTAACTGACATCAGTGACATACTACTATATAGAAAGTCACTTGTTATGCAAAGCATTTCTGGCAAATTAGATCAGTTTTGTCCCCAGGATGTGACCCACACCAGTCAGTTAACACCCAGGTACCTATTTTAATGATAGGTGAACGTGGACAGCAGGTGCCGTAGGGAAATACGTCCTAATGTTTCCACTCGTACCGGGGATTGGCCCCCAAGACCCCAATGTGTGAGCTGAGAGTACTAGCAGTGATTATTAGTTGTTGATTCTGGGAGTTTACTATATCCATTTTCTCATTTAATTAATAGGATTATGTAGTGCAACTTGCTCATATTTTGGAGCAGAACTGTTGATGCATTTGGTTTGTCCTGGAAATATTAAGTCACATGAGACTTAATGACCAAGCAAATGATGAAACCTCTTCAGCAGTTTTCTTCAAAAGTTAGATTACCTGTGAATTGTCCTAGTGATAATCTTTTTTATTTCTGCTCATTTGCAGGCCATCTGTGGTTTGTGTGAGCTGATGCATGATTTAAGATCACACAAGGAAAGCACTGAAGGAGAGCACGAGGACAGTGACTGGGAGAAAGTTGAGGGAGGTGAAGCCGTGAAGGTCACCCATCACTGGACAGCATCACAGCAGATCATTAATAATAACTTCCCATCATTGGCAGCGCTACTTTTACTCTCCTATGGTTCCTATGTTGGGGTCGTTGCTCCTCTCCATCAGACAGCCTCAGCAAACTCCAAAAGTGCCTTTAACTTTATACCCAACAGAGGTGCAACAACTCTTGTTCCCACTAAGTATGTTATACCTTTGTTTTTTGTTTTTTTTACTTAAACACAGTAAAATTAGGCATTAAAGTATTTGTAGGAGTATGAATAGTGTATACATGATTGATTGTAACTATAGTAGTCATTGAATGAAGTGGAAAGATGCAAAATTAGTTATAAAACAACTTCATAGAGGAGATGTCCAAAAGCTTCTTTCATGTCATTCACAGATATAATTAATGAAATTAGTGACAGCTTCATGTCAGAGGTATTAGGGAGAATCTCTTAAGACCCCCACAGCAGAATTTAGCCTAACTACAATACAGTGGAACCTCAAATATCGAACTTAATCTGTTCCAGGAGTTAGTTCTAAATTCGAAAAGTCTGAAAAGCGAAGCAATATTTCCCATAAGAAATAATGGAAATACAATTAATCCGTTCCAGAAATCCAAAAATATTCACAAAAAAAATAAATACATTTTATAGAGATTAATTATAGTTTTACATACACACAAATATAGTGTTCAATTATGTATTAATAAATTTAAATAAACATATAAAATAACATTTTACTTACCTTTATTGAAAACTGGTGATGGCATCTGGAAGATGGGGAGGAGGAGAGAGGGAGTTGGGGTTAGTGTTTGGAAGGAGAATACACCTCCATGAGGACTTCAGGTAAAGCCCTCTCTGGGGTTACTTCCCTTCTCTGTCTTTTAATGCCACTAGGACCAGCTTGAGTCACTGGACCCCTGTCTCACAAAATAACTGTCCACAGTCCTCTGTTTCTGGTGCCTCTTTAAGATTTCCCTAAAATGGGACATGGTTCTGTCACTGAACTTGTTGCAAAGATGGCTTGTTTCAGCTTGCTCAGGGTGGTACTTCTCTACAAACATTTGGACATCATTCCACTACTGTATTATTTCCTTCTTCACATCTATGGTGTTTCTCACTTTCTTTACCACAGGGGTACCACTAGCAAGTTTCTTTGTTCCCATTGTAGCTTATTTCACAGTCCCACAAGCACTAAACACAATGAAATAATCGTAAAATGTTTGAATGAGAGCGCAAGTTAGTGTTAACTCAAGCATCAACAAAACCAGACTGGCTCATGGCGCCTGCCTGAGGATGCAGACAGAGCGGGCTGCCGGACAGGTCCGGTACCCGGAGGTTCGAAAATAGAGGCGAGTTCGATAAAATGGACAAAGTTGGTTCGAAAAAAGGGTTCTATTTTTGAAGAGTTCAATAAGCGATATGTTCGAAATTTGAGGTTCCACTGTATCTAAATGTTGGAAAGATCTCTCTACCTAAAATGGTTAGCAATTAGACTTTAATAAAATTTCTTTTTGCATGTTATGTGCTATACAGTATAATAAAATTTCTTTTTGCATGTTATATGCTATACAGTACAATACAAATTTATTTCTCTTCTACAGTATACAAAATGTAGTTTACATTTAATAAAATATTGTTAGACACAAAAGAAAGCCCCCTAGCACATGGTGTATTTTGGACAGACTAATTATATAACAAAAGTGTCTATTCATGGCATGGTTGAGTGCTTACCTGGAGGTTACCTGGAGGTTATTCCGGGGATCAACGCCCCCGCAGCCCGGTCCACGACCAGGCCTCCCGGTGGATCAGGGCCTGATCAACCAGGCTGTTACTGCTGGCTGCACACAGTCCAACGTACAAGCCACAGCCCGGCTGATCTGGCACTGACTTTAGGTATCTGTCCAGTTCTCTCTTGAAGGCAGCCAGGGGTTTATTGGTAATCCCCCTAATGCTTGATGGGAGGCTGTTGAACAGTCTTGGGCCCCAGACACTTATGGTGTTTTCTCTTAGTGTACCAATGGCGCCCCTACTTTTAATTGGGGGTATTTTGCATCGCCTGCCCAGTCTTTTACTTTCGTAGGGAGTGATTTCTGTGTGCAGATTCGGGACCATTCCTTCCAGAATTTTCCAAGTGTAGATTATGATACATCTCTCCTGCATTCCAACGAGTACAAGTCAAGTGCTTCCAAGCGTTCCCAGTAGTTAAGGTGCTTGACAGAACTTATACGTACAGTAAAGGATCTCTGTACATTCTCTAGATCTGTAATTTCACCTGCTTTGAATGGAGATGTTAATGTACAGCAGTATTCCAGCCTAGAGAGAACAAGTGATTTGAAAAGGATCATCATTGGCTTGGCATCTCTTGTTTTGAACATTCTCATTATCCATCCTATCATTTTCTTTGCACTTGTGATCGTGGCACTGTTGTGATCCTTGAAATTGAGATCCTCAGACATTACTACTCCCAGGTCCCTTACATTATTTTTCTGCTCTATTGTATGGCCAGAGTTTGTGGTGTACTCTGTTCTAGTTATTATCTCCTCCAGTTTTCCATAATGGAGTAGTTGGAATTTGTCCTCATTGAACATCATATTGTTTTCCGTTGCCCACTGAAAAACTTTGTTTATATCTTCTTGGAGGTTAACCGCGTCCTCAGCAGATGACAGCCTCATGCAGATCCTAGTATCATCCGCAAAGGATGATACGGTGCTGTGGTGTATATCTCTGTCTATGTCTGATATGAGGATGAGGAATAAGATGAAGGCAAGTACTGTGCCTTGTGGAACAGAGCTTTTCACTATGGCAGCCTCCGATTTAACTCTGTTGACCACTACTCTTTGTGTTCGATTTGTTAGGAAGTTGAAGATCCATCTCCCCACTTTCCCAGTTATTCCTTTAGCACGTATTTTATGCGCTATTATGCCATGATCGCATTTGTCAAACGCTTTTGTAAAGTCTGTGTATATTACATCTGCATTCTGATTTTCTTCCAGTGCATCCAAGGCCATATCATAGTGATCCAGTAGTTGTGAGAGGCAGGAGTGACCTGCCCTGAACCCATGTTGCCCTGGATTGTGCAGATTTTGGGAATCCAGGTGATTTGCAATCCTGCTTCTTAGCACTCTTTCAAAGATTTTTATGATGTGGGACATCAGAGCTATTGGTCTATAGTTCTTAGCTAATGCTTTGCTGCCACCTTTATGGAGTGGGGCTATATCCGTTGTTTTAAGTGACTGGAATTTCACCCATGTCCAAGCTCCTCCTCCATAGTGTACATAGGGCATGCGAGAGTGGTTTCTTGTAGTTCTTAATGAATACAGAGTTCCACGAGTCTGGGCCCGGGGCTGAGTGCATGGGCATGTTGTCAATGGTTTTTTTCAAAGTCTATCGGAGTTAGGGTAATGTCAGAAATCTGGCATACATTTATGGAGTTATGAGGCTCATTCATGAAGAAGTCATTTGGGTCATCGATCCTCAGACTGATTAGTGGCTCACTAAACACAGAGTCATACTGGGATTTCAGTACATATTTCACTCATTTCCTTGTTGTCATCTGTGTAAGTCCCATTCTGTCTGAGTAAGGACCCGATGCTAGATGTGGTACATGTATTTGCCTTGTTTTTGGCATATGAAAAGAAATATTTTGAATTTCTTTCAATTTCACTAATAGCTTTAAGCTCCTCCTGTCTCTCCTGGTTCCAGTAAGAGTCATTTAACTTAAGTTCGATAGTTTCCACTTCCCTGGTCAGCTCCTCCTTTCGTGTATCAGATATTCTAGCACCCCTGAGGAGCTCGGTGACTCTTCGTCGTCTTCTGTAGAGGGAGCATCTTTCTCTCTCCAGTTTACTCCTGCTCTTCTTCTTTCTTAGGGGAATATGCCTAGAACATGCTTCAGCTGCCAGGAAGTTGATCCTTTCAAGGCACTGGTTTGGTTTTTCAGTACCATCTTCACATCAGTCATTATTTTGTTTAAATATCCGTTTTACCCTCACCTATCTTTCTCTTTTCTCTTGTCATTGCCCATTAACCATGGCACACAAGAGCTAGGTAAAAGTTCCTGTTTCCTTTGATGCTGGTGAAGGGCTCTTTATCCAAGTATTTGAAGATATCTTCCCTTGCCTTGGGTCAAACCAGATTACCTCCTCTTTCTCATGTGCTGTATGATCTTTGTAAGTTTGGTGCTTCATTTAAACAAAATTATACACATACACCCTTAAGAATCATAGTTTGAGAGTCACAGAAAACTGTTTCATTTAATTAGTTTTCAGTTAATCATAATTTTATGTGTATCAGCATATTGCTAACAACACCAGCTGGGTTGATAAGGTAATCAAAATCAAAACCTGAGTAGAATCCTTAAAACTAGTCACAGGTATGACTTAACAAGAGTGTTTGAGCACCTGACAAGAATTTGGTGTATCGAGTTTATGGCAGGTATTACTGTAAGATGTGTGGGTAGGTGATATTGTAAAAATGCTTAGAAGACAGAGGATCAAGTAGAAGCTTGATCCCATGTCTGCACTGATCCTCCATCTTGCACTGAATGACCCACATGGGTTTAGCGCTTAACATGAATTAAGCAAACAAAAACAATTAGATATTGTAAAATATTCTAGGTATTTAACATTAGTGTTTAATTATAGTTAGTTACCTTTGTAAGACCAACTAAACAAGAACAACTCCTTTTCTGACACTAACAATTTACATATGCTTCCAGGGTGGTACTTCTGTGTCTTCAGTCATTAGTTGATGTTATAGAGTGTGAGTCACTCTGTACTGTTTTGGGCTCAAAGATCAGAGATGAGAATGATGACAATCTTGAAATTTTCTTGCACACCATATCAGAAATCATAGCGTAAGTAACCTCTATGGCAACATGAGCAAACTCTTTTTTTTTTTTTTTTATTGTCACACTAGATGTTTTTATATACACATGACCATAACACAAGGCACAGATCACTCTTTGATGTTCGTCGTGTCCACCTCACACTATGCAAAAACTCATTGTACATAACAGGCCAAAAATCTGGAATTCATTATCTGTGAATATAAAAGAAACACTGTCTGTTTATAAATTCAAGTCTCTTCTTAAAAATCACTTACTCACTGAGATATAAGCGACTATTGGCAGAAAGGTGGGCTAGTGCAAAGATGAGTAGTGGGGGGGTTGAAGAGGGTTGGAATAGTTTTAAAAATGCAGTATTAGAATGTGGGGCAGAAGTTTGTGGTTATAGGAGGGTGGGGGCAGGAGGAAAGAGGAGTCATTGGTGGAATGATGAAGTAAAGGGTGTGATAAAAGAGAAAAAGGTAGCTTATAGGAGGTTTTTACAAAGCAGAAGTGTTATAAGAAGAGCAGAGTATATGGAGAGTAAAAGAAAGGTAAAGAGAGTGGTGAGAGAGTGCAAAAGGAGAGCAGATGATAGAGTGGGAGAGGCACTGTCAAGAAATTTTAATGAAAATAAGAAAAAATTCTGGAGTGAGTTAAACAAGTTAAGAAAGCCTAGGGAAAGTATGGATTTGTCAGTTAAAAACAGAGTAGGGGAGTTAGTAGATGGGGAGATGAAGGTATTAGGTAGATGGCGAGAATATTTTGAGGAACTTTTAAATGTTAAGGAAGAAACAGAGGCAGTAATTTCATGCACTGGTCAGGGAGGTATACCATCTTTTAGGAGTGAAGAAGAGCAGACTGTAAGTGTGGGGGAGGTACGTGAGGCATTACGTAAAATGAAAGGGGGTAAAGCAGCTGGAACTGATGGGATCATGACAGAAATGTTAAAAGCAGGGGGGGATATAGTGTTGGAGTGGTTGGTACTTTTGTTTAATAAATGTATGAAAGAGGGGAAGGTACCTAGGGATTGGCAGAGAGCATGTATAATCTCTTTATATAAAGGGAAAGGGGACAAAAGAGATTGTAAAAATTATAGAAGAATAAGTTTACTGGGTATACCAGGAAAAGTGTACGGTAGGGTTATAATTGAAAGAATTAGAGGTAAGACAGAATGTAGGATTGCGGATGAGCAAGGAGGTTTCAGAGTGGGTAGGGGATGTGTAGATCAAGTGTTTACATTGAAGCATATATGTGAACAGTATTTAGATAAAGGTAGGGAAGTTTTTATTGCATTTATGGATTTAGAAAAGGCATATGATAGAGTGGATAGAGGAGCAATGTGGCAGATGTTGCAAGTATGTAGAGTAGGTGGTAAGTTATTAAATGCTGTAAAGAGTTTTTATGAGGATAGTGAGGCTCAGGTTAGGGTGTGTAGAAGAGAGGGAGACTACTTCCCGGTAAAAGTAGGTCTTAGACAGGGATGTGTAATGTCACCATGGTTGTTTAATATATTTATAGATGGGGTTGTAAAGGAAGTAAATGCTAGGGTGTTCGGGAGAGGGGTGGGATTAAATTTTGGGGAATCAAATTCAAAATGGGAATTGACACAGTTACTTTTTGCTGATGATACTGTGCTTATGGGAGATTCTAAAGAAAAATTGCAAAGGTTAGTGGATGAGTTTGGGAATGTGTGTAAAAGTAGAAAGTTGAAAGTGAACATAGAAAAGAGTAAGGTGATGAGGGTGTCAAATGATTTAGATAAAGAAAAATTGGATATCAAATTGGGGAGGAGGAGTATAGAAGAAGTGAATGTTTTCAGATACTTGGGAGTTGACGTGTCGGCGGATGGATTTATGAAGGATGAGGTTAATCATAGAATTGATGAGGGAAAAAAGGTGAGTGGTGCGTTGAGGTATATGTGGAGTCAAAAAACATTATCTATGGAGGCAAAGAAGGGAATGTATGAAAGTATAGTAGTACCAACACTCTTATATGGGTGTGAAGCTTGGGTGGTAAATGCAGCAGCAAGGAGACGGTTGGAGGCAGTGGAGATGTCCTGTTTAAGGGCAATGTGTGGTGTAAATATTATGCAGAAAATTCGGAGTGTGGAAATTAGGAAAAGGTGTGGAGTTAATAAAAGTATTAGTTAGAGGGCAGAAGAGGGGTTGTTGAAGTGGTTTGGTCATTTAGAGAGAATGGATCAAAGTAGAATGACACGGAAAACATATAAATCTATAGGGGAAGGAAGGCGGGGTAGGGGTCGTCCTCGAAAGGGTTGGAGAGAGGGGGTAAAGGAGGTTTTGTGGGCAAGGGGCTTGGACTTCCAGCAAGCGTGCGTGAGCGTGTTAGATAGGAGTGAATGGAGACGAATGGTACTTGGGACCTGACGATCTGTTGGAGTGTGAGCAGGGTAATATTTAGTGAAGGGATTCAGGGAAACCGGTTATTTTCATATAGTCAGACTTGAGTCCTGGAAATGGGAAGTACAATGCCTGCACTTTAAAGGAGGGGTTTGGGATATTGGCAGTTTGGAGGGATATGTTGTGTATCTTTATATGTGTATGCTTCTAAACTGTTGTATTCTGAGCACCTCTGCAAAAACAGTGATAATGTGTGAGTGTGGTGAAAGTGTTGAATGATGATGAAAGTATTTTCTTTTTGGGGATTTTCTTTCTTTTTTTTTTGGGTCACCCTGCCTCGGTGGGAGATGGCCGACTTGTTGAAAAAAAAAAAAAAATTGTATCTCATAAATGTTTACCCTGTGACCCAATCAAACTTTGTTATTTTTAATTACAGTACCAAACAGAATACTCCATTCTGCTGAATGCACTGCAACATAGTAAATGACCATATGACCTGTCTTTGAAATACTCATTTGTGCTTAATTGTTATTTGTTTACAATAATGTTTACCACTGAATATATCATTGCTTAGTTAATCTTAAGTTAATTTTAAGCCTGCCCATAATGCTCTGCATACAAGGGGCTTTGTCATGTTATACTTAACCACTGTATTTCCTTGTACTTCTATGTATCATGTTCAAATTAATAATAAATAAATAAAAATAAATAAATAAATACGTACTGTGCTTTTTTAATATTTTTAAATATTGTCCATGTCAAATATTATTTAAATGTTTAGTGTAATGTAAATGTAGTTATTTTCTTTTTTCATCCTTGTTGCTTCTTAACTTATCCATCTTCCAATACATCTCATTTAAAACCTGATATATTCCTTTCATTTATATTACAATCACATATGGTTTATGCTTTTTTTGTGTAATTAATACGAATTACTAGGTAATGTAGTTAAGATGGGGTCTTCCATGTGTCCTACACTCTTACAGTTGTGTATTAGTGACCAGATTATCATCCATTCAGAGAGATGGAAAAACGTATGTTACTAAAGTGATTTTCCTAAGAACTAATTTTCCCAAGGAATTCTCTTTCATGTTTATATAAATGACTTGCCAGTTACTATCGACCAACTCCAGTCAATACTCCTTGTTGATGACACTACTTTTGTCTGCTCAAATTCTAACGTCATTACCTAAAACGACACAGTAAATTATTTGGAGTCGTTGCTTAAAATTTGGAATTAAAATTATATTCTAATAAAGACTAAAAAGACACAATACCGTGACTGGGTTATTTGTGTTTTATTCCAATAATTTTGTATAAATACTTATTAAAAGACTTAGAAGTTGTAGAAACTCCTGGAAAATTGGACTGCAGGTAATTCAAGAAGCTGAGTGTTGGTGCGGTCTTTCTTTATAATTTTAACAAGTCTAGCCAGTTGACTTAAATGCTTAAGGAAAGATGGCAGTTTCTCGCTTTGCATTGATCATTGTTTATGGTATTAATCCAGATGAAGAACACTATTTACTGCTCCTACAGTGCTGCATTCATTGTTGACTCATACTGATTACTCTACCACTAATATTTCCAGTTTGAAGAACATTTACATTTGTGAATCGAGTTTTTTATACTATTTGTGTGTCTTAACAACAATGTTTTCTTACAGGATGCTGGTACTTGAAGCACCCAAACATATTGAAAAATTGGTAAAATGTTTGGATACCCAGTATTCATATGAGATGCAGAGAGTTAGTGTGGCTGTAATCTTTGCTCAGGTGACTATCCATTTACATATTTAATAATACTCTATTTGACATTGTAATATAATTCTGTACAGAGCAATACTTGAGTGCAGCCATCTGCCATTGGATGAAGATAGATATACAATGTTGTTTCCATTGATTGTGGCCATTATGTCCCGTACAACATAAGAGAGCAGTGTTATGGGAGGATCATGTGAGGGAGGAGGAGGAGGAGGGAGAGAATGTTTGTGACATCTCAGTGTCCATGAAAATTGGCAAGACAGCTCTCTGTATACAGATATCTGCCTATTTGCTATAATTACCTATTGCTAGCTACAGGAGTAGGGCTAAGCTTGTAGTGTCTCATCTTTGGCATTCATCATTAAAGTTTTTAAAGTATCCAGTGGTTGTAGCACTTATTATCTCTGTGACCCATTTTAATGTTCTGTTACTTTGTGAAGAAACACTTTCTAATACCATTTTGGTACCTCTGCTGTCTTAGTTTGTAACTTTGTTGTCAGTGGCTAGTGGAGGGGTGGGGGCTGGTGAAGGATGAGGGCTAGTAATGGACTGGAGAGAGGTGGGATCTGGTGGAGGGTAGTGGCTAGTAGAGGCTGGGAGCTGGTTAAGGGTAGGCACTGATGAAGAGTGGGAGGCTGATGGAGAGTGATGTGGTTGTTCAGGTGTGAGGTGGAGATTCATATGTTTAAGATTATCTTCTTCATTTTTTCAGTTAATAGCAGAGAAATGTGGAGGAAACTGTGAGCTCTTGGAGAATATAACTGATGGTTTGTTATCAAGACTGAATGACCGTTCGGTACATGTTCGCAGACTTGCAGTCCGTGGCCTGGCCAACTTTGCTCAACTTCAGAATGATCAAGTGAGTTGATTAGCAAGTGTGTCACTTTGTCATTTGAAAGATATGCTTTCCTTCATTTCAAGTAGACCATTACATTTTTAATGCATTTTTTTTCAACAAATTGGCCATCTCCCACCAAGGTAGGGTGACCCAAAAAAAAGAAGAAACACTTTCAACATCATTTGCTCAATCACTGTCTTGCCAGAGGGGCATCAGTACAACAGTTCAGGACTGTAAATATTTTTATCCCCACCCCTCCTTCAGAGTGCAGGCACTGTACCTCTCACTTCCAGGACTCAAGTCTGGCTAACCAGTTTCCCTGAATCCCTTCATACATGTTACCTTGCTCACACTCCAACATGTCAAATCATGAAAACCACTTGCCTCCGCTTACTCTTATCTCATATGCTTACATATATATGCCTGCTGGATGTCCAAACCCCTAGCACTCAAAAATCTCCCTTTCCTGTTCCCTTCAGCCCTTCCTGGAATGACCCCTACTACTCCTCCCCTCTTACTCAGCCTATTTTGCTTCCCCCTCTCTATGTGCAGACCACCTCAACAACCCCTCATTTGCCCTTGGAATAATACTTTTGGTAACTCCACACCTAATCTTCAAGCAATGAAGTCTCTGCTTAAAATTCATACCACACATTATCCTCAAAAGTGACATCTTCACTGCCTCCAACACCTCCTTGTTGAAATGTTTAAAATCCATGCTTCATATCCATATAACAGTGTTGGTACCACAATGCTCCAGTACATTTCCCTTTTTTTTGCTCTATGGATAAGGTTCTTTGTCTCAGAAGGCACTACCCACCTTTTGCCCCTCATCATTTCTGTGGTTCACCTCATCTTTCATAGACCCATCTTTTGACAAGTCCACTCCCCAATACCTAAGACATTTACTTCCTCCATACTTCACCCTTCCAATATGATATTTAGTCTTTCATTGCCTAATTTTTTTGTTACACTCATTACCTTGCTCTTTCCTATAGTCATTTTTATTTTTTTTCATTTACATACCCTCCTTTCTGCATATTGTCTTTATGACCATACATGTCAGCATTAAACCTGTACATCCAATAAGATGAAATAGTTACACAGTATATAAAAATTAGTACACATTATTTAGAAGCTAGAATAATCCTATGGTTGGAATTTGATGAGCCACATAGTAATGGTAATAGTTGATAAATCTACTCCTAAATACTAGTACTGTATTAAGAACTTCCTTATACACTTTTCTCTCAGTATGCTCTAATTCCACCATCCTGAATGTCACCACAGCCCTAAATGTTCATAAGATGCCATTTGTTTGACTACCTTTGAATGAATCAGTCCAGTGCAGTACCCCACATTCATTGTGTAGTACCAAATATAGATCTGAATCACACTGGGACCAATATTTAACTAGTACAGTATCTATATTTAGGGTGGACCATCGTCATTCCAGGTCACCTTGATTTGTAACAGACCCCACTTAATTTTCCAGGTATGAGAACGAGGATAAATTTCATAATGAACGACTGACACATTTTAATGGAGTGATCTGGATTTGATTCTGCAGTTTGGGATGACTATCTGTTGCCTTAAGTCACAGAACCACAGGTGGGTCCCAAGGTTTCTCCAAACAGAATTCTGGACAGGTTGGTGATAGCCAGTAACTGGAATCTGATTGTAAGTGGTGTAGTATACTAAGTCACTGGGCTAGTAACTCCAGACTGCTCATGCCACAAAATTGTTAAATTTCTGCCTTGCCAATTATCAGTTCACTCGAGAAATGATACTCAGGTGCCTGTGACCAGAGGCAAGAGTATAGCCATTCAACTAAGTTGAACAGTACCAATTATCAGTACACCGACCAGTAACCTAGAAGAGTCAAGAGCTAGAATTAGTCACTGGCTGTCAGTCAGGTAGGGATTTCTTCATAAAAACTCATGATTGAGTCTTATTTAGTGGCAGTTACCAACCTGCCTAAGATTCTGACTGGGAAAATCTTGTGACCCTATGGTGCAATGTATTAATGTGAAGGATGGTAATCCCTGACTACTGGATTGGCCCCTGATCATTCTATTGAATTGTTTCATTTGCTCATAAGTATTTTTCAGTCATGTATAAACTAAATCAGCACTTCTTTTCTTGTACCTGCGTGGCTGCAGCTGGTAGATGCATGCCATTCATCTGAAGCACGCCTCTCCTGGGTAAATATGGTTGTGAAGGCATTCACTCTTATAATGTTATCTCTCATGCTTGTGTGACACCTTCCACATTTGCTACTTCATGATGTTTTTCTCTTACTATTGTCTCGTGATTCTCATTGTCCTTTCTTTACCCTTGTTCTCTTCACTGAATCACATTAATTATCTCACAAATCTCATACATCCTTCTTCACAACTGCTTCAGTCACTGCATCATCAATCATCTTTCAGTCTTCAGAGTTTTCAGATGCTGTGTTATCAGTTGTTTGGTGATTTTCACACTCCTTTCTTCACAGCTATTGCAGCCACAGCTTTACAGCAAATAGAATTTCCACAGACCAGGCTTTGTAAACATTTTTTTTTAAACACACTTGCTGTCTCCCATCACAGTAGGGTGAGCCGAGAAAAGAGGAAACTCTTCCGCCATCACTCATTCAGTCATTGTCTTGCCACAGCTCCGAATTGCAACATTCTCACTTCTTCCCTCTTCCAGGACTCAGGTCCGGTTAACCAGTTTCCCTGAATCCTTTCATTAATGTTACCTTGCTCACACTTCAAACAGCATGTCAAGTCATATTTTTTATGTATAATAAAATTAATAGTTTTGACACACCTGTAAATGATAATACCTCCAGTAAAGGCCATATGTTTTGGAATTATTTTAATTAAGCACCTTAAGTATGACGAAGTACTACTCAAAAGGTACTTTTGACAACAGTTGCAGTAAGCCAGGCATCCCATTGTTGGGAGAGGGTTGCTTATATTAGCCTGACCTATCTGACTTGTACATCTTGCTAATATAGTGTGTTTCACTGTACAATTCTAGTAACTGTTCACTGCCCTTCATGACTCAGACATTGCTTGTGCAGTATATTGTACCATACAAATCCAGTAACTTTTCACAGTCCTCAGTGACTCATACACTTCTTGTATGTTGCATTGTAGTGTAATCATTCATTGCCCTTAGTGAGTCATACACTTTGCTTATGTGTTGCATTGTACAATTTTAGTAACTAATTACTGTCCTTAGTGACTCATACATTTTGCTTGTATGTTGCATTATACAGTTATAATAACCGTTTACTGTCCTTAGTGACTTACTTTTCTAGTACATAATACTGTATGGGTATTCAGTGTTACTCTTAAATGCATAAGCTACAAAAGAAAAAAATCATGATTATGAATATAACTCTAGCAGTATTGACACTTTTCATAAGTCTTGCAACCTTATAGAAGCTGTTTGAACTTGCTGCCACACACACATGTTAGCATGTTTACCAAGAAACATTGCATAGGTGTTGACCCTTCAAAAGAGGTGCTTGGGTGCTGGTATAGAGCTCTTGATCCTAGGAACTACAGCTGGCCTTTTTTTTTTTTTTTTTTTTTTTTTTTTTTGCCAACATGATTGCATCCCATTCTACAGGCACTGTAGAATGGGATTTGGTTTTAATGCCTGGTCTCAGACCAGGCCGTGGGGGTGTTGACCCCTGAAACCCTCTCCAGGTAAACCCATTGATGTAATAATAATGTAAAGGTGTTGGAAGAATAAATTAGACACATGCAACACTTGGGTATCATGGGTATAAAGGTACCCAAGTGTTGCACATGCATCTAATTCATCAACTTGTCGGTTCTCTGTACTATATATCTACATCATAAAAGGGTGTTTCAGAAGAGTGGAGAAACATCATTGAGAATGTTCCTGTAATGCATCACCTCTGAGAAAGAGTTTATTGAATCCATTTACAATTACAAAAGGGTCAGAAGACATTATGATGCTGATTCGCTGAAAGAAAATTTTAGTGATGCTGTACAGTATCTTCTTCAGCTTTGTGGAACCTGGCCTAACTACTCAACAATAGTTACAGTAATATAACTGCATTTACCCTACCGAGGCAGGGTGACCCAAAAAGAAAGAAACACTTTCACCATGATTCACACATAATCACGATTTTATTTACATGAAATGCCAATATTACATTAGTCTCAATATCTTTCAGGTGTCAGAAAAGCTAACAGAGATTATCACTGCTCTGGTGGAAGCAACAGACCAGCGTGACAGCAGTGGTTCAGATGGAACTGGTATAGAAACTCAGGTTGCCCTAGAGGCTCTTAGAGGACTTGCTGCTCTTCTCCCACGACTGCCACAGGAAACTGTTCTCCAGCACACACCTACACTCCTCATCAGGATCAGACTCTTCTCTGAAAAAGTGAGTTGCAACAGAATATGGGAGATTCCATAGAAAAATTGCAAAGGTTAGTGGACGAATTTGGGAGTGTGTGTAAAGGTAGAAAGTTGAAAGTGAACATAGAAAAGAGTAAGGTGATGAGGGTATAAAATGATTTAGATAAAGAAAAATTGGATATCAAATTGGGGAGGAGGAGTATGGAAGAAGTGAATGTTTTCAGATACTTGGGAGTTGATGTGTCGGCGGATGGATTTATGAAGGATGAGGTTAATCATAGAATTGATGAGTGGTGCATTGAGGTATATGTGGAGACAAAAAACATTATCTATGGAGGTAAAGAAGGGAATGTATGAAAGTATAGAAGTACCAGCACTCTTATATGGGTGTGAAGCTTGGGTTGTGAATGCAGCAGCGAGGAGGCGGTTGGAGGCAGTGGAGATGTCCTGTCTAAGGGCAATGTGTGGTGTAAATATTATGCAGAAAATTCGGAGTGTGGAAATTAGGAGAAGGTGTGGAGTTAATAAAAGTATTAGTCAGAGGGCTGAAGAGGGGTTGTTGAGGTGGTTTGGTCATTTAGAGAGAATGGATCAAAGTAGAATGACATTGAGAGCATTTAAATCTGTAGGGGAAGGAAGGCGGGGTAGGGGTCGTCCTCGAAAAGGTTGGAAGGAAGGGGTAAAGGAGGTTTTGTGGGCGAGGGGCTTGGACTTCCAGCAGGCGTGCATGAGTGTGTTCGATAGGAGTGAATGGAGACGAATAGTATTTGGGACCTGCCGATCTGTTGGAGTGTGAGCAGGGCAATATTTAGTGAAGGGATTCAGGGAAACCGGTTATTTTTATATAGCCGGACTTGAGTCCTGGAAATGGGAGGTACAATGCCTGCACTCTAAAGGAGGGGTTCGGGATATTGACAGTTTGGAGGGATATGTTGTGTATCTTTATACGTACATGTATATGCTTCTAAGCTGTTGTGTTCTGAGCACCTCTGCTAAAACACTGATTATGTGTGAGTGAGGTGAAAGAGTTGAATGATGATGAAAGTATTTTCTTTTTTTGGGATTTTCTTTCTTTTTGGGTCACCCTGCCTCGGTGGGAGACGGCCGACTTGTTAAAAAAAAAAAAATTCTAGTCAGAAATTCTTATACATTACCATACTGTATGTCATATTTATAGTGTAGTTGTTTAAGTTAAAGGCTAGTTTTATAGTGTTCCTCACATTATATTTGATGTTGAAGTATTACAATATTATATTAATATGAGGAACAATAGCCACAGTATAATAATACTGTATTGTTCACTAGTCATCAGGGGAAGTGCGTGAAGCAGGCTTAGGTGTCTTGCGGGGTCTGGCTTCATCTGTAGGCTCCACGGAGGAATTCCGAGACCATCTTCATCTTCATCTTTTGGCAGCGTTGGTTCATTTGGCAGATCCTCATCCTCCAACAGTTGTGGTATTTAATGTTTTATATAAAATTTTACTAAATTAAAAAGTCCTTATATCAGCACTTTATGGGCCAGATGGCACATGTATGCATTTAAAAATTCTAAATTACAGCATATGAAATATTTAATGTTATATTTTTCCATGAAGTTTATATCCTTGAAACAATCACATGACTAAGAAAAGATCATATGAAAATGGCACATTATGTAAACCAGCATTTTGCCTTGGATTTCAAGCAGTTTACTTACAACTGTGGACAAGCAGTGCTTCAAATGTATATGTCAGAGTAGACTGAAGATTTGATAGAGCATTGGTTTATGGAATTTAAGATAGTGTTGGGGTGATCAGAGTAACATTCATGAAGAGATTCTGGGAAACCAGTTAGTCATACTTGGGTTCTAAAGGTGAGAAGCACAATGATTTCTCTCTGAAAGTTGGGTGGAGATGTTGGAGTTCAAAGGGCTTATAAACTTCTTTTTTTAACACACCAGCTATTACTTGAGGAAGAGACTTGTTGAACATGTAGAAAGTACACAGATGGAAGATCTTGTCCTTGTAACCTCTTAAGAAGACATATGATAGCTTAACAGAGGTTAGGCAGGAAAGAGGGATGAGTAGATTGTAAGAAGGCTTTTGAAATGGTGCCACAGAAAGATTACTTAGCAATGGAGAAGCAAGCTGGGGCAAAAGAAAAGATTTATGAAAAAATTAATGCTAATAATAAGTAGCAAATTGAGAATAAAAGATGAGGATGGGAGAGTGTAATGAGTGGAGTTTCACAAGGAACAGTGTTAGGCACCATATTTTTCTTGGTGCGCAATATATAAATGACCTGGTTACAGGGGTAAACGCCTGCATATCCTTGTTCATGGACAATGCCAAAAACCAATTGAGAATACAGGCTGAAGTGAATGAAAGAAGTCTGCAAGACCATCTGGTGCTACTTTAGGAAAAGTCAAATAAAAAGTTACTGGAATTTAACCTGAGCAAAAGGAAAGTTATAGAGCTGGGAGACAGGAAAAGGTAGCTAAATAAAAAGCTACCATGAAATTGTTATGGTTAGCAATGGTGAATGACTGAACTGAATATGAACTTGCATGAGTAAACTCTTTGTGTCAGTAACCAGAAAAAAATAGTATAGAATTCATAGATTTGTACAAATACATTCTTACTAACTTTTCTTATACACATATTGACTATGACAATATTGCATTATTTTGTAAAATTTGTGGTATGTAAATAACCTTGTTTACTTTTAGATGTGCAAGAGTGCTCTGCAGGCTCTGGGCCCTCACCTTGGTTCAGATGCAATGAATGCAATGTTCCAGAATCACTTAATCCCCAGCGGAGTTTTGAACTACCATCAGTTTATTACTGATCTCACTAAGCATATGGTAAGTAAAAAAATGTCAATTAAATCTTTTGCAATAATTCTTATATAACTTAAATTTTTTGCTGTGGGGCCATAGAGGCCCATAGCTTGGCATATTTTTGTCTATTTCTACATATTACATATGATAGTCCTGGTAAGCTTTGGGATTATCTATTAAACCCTCATTCACCCTCATCTAAAAGAGTCTTTACTTGAAAATCATGGTGAGCAGGAGACTTTTGAGACCTGCCCAACATATCCCTATCCAATTGCTATTTTCTTTCTATGGTATGCACATCATGCCCTCATTTCTGCTTATTGATATTCCCTTAGCAGGTGCTGAGTTTGGCTGAGCCTTCACAGGCCTTCCAACTGTCTTCAGGATTTGTGCCAGTCCTGATTGTTTCTTGACTATCACCTGTGGTTGGCCATACACTTTGCTTAACACATTGAAATTGTGTTGACTGCCCAGCTTGTTTGTTGTCACGCTGTACTGGCTTACTTCAGTAATTGATGTACTCGTTTATAGCTACAGGAGCAGAGCTGTGCTTATGGTGTCCCATTTTCCATGATTAATTCATCATGTATGTAAAAGGAGGAAGTGGGTGAAGCAGTGGGTAGGATGAAAGAAGGTAAAGCAACTAGAATAGGTTGTTAGGTAAGACACATATGCAACAGTTAGGTATCTTTATTTTGAAACGTTTCGCCTACACAGTAGGCTTCTTCAGTCAAGTACAGAAAAGTTGATAGAAGCAGAAGATACTTGAAGACGATGTAATCAGTCCATCACCCATTTTAATGTTCAATCTGTCAGACACTGCAACACAAGGGTATCTTGGTACAGACCTGCAATCAACTTCGACAACTTCCACTAGTGAGAGGGGCTGGATTGGAGAGGGACCTCTCAACATCTGAGTTCTTACCTCTCCTACGTCTCACCTCTTGGCGCTATAAAAGCTCCATCCTGTCACTTCTTCTCCATATTGTTTCATACTATGGAACAATGCTCTTCTCCAGACTGAGGGACTGACCACCTCAAAACTTTAAGGGTGATGGACTGATTACATCGTCTTCAAGTATCTTCTGCTTCTATCAACTTTTCTGTACTTGACTGAAGAAGCCTACTGTGTAGGCGAAACGTTTCAAAATAAAGATACCTAACTGTTGCATATGTGTCTTACCTAACAACCTGTCGGTATTTTATACCATTTTAATGTTCAACTAGAATAGGTGCAATGAAGACCAGATGCCAAAAGTAGGTGAAGATATAGTTGAAGAGTAGTTAGTGTATTTGTCAAATACACCACATGTAACATTAAAAAACATAGAGTTAGCCTTCAGTAATCTCAACAAGGACCTCTTCATTTCTGATCCATGGACTTCTTGTAATTTATTCCACCTATGGTATTGTAGCTTTAATTAATCGTTAGTGAATGGTGTTAAATTGTTCTACTTTGTTAGTAAAGTCGGTGCTAGGATGAAGGAAGATACCGAAGAGTAATAATGCTTTCAAAAATATATATAAATCAATTCTTTATCCATAAATATATTGCAGTCATAGGTGCAGTACATTGTATTGAATGTACAATATTAAATTTTACAGTGCCAATATTATGCACAGCATTTCAGGGAAGACTTAAGCTAAAACAGAAAGTTAATTAAAGGTGTACAAATTTAAATAATAGCAACTGCCCAGGGATGTACTACCATCCTGCCAAGTGAGTGTAAAACTGAAGCCTGTACATGTACTTGTTTTACATGACGGTAAGATTGCTGGTGTCATTTCTCTGTCTCATAAACATGCAAGATTTCAGGTACATCTTGCTACTTCTACTTACATTTAGGTCATACTACACATACATGTACAAGCATATATATACACACCCCTCTGGGTTTTCTTATACATATTTTCTTTCTAGTTCTTGTTCTTGTTCTTGTTTATTTCCTCTTATCTCCATGGGGAAGTGGAACAGAATTCTTCCTCCATAAGCCATGCGTGTTGTAAGAGACGACTAAAATGCCGGGAACAAGGGGCTAGTAACCCCTTCTCCTGTATATATTACTAAATTTAAAAGAGAAACTTCGTTTTTCTTTTTGGGCCACCCTGCCTCGGTAGGATACGGTCGGTTTGTTGAAAGAAAAAGAAGAAATTTAAATAAAAACAATTTATTGAATAGACATGGTAAAATATTAAGATATTAATAAAGCTGTAATATATGATAAGTACATATATCATTGTTTCTACAGCTTATATGAAGCAGTTTTGTTACCATTGTACATCAGTAGCCTCATATCTCACTGAGTTACCTTTGTCAGTAATTGACTAAAATAATTTTTGTACCAATTTCAGATTTTAAGTTTTTTTCCTTATATAATTGACTTTTTCAGGTGACAGATCTTAGTGATCACATGGGGTTCTTTATTCAAGCTACTTCAACGTATTTCAAGAGTTCAGAGCCATCACTGCGTCGTGCTGCTGCTCTCCTCATAGGTAATCTGTAACATGTTTAAGGAAGCCCCATTTTTTTACAACAGTATAAACTTAATGGGCTTAGTGCTTGGTTATGATTATAATAATAGTAATATTAACTTAAGGAAACTGAAATAGTGAGTAAGAGAGAGTCACATGCTGGGACAGAATGGACAAGTAGTCTGTATAGTTTCTGTACCAGTGGCTAAGGCAGGACCTCCACTAGTGTGTTTTACTTCATGCATTGCACATTTGTATAAGCAATATACATATATGCTTGAATGTTTGCAAAGAAGAGCTTCAATTAACACCCAAGGAAAAATCTTAAAACTCCTTCATAGAACAGGAAATTTTTGCTCTTACAATAACCTTATGCTGAGTGACCATCACCAACTAACTGGGTCTGTATAAACAGTAGAGCTTGTTTGATAGAACATATCACTATGAACATTTTAATACATAAAGCAGTATATTTTATCCAAAAATAATAGAGAAAAAATCTAAACATTTCTCCCTAATGATTGTAATATCAAGATTCCCATTTCTTGGCCAGATTGTGCTAATAAAAGATAGGAACCCATTTCACCCATACCTGAGATGAATGCATTTGATAAAGTAACAGTTGAGAGTAAAAAATGCTGGAGATAAATTGTAGAGGTTTGTTTACTGTGCAGTTGAAGAAGGAGGTTCCTTTCCTGATCTTGGCTTGGTTGGTAGTGTCCTTAGCTCACATCTCTCCCAGCACAGGTGAAATATTGGGCATGTTTTCTCATATATTAATGTAGGTAGAATTAACGACAATATGTAAAGTAAAAGGACACAAGTGCAACTAATGTGACATTTTATTGTGGCAACGTTTCACTCTTCAGGAGCTTTATCAAGCCGTTACAAACAATACATGTAGGAATGATAACTTGACCAACACCTGCGTACAACACCAGAATTCCACCAGTCATCTCATGAAATTCAAAGATGCCCGATTAGTAATCAGAGAGCCAAATTTCCGCAGACGTAAATGCCTTGAATCATCATTAATTGCTGTTTCTAACACAATCAAGCAAAATAAAGGCAGCTTTATCATCTCAGAAGTATTAGCAAAAATCCTCCTCAAAACAGTAAACCCTGCCATCACATAGTATCTGCTACACAAGAACACAACAGAGAAGGAACACTGAAACTGACCTTCTCAGATCCAACCACCAACAGAAATATTTGTCTAACCCATGTAATAGCTTTTATAACCTTGATTGTTCTACCATATTGTATTACTACTACTATTACAGCTTATATTACTACTACTACTACTACTACTACTACTACTACTACTACTACTACTACTACTACTACTACTACTACTACTACTACTACTACTACTACTACTACTACTATACTTACTACTACTACTACTACTACTACTACTACTACTACTACTACTACTACTACTACTACCACCACCACAACAAGTACCACACCTCACTCTGAGCCTATATATATACACCCTCTGTGTCCATGTATTGTTTGTAATGGTTGATAAAGCTCCTGGAGAGCGAAATGTTGTCACAATAAAATGTCACATTAGTTGCACTTGTGTCCTTTTACTTTACATGCTTTCTCATACCTGCTGCCCCTCTTCACCTAGCAGTAAGTAGGTACATATGTACCTTGGTGTTAGCCATCTGTTGTGGGTCACATCCTGGGGAACAAGATTAAGCAAAGTTGCCTGAAATGCTTTGCATAACCAGGGGCTTTCTGTATAGTTTGCTAAAGATGTCAGCTAGGACTGTGTCATGTATTTGTAGAAATAAAGATTATTATTATTATTTTAACACACCAGCCATCTCCCACTGAGGTAGGGTAACTCCAAAAAAAAAAAAAAGCAGCACTTTCACCATCACTCACCCCATCACTGTTTTGCCAGAGGCATGCCAATACTAAAGTTCAAGAGTGCAGGCACTGTGTTTCCCATATCTAGAACTCAATTCTGGCTAACTGGTTTTGCTGAATCCCTTCATAAATGCCAATCACTCAGAATGCAAAAAAGATTTGGGAGTTCTAGTTAGCAGTAATCTAAAGCCATGACAATGGTGCTTAAGTGTTTGCAATAAAGCTAATAGAATTCTTGGCTTCATATCAAGAAGTATAAATACAGAAGTCCTCAGGTTATACTTCAACTTTATACATCCTTGGTAGGGCCTCATTAGGTGATGCTGGGCAGTTCTGGTCACCGAATTAGAGAATGGACATAAATGAACTAGAAAACATACAGAGAAGTATGACAGAGCTGATCCCATGTGTCAGAGATCTTTTCTGTGAGGATAAACTGGGGGCACTGAATCTGCACTCTCTGGAAAGGCATAGAATGAGGGAGGATATGATCGAGGTGTATAAATGGAAGACAGGAGTAAATAAACGAGATATAAATATGCTAATGGGAAGTACAATGCCTGCACTCTAAAGGAGGGGTTTTGGGGTATTAGCAGTTTGGAGGGATATGTTGTGCATCTTTATACGTATATGCTTCTAAACTGTTGTGTTCTGAGCACCTCTGCAAAAACAGTGATTATGTGTGAGTGAGGTGAAAGTGTTGAATGATGATGAAAGTATTTTCTTTTTGTGGATTTTCTTTCTTTTTGGGTCACCCTGCCTCGGTGGGAGACGGCCGACTTGTTGAAAAAAAAAAAAAAATAAATATGCTAAATATAGGTAGTAGGTTGGTAAACAGCAACCGCCCAGGGAGGTACTACCGTCCTGCCAAGTGAGTGTAAAATGAAAGCCTGTAATTGTTTTACATGATGGTAGGATTGCTGGTGTCTTTTTTCTGTCTCATGAACATGCAAGATTTCCAGTACGTCTTGCTACTTCTTCTTACACTTAGGTCACACTACACATACATGTACAAGCATATATACACACACCCCTCTGGGTTTTCTTCCATTTTCTTTCTAGTTCTTGTTCCTGTTTATTTCCTCTTATCTCCATGGGGAAGTGGAACAGAATTCTTCCTCCGTGAGCCATGCATGTTGTAAGAGGCGACTAAAATGCCGGGAGCAAGGGGCTAGTAACCCCTTCTCCTGTATATATTACTAAATTTAAAAGGCAAAACTTTCATTTTTCCTTTGGGCCACCCCACCTCAGTGGGATATGGCTGTTGTGTTGAAAGAAAGAAGAAATATGCTAAAATATCTAACTGAGATAGGACTCCAGTATAACATGGGTTTCTATGGGAAACCCATGTTAAACAAGCCATTTCTCTGGTACTTATACTGGTACTTGACTGTATCTATAAAATAAAGATTCCTGATATCCATTTTAAATGTTGTCATTGCAGGTAACCTGGTGTATCATTGTCAAAGCAATGAAGAACTAAATGTATCATCAGTGAGCCATGGTCTACTGTATCTTCTGCGTGATCCAGACCCAGCAGTGAGGACTGCTGCTGCAATAGCCATTCCCCTCTTGTATAAATATAATGATCTCCTTTAGTGTAAATAATGTGATGCTGCCTAATAGTTTCGTTTTGTAAACATAACTTTTCCTCTAAATATATCATCATTATAGAACAATTTTGTCTTACAAGTATTTCATTTAATACTTTTCAGAAGTTTAGTGTTTCACAGGCTTTGTTTTTTTTTCTTGTTTTTGCTAGTCATACTACCATAGAACATGCATCATATTTATTGTATAAAAAAATACATTAATTATTAATATTAAGTAATTCACTCATCATTGCTCTGCTCTTTGGGGTTATGTGTGTGTATATGAGAGTTGTGTAGGCTGAAGCTAACACTGATAAAAACAGTAAAACGTGGTAAAGAGAATCTCTTTATTAGATGATGTTTCTCTCTAAATAGAGCACTATAAACTTGACAAGATCAAATTAGGGAGAATGTTATCTAATAAAAAAAGGTCTCACTCTACTATGTATGATTTGTATAACAAATTTATCAGCTGCTTGTCAATCACTTCACTGACAACTTTAATGATAAACCAAATAATACACTGAGATATTGAGTCTTTAACATATTGCACCAAGCTTGGCATCCTAAATGCAATGCTCCACTGTACAGTACATTTATAATTCACTCAACACTTAAAATACCAGTGCACTAATAGTTTACTGTACACACATAATTTACAGAACACTTGTAATTGTGATATCTGCAAACTTTTGGCAAGAGTTATTGAATGAATGAAGGTTAATATGTTTCCTGTTTTGGGTTGCTAAACCTTGGTGAGAGATGGCCAGTGTATTAAAAAAACTTGTAATTTGCTGTACACTTATACTTCATTGTACACTTAATAATCAGTACTTCACTGCTCTGTAGCAGTATTTTACTTGTCTATGACAATACACCAAGCACTGAGTGTCTGCATTTCTGATGCTTCCTCAGTTGTGACTGGCTGACTGCTTGCTTCCTTCATTCTGACTGCCAACTACATTACTTACTTCTTAAGGTGGCTACTCCATGACTGGCTAACCACTTCTTTCCTCAATAATTACTTCTTCATGGCAGGCTGCCTGTCTGCATCATAACTGGTTGTAAAATGACCCAGGCTGTTGTTCTTTCCCTAGTCTTATATATGATACAGATAGTAGTAAGTTTATTGCATTTCAAAGGGGCAGAGGAGCTTACAGTCTTACCTTTAACCCCATTTCCCAAGAAACTCGCAAAAGCTCAGCACTAACATACACTCTCTTAGCATGTGTTTTCCAAGGAATTAGCCAAGAATAATACATGAATTTTACATACATATCTCAATATCACATAATACAGTAGTATTAGAAAGTTCCACAGCAATGTACATTACCATCATAACAGGTTTATTTCAGCAGCACGTTCATAAAACTAAGAAACTGTTCAAACCTCTCTAATTATATAGTTGCCCTATTAATGTGGGCTTTATTATTATTAATGATGATGGTTCTAGTTCTTTGTTAGTGTAAGTCATGTATTTACTAACATAATATTTAGCATCTATGTACTATATATGCTAGCATGAGTGTATATAGTTAAAATTATATACTATTAGGGTTTTGCATTAAGGAAATGCAACCATTTATGTGCTATATAAAATGAGTGAATTGTATTTTTTACCTGTGTATTTTGAAGTTAAAGATGTGTGCTAGTCATCATAGTTTTAACTTACATAGGTTAAATATACTGTATTTGAGCTGCATTGTTATGTAATATTCATCTATATATGTTATTCATCACTGCTTCAAAGCAAGGAAGATAATTATATTAGATCTGCCTTTGTATTTTCAAATATATAATTTTATAAATCTCTTATTTTGGTATAGAAAATATGTTATTTAGTGCCTTAGTGCTAAGGGATAGGGTTTGAATAATAATAGTTATATAAGAAGAGAGGGTATGTTATCTTGGTATGTTATTTTGGCAAGATGTAAAGAAAGGTTTGGGGTTACAGTAAAGTATTAAGGTAACTAGAGGGATTTTTAAGAAATCTTTGGGTTATTTGGGTATACTATTTTATTACATTAGATGCCTAACATTATTGTATTTATACATATCTCTGCATTTTTAAATGTGCCTGTGTTATTTTCCAGTATTTTAATTCATAGTTTTGTTAATATTTAAGATATTACTGAATGGTATTTCGAGTGCTTAATTTTCTTAAGGTAGTTGTGTGGTATGAATCACAAAAATTGCACAACTTGAGAAACCTGGCAATATGTGGACTATACAGTAGAATAAAAAAAAATCCCTGACTCTGATGTTCCTCTGATATATTCAGATCACAAATATGTCTTTAGTATTTTTTGCACATAAAATAACATCTTGCACCATATATATTAACCCTATTTATTTGTAGTTTTTCCTGTAAAATTTGTTATTTTTTGTGCTGAATAAATTTGCTGGCTATTGCTGGCAACACTATGCATTTCTCATCTATCCATTATATACCCCCTCCTCATCTGTATCAAAAAATTAGTAGTATATATTAGTAGCACTAATAATAATTAACACATGCACCATAGTAATATTAAAACAATTATAATAAGAATATATAATGTAGCCAATGATTTTTACCACACTGGCCATCTCCCACCGAGATAGGGTACCCCCTCCCCCAGAAAAAAAAAATTAACCAACATTCATTGAATTACTATCTTGCCAGCAGTGTGCAGACATCACAATTCAAACGACCCTCTGAACTCTGACATCCCCACCCCTCCCTCACAGACACTGAGTTTTCCACCTCTAGAGCTTAATTAAGCCCAGCTAATTGATTTCCCTCGATCCCTTCATAAGTGTTACTTTGCTCACTCTCAAAAGAGCATTTTAGTTCATTGACCACAGATGTAAGTCAAATCTTTGGTTTATTGATAACTGACCCTAAGGGAAGGTTCCTATGACAGTGAGGGATTCTTGATGCAAGAAATTGGACCTTCCCTTATGATGACCCACAGCTGGAACATTTAGTCATCTGACTCGAGACTTTCTGCTAGGAAAAAATTAATAGTCCATTTCAATTGTTTTTTTATTATAAGTTAAGAAGGTGGTCTGAAGTCTATACTAGAAGTTCCATGAGGTTTTCCTAAAAATAGAGAGGGAGAAAAAAAAATGATTTTTGGTATGGCAACACCTATCCGGACTGGAGTTCTGGAGGTGGGAAGTACAATGCCTACACTTTAAAGGAGGGGGTTTGGGATATTTTACCATTTGGAGTGACATCTGAACTGTCGGATCTGTGCACCTCTGCAGAAACATACATTGTGTGTATGAGTGCATGTATACACACATGCCACCATCTTTGGATGTTTTAACACATTTTTTTATACATTTAATAAAAAAATTCTGGGAAAAAAGTTTCAAGACTATGAAAAAAATTATCTGTAAGAATTTTTTTTTGGAAAAGCCCAATTTCTAAGGGTGTAAGAATTTTTTCCTTGGAAAATTCTGCCTCAAAATTGAATAGCCGAACTTGCTGAATTGGCCGAACTTGTAACATTTTTTTCAGGGTTACCAAATAAAATTTTCAATTAGAGGTAGACTCTTGCCTAAAAAATGCTAAAAGTATGCTGAATTTACTTTATATAGAGCTAAAAAAATACACTAACATAGCTACAAAAATAACATTATGCATTGCTCTCACTCACCAGTATATAGGCAATTTTATTCTAGATCTTCTAAATCCCAATCAACCATCTCTTCCTCAGCACGTGTAGCTGTTTCTTCTTGCGATTGTTGAGAAGGCTGATATGCATCCATAAAGCATATTTTTCATAAGACTTCCTTTGGTAGCTTGTAATTATAACAGCATTTACCATGCCTTCTCAGTCTGTATTTAATAGTCAAAATAGCTCTCAAACTCTTCATATTAAACCAGGTTTGCAGTTTTGGCTTAACAATGCTCATGTGGCTGAACACACATTCCACATCAGCATTAGCATGAGGTAGAGCAAGCACTGTTAGAGCATCTCTGTATAAAGCTATTTCTGCCTGCAGTCTAAGTATGTCAGAGTTGCAGCATATTCAATAAACATTTTTGCAAGATCTAATATGCAAGTCTTAACTGGTTGTAGGCATTTATTTGCACTCAGTTATGATATTGACTTCAGCACTCGAACATTATCTGGCAGTTGTGACACAGTTGTGTCACACACTCCATTACAAACTGTATGCACCTTCCATGAATGTCTGTCATAAAGAATCTTGCAGTCTGACATTTCCTTTTCAAGTTCATAACTGAGGTATGGATTAGGATTTAAATCATCTTGAACTGCATCACCTTCTTTCATTGTTTTTATATGGATAACAATCTTTGAACAGTTAAAGATGGTAGTAGCAAGGAGTTGTTCATGGTGTTTATGAAGTCACCTTACACCTGCTGCTACTGTTCACATAGCAGTAAGTAAATTTATTCAGGTAAAGGTACATGTAAATACAGTTACATAATTTATCATAGGTAGCAGCATATGTGTAGATTACCTAGGATAACCCAAAAAAAAAAGTCAGTGACTTATTTACATTGGGGTCCTTGTAATATCTTATTATTTAAACCTTAACAGCTAAAAAATGCTAAGTAACTCAACTGTGTGAAAAACATTTTCAATACAAGGAGATATACTAGGAATAAGGTAAACTGAGTTATTTATATTATACATTAAAGAGAGGATCAGCTCACAGTAATAGGTACATGAATGTTACACTAATAGGTACATTCATGTTAGCTATACAAGATATCATTCTCTTCCCTTTCTGTAGCTTCATTTATTAAGTACCTTTTAGCCTTCTTCCTGAACTAGTTCATGCTTTGACAGGCTTTGACATGTGCAGGCAGTCCATTCCACTTCTTTATTGCTATACAATATAAGGTGTTTGAAGCCTGACCACCTACAATGGGTACTACAAAGTTTTGTTCCCTTCCCTTAGTACTATACCTGTTTAAGTTCACAGACTTGGCTGCAAGATATTCTGGACTTTGCTTGTGAGCAATTTTATATACGTGATTTAACTTCAGTTGTTTTACTCTGTCTTCAACATTCAGTATGTCCAGTTGCAATTCATCCTGGCCTACTCATATGCTCTGTTGGGCCCAGGTCCAGGATGAATCTCACCATTTTGTTCTGGATGATTTGTGGTCTATCTTTTAGTTTTTTTGTTTGTTTTTAAGGCAGAGTACCTTAAAGAGCAAGAGTAATCTATATGGCATTGTATAAGAGATAGACATAGGGTCCTGCGAGCCTCAGTAGGTAGACACTGTGCCTGTCTGTAGAGGAACTTTAGTCTGGCATTCGCTCTCTTTACTACACTGTTCCCTATTAATTCTCCTGACATGCTTGGGTCAAAAGGGATTCCCAGATACTTCACTTAAGATACTGGAGTGATGGGTTCCCCATTACACTGGATATTAAAAATATTTACCCTTCTTAGTTTATTTTTCGTGCCAAAGAATATGACTTCTGTTTTCCCAAGGTGTAACGATATTTTGTTGCTTACCATCCATTTGCTGCAGGACTCTAGTTCTAGTGACAGTACATTTGCTATATCTTCTGGGGCTCGACACTAACAAAGCACTATGGTCTGCAACGGAAGCTTACACTGGCATTGATGGGCATGTCATTTACATAACATAGGAACAGCAAGGGACCCAGAATACTACCTCGGGGAACCCCACATGCTCTTGGCAGGGATTCTGATTCTGTGTTACTGATCTATACAATTTGTTTCCTGTTTCTCAGGTCAATATATCTGAAATGCGTAGGGAGACACTGGTCAGAGAAATAGCAAGCATCGAACTTAAGCTAAAAGAATCCTTTAGGAGTCAGGAATCGCGGGAAGAACTAAAAGCCATAAATGAAATCGAAAGAAACCCAAAGTATTTCTTCTCCTATGCCAAATCAAAATCGAGAACAACGTCCAGTATTGGGCCCCTACTTAAACAAGATGGGTCCTACACAGATGACAGCAAGGAAATGAGTGAGCTACTCAAGTCCCAATATGACTCAGTTTTTAGCAAGCCGCTAACCAGACTGAGAGTCGAAGATCAAAATGAATTTTTTATGAGAGAGCCACAAAATTTGATTAACACAAGCCTATCCGATGTTATCCTGACGCCAAATGACTTCGAACAGGCGATAAATGACATGCCCATGCACTCTGCCCCAGGGCCAGACTCATGGAACTCTGTGTTCATCAAGAACTGCAAGAAGCCCCTATCACAAGCCTTTTCCATCCTATGGAGAGGGAGCATGGACACGGGGGTCGTCCCACAGTTACTAAAAACAACAGACATAGCCCCACTCCACAAAGGGGGCAGTAAAGCAACAGCAAAGAACTACAGACCAATAGCACTAACATCCCATATCATAAAAATCTTTGAAAGGGTCCTAAGAAGCAAGATCACCACGCATCTAGAAACCCATGTTACACAACCCAGGGCAACATGGGTTTAGAACAGGTCGCTCCTGTCTGTCTCAACTATTGGACCACTACGACAAGGTCCTAAATGCACTAGAAGACAAAAAGAATGCAGATGTAATATATACAGACTTTGCAAAAGCCTTCGACAAGTGTGACCATGGCGTAATAGCGCACAAAATGCGTGCTAAAGGAATAACAGGAAAAGTCGGTCGATGGATCTATAATTTCCTCACTAACAACACAGAGAGTAGTCGTCAACAGAGTAAAGTCCGAGGCAGCTACGGTGAAAAGCTCTGTTCCACAAGGCACAGTACTCGCTCCCATCTTGTTCCTCATCCTTATATCCGACATAGACAAGGATGTCAGCCACAGCACCGTGTCTTCCTTTGCAGATGACACCCGAATCTGCATGACAGTGTCTTCCATTGCAGACACTGCAAAGCTCCAGGCAGACATCAACCAAATCTTTCAGTGGGCTGCAGAAAACAATATGAAGTTCAACGATGAGAAATTTCAATTACTCAGATATGGTAAACATGAGGAAATTAAATCTTCATCAGAGTACAAAACAAATTCTGGCCACAAAATAGAGCGAAACACCAACGTCAAAGACCTGGGAGTGATCATGTCGGAGGATCTCACCTTCAAGGACCATAACATTGTATCAATCGCATCTGCTAGAAAAATGACAGGATGGATAATGAGAACCTTCAAAACTAGGGAGGCCAAGCCTATGATGACACTCTTCAGGTCACTTGTTCTATCTAGGCTGGAATATTGCTGCACACTAACAGCACCTTTCAAGGCAGGTGAAATTGCCGACCTAGAAAGTGTACAGAGAACTTTCACGGCGCGCATAACGGAGATAAAACACCTCAATTATTGGGAGCGCTTGAGGTTCCTAAACCTGTATTCCCTGGAACGCAGGAGGGAGAGATACATGATTATATACACCTGGAAAATCCTAGAGAGACTAGTACCGAACTTGCACACGAAAATCACTCACTACGAAAGCAAAAGACTTGGCAGACGATGCACCATCCCCCCAATGAAAAGCAGGGGTGTCACTAGCACGTTAAGAGACCATACAATAAGTGTCAGGGGCCCGAGACTGTTCAACTGCCTCCCAGCACACATAAGGGGGATTACCAACAGACCCCTGGCAGTCTTCAAGCTGGCACTGGACAAGCACCTAAAGTCAGTTCCGGATCAGCCGGGCTGTGGCTCGTATGTTGGTTTGCGTGCAGCCAGCAGCAACAGCCTGGTTGATCAGGCTCTGATCCACCAGGAGGCCTGGTCTCAGACCGGGCCGCGGGGGCGTTGACCCCCGGAACTCTCTCCAGGTAAACTCCAGGTAAGACTTAAATCAGTCTGCAGAACCTATGCTGATAGTGTTAGTCACCTTACACATGCTGTCACTTTTCATCTAGCAGTAAGTAGGTACCCGGGTGTTAGTGGGCTGGTGTGGGTGGCATCCTGGGGGGCAAGATTGAAGGACCACAATGGAAATAGCACTGACAGTCCTTGATGAAGCACTAACTTCATTGGGTTATTCTGGGTTATCCTTTAATTGTAATTGCTTTTCACATAGCTAAGTTACTTACCTGTTTTAACTTTAAGGTTTAAATAATAAGTTATTACAAGGACCCCCAATGGAAATATGTAATTTTGTCTTTTTTTTTTTGAGGAGGGGGGTTATCCTTGGTAATCCACACATGGGGTTATCGTAGGTCATCTACACATGGGGTTATCCTAGGTGATCTACACATGGGGTTATCCTAGGTGATCTACACATGGGGGTTATCCTAGGTCAGTGGTTCCCAAACTGGGGGTAAATTACCCCCTGGGGGTAATTTAACCATTTTTGGGGGGTAATGGAGGGGTGACAGAAAAAAAGTTATGAATTCTGAAAATCAAGAAAACAATGCGGTACCCGGTATGAGGATTATTGTTAACTTTGTCTTAGTATATAAAGTTGTAAAGTAAACCTATTATAAGTAAGCAATAAAGTTAAACCAAATAACAATAAACATCAAAAACTAATATACAGTATTAGAAAAGAAGAAATATATAGCTAAGTGTGTGGAAACCCAAAAGTATTTTGACAAGTATGCTTCAGGACAAAAGTCACTCAGTAGCCCAGATCGACCTGTCCAGTACGCGTCACTCACTTCCTGAGGCTGCCTCTATTTCACACTGTCAGTTTATCTGTGAATTTGTAGCTATTATTAATTTTATATATAATGTATGTGTGGTTCTTACGTTTTCAATGGTTTTGCTAAGATTATCAGAGTATGCGAGGCTGTATACGTTCACGTTTAGCCATATATATCAATAATAACAACATTTTGTGAAAGGGGTAACATGCTTTATGTGGCATGTTAAATTGGGTAACAAGCTGAAAAAGTTTGGGAACCACTGTCCTAGGTGATCTACACATGGGAGTTATCTTAGATAATCTACACATGGGGGTTATCATAGGTAATCTACACATGCTGCTATTTATGATAATTTATGTAACTGTATTTATGTGTACCTGTACCTGAATAAACTTAACACCTGATTAAAAACCCGAACAAAATCTTATCCTAAAGCCTCACATATTACATCTGGATTGCAGTCACATACTTAACTGAGTCTAAATAAGGACCCCAATGGAAATAAGTCACTCTGTCTGACTTTTTTGGGTTATCCTAGGTTCTCTACACATATGCTGCTATGTATGATAATTCTATGTAACTGTATTGTGTATACCTGAATAAATTTACTTACTTACTTACTTACTAACCACAATTTATTTCTCAGAATATGGTAAAATACACTGAAATCAACTGCAGTACATTTTGTTCTCTTGAGCTTAAAAATTAAGGTTATAATTATATTACTCTGGAATTGTATACCGTTATTATAGTGATTAATTTCTTATTGATTTATGTTCATCAAAAAACTATAGAAGTGTAAAAACCATTACATAAGTCATTTATTTACCAAACATTTTCATGTTACTTATTAAAGAAGTGAAATAATTTTTTTTGCAATTTAATTATTTCATAAAATGGTCCCTTTGCTAGCGAAGGGTTCTTGGTGCAAGAAATTGGAGTTACCATCCTCTTCCTTGGATCAAACCGCATTACCTTCTAGCCCTCACACGCTATATCATCATTATGGATTTAGCATTCCTATGTATAATAAAAATAATAATATTCAGTAATAATAATATTTCTAATATATTTAATAGCTTTAGCTGTGCATTATATTAGTTTTATTATAATAATAATAATAATATGCATTATATTGTATACTCTGTAATGTAATGATCAGAAATAAAGAATCCATGTATGTGTCAATCTGAGAGTGAATAAGAACCATGATACAAGTCTAAAGGTGCTGGAGGACCAATCAGCGAGCAAGCTCGAGGTTGGGGTACCCAATCAGCGGGCGAGGCTGACACAGGGACGACCAATCAGCGAACTAGACGGACCTTCTCTGCGGACCACAACAACATCACTAGTATGGTACGTTTATACCATAATATTTAGCGCAAAATGAAAGTATATCAGCCTTCATTAGCTGCGTGTATGTTTTAACATCATTTATTGTGATATAGGTTATTAATAACTGGGGAAATATAAGTTATATTCATTATATTAGTGAAAATAAGGAAGTAACTAGTTAGCACGTGTCGGGTCTGGCTAAGATTCCGACATAATAGAAAAGAACACTGCACCACACTTTAAGACCTTTGCTAAGTAAGATCTATTAACACCTATTCATTCCCACTCGTGACCTTTTCTGTATATATTTTTAAAGTTAAATCGAGGTATTAACTTAGGTAACGCCACTTTAGTTTGCGCCACTGGTCTACATTCTAGTAAGTATTTAGGTACATGTACACAATTTAACATTCCTAGTAAGTATTTAGGTACATGTACACAATTACATTCCTAGTAAGTATTTAGGTACATGTACACAATTACATTCCTAGTAAGTATTTAGGTACATGTACACAATTACATTCCTAATAAGTATTCAGGTACATGTACACAATTACATTCCTAGTAAGTATTTAGGTACATGTACACAATTACATTCCTAGTAAGTATTTAGGTACATGTACACAATTACATTCCTAGTATTTAGGTACATGTACACAGTTACATTCCTAGTAAGTATTTAGGTACATGTACACAATAACATTCCTAGTAAGTATTTAGGTACATGTACACAATTACATTCCTAGTAAGTATTTAGGTACATGTACACAATTACATTCCTAGTAAGTATTTAGGTACATGTACACAATTACATTCCTAGTAAGTATTTAGGTACATGTACACAATTACATTCCTAGTAAGTATTTAGGTACATGTACACAGTTACATTCCTAGTAAGTATTTAGGTACATGTACACAATAACATTTCTAGTATTTAGGTACATGTACACAATTACATTCCTAGTAAGTATTTAGGTACATGTACACAATAACATTCCTAGTAAGTATTTAGGTACATGTACACAATTACATTCCTAGTAAGTATTTAGGTACATGTACACAGTTACATTCCTAGTAAGTATTTAGGTACATGTACACAATAACATTTCTAGTAAGTATTTAGGTACATGTACACAATTACATTCCTAGTAAGTATTTAGGTACATGTACACAATAACATTCCTAGTAAGTATTTAGGTACATGTACACAATTACATTCCTAGTAAGTATTTAGTACATGTACACAATTACATTCCTAGTAAGTATTTAGGTACATGTACACAATAACATTCCTAGTAAGTATTTAGGTACATGTACACAATAACTCCTAGTAAGTATTTAGGTACATGTACACAATAACATTCCTAGTAAGTATTTAGGTACATGTACACAGTAACTCCTAGTAAGTATTTAGGTACATGTACACAATTACATTCCTAGTAAGTATTTAGGTACATGTATACAATAACGTTCCTAGTAAGTATTTAGGTACATGTACACAATAACATTCCTAGTAAGTATTTAGGTACATGTACACAATTACATTCCTAGTGAGTATTTAGGTATATGTACACAACATTCCTAGTAAGTATTTAGGTACATGTACACAATAACATTCCTAGTAAGTATTTAGGTACATGTACACAATTACATTCCTAGTGAGTATTTAGGTATATGTACACAACATTCCTAGTAAGTATTTAGGTACATGTACACAATTAAGAACATAAGAACGAAGGAACACTGCAGCAGGCCTACTGGCCCATGCGAGGCAGGTCCAAGTCTCCTACCGGCTTAAGCCAATGCACCCAACCTAGTCAGGTCAGGTCACATTGACTTAAGGGAGGAACACGGCAACCGACCTGGTAGCACAAGCTATCAGGTCCAACTCACACCCACCCACATCCACTCGTGTATTTATCCAACCTATTTTTAAAGCTACACAACGTTCTGGCCTCTATAACTGTACTTGGGAGTTTGTTCCACTCATCCACAACTCTATTACCAAACCAGTACTTTCCTATATCTTTCCTGAATCTGAATTTTTCCAACTTAAAACCATTGCTGCGAGTTCTGTCTAGGCTAGATATTTTCAGCACACTATTTACATTCCTAGTTTAGGTACATGTACACAATTACATTCCTAGTAAGTATTTAGGTATATGTACACAATTACATTCCTAGTAAGTATTTAGGTTCATGTACACAATTACATTCCTAGTAAGTATTTAGGTACATGCACACAATTACATTCCTAGTAAGTATTAAGGTACATACCTGGAGGTTACCTGGAGGTTATTCCGGGGATCAACGCCCCCGCGGCCCGGTCCATGACCAGGCCTCCTGATGGATCAGGGCCTGATCAACTAGGCTGTTACTGCTGGCCACACGCAGTCCAACGTACGAGCCACAGCCCGGCTGATCCGGCACTGACTTTAGGTATCTGTCCAGCTCTCTCTTGAAGGCAGCCAGGGGTTTATTGGCAATTCCCCTAATGCTTGATGGGAGGCTGTTGAACAGTTTTGGGCCCCGGACACTTATGGTGTTTTCCCTTAGTGTACCAGTGGCTCCCCTACTTTTTATTGGGGGCATTTTGCATCGCCTGCCCAGTCTTTTACTTTCGTAGGGAGTGATTTCTGTGTGCAGATTTGGGATGTACACAATTACATTCCTAGTAAGTATTTAGGTACATGTACACAATTACATTCCTAGTAAGTATTTAGGTACATGTACACAATTACATTCCTAGTAAGTATTTAGGTACATGTACAAACAATTACATTCCTAGTAAGTATTTAGGTACATGTACAAACAATTACATTCCTAGTAAGTATTTAGGTACATGTACAAACAATTACATTCCTAGTAAGTTTAGGCGCACAGTTAAAATTATCATACCCAGTAACCTGTATATTTTGTAGATAACCCAAAAAAAGCCATTGACTTGTTTCCATTTGGTGAGAAGCTTGTAGAATGGGAGTCATTTAGGTTTGAGTCAGGAAAGGAGAATAAGTCCAGTTCCTTGGATCAAGAGCTGCTCACCATTATCAAGGCACTTCCATTGAAAGGCTTGCCAAACCATTGGTTAGATATTTTCAGCAGTATTTAATTTATTTTTTATTACTGATCGACTCTGATATAATACCAGTTGGTCTAATACTAGATGGTTTGCTTCATATATTGCCTGCAAGACATAATCACCAATAAAAGACAAAATATTAAAGAGTAACATTAAAGGAATTGCATGTGATTAAGAAAAATTGTGAAAGATATGTTCTGTGTTTGTAGACATGTTCATGTTAGGTTAGATTGTGTGTATTTAATGATAGGAGCAGGTTGGCCAATTTACAACAGTAGTTTAAACTGATTTAAACTTTTTAATTAAAAAATTTAGTGGGAGTTGTTTTTATTAAGCAACAGTTTCTTTTTATTACCAAATGGTTTTATAATTGAATCGCTGAAACAAAAAGGGCTTGCTCTATTAAATTCTAAATTTTAATTTTAATCAATGACCAAGTATATGGATCTACAGCTTGCTTCATAATGTAGTTAGTTTCAATTCGAGTGATCTGTCGCCCTCATTTTAATCCTTTCACAGTCCAGACCCCATCCCCCCCCCCACACACACACACACACACCAAAAATAATAATAATATTGCAGTGTCCACATTTAAAAAAAAAAAAAAATGAAATCAATTTCCAAAGGTAATGACACGAAAAGCGTGAAATTTGATGAAAAACTTGTGAAATTACGCTGATGCAAAGTTACTGGCTGGCACAGTTTAAGAACATAAGAATGTAGGAACACTGCAGAAGGCCTACTGGCCCATACGAGGCTGGTCCTTATCAAAACGACATCTACCTAAAGCTACTCAAGAAATAACTCCCGCACCCCCCAACACCAATCAAACCCAGCCCCTCCCGCTCATATATTTGCCCAGTCTCTTCTTAAAGCTACCCAAGGTCCTAGCCTCTATCACCCCACTGGGAAGACTGTTCCACGCATCTACAACTCTGTTAGAAAACCAGTACTTACCTATGTCCTTTCTAAATCTAAATTTATCCAACTTAAATCCATTATTCCTTGTTCTTACCTGGTTCGACACCCTCAGTACTTTATTAATGTCTCCCTTGTTTATGCCCATCATCCACTTATACACTTCAATGTTATCTCCCCTCATTCTACGCCTCTCCAGAGAGTGGAGATTTAAGGCTTTAAGTCTATCTTCATACGGGAGGTTCCTTACACAGTAAATCATTTTAGTCATTCTTCTCTGTATGTTCTCTAATGAGTCTATGTCCATCCTGTAGTAAGGGGACCAAAACTGAGCAGCATAATCTAAATGAGGCCTCACTAGTGATGTATAGAGCTGTAAAATAACTTTTGGGCTTCTGTTACTTATACTTCTTGAGATAAATCCAAGTAATCTGTTGGCCTTGTTGCGCACACTGAGGCACTGCTGTCTTGGCTTTAGTTTATTTCTGCTTACCATGACTCCCAAGTACTTTTTCACATTCTGTATGACCAAGCTCTACTTCACCTAGATTATAGCTTCGAGGGTTATTTTCATTACCAAGGGCAAGTACCTTACACTTATCCACATTAAACTTCATCTGCCATTTCTCAGACCAAGACATTAATTTGTTCAAATCGTCCTGGAGTTCATTGATATCCTCCTCAGAGTGAATTATACGGCCTATCTTTGTATCATCAGCAAACTTACTCATGTCACTAGTAATCCCTTCATCAAGGTCATTAATGTAAATTATGAACAAGAGAGGGCCTAAAACTGATCCTTGTGGAACGCCACTAGTGACTAATCCCCATTCAGATTTCACTCCATTAATGGTAACTCTCTGCTTTCTATTGGTAAGCCATGCCTCAATCCATGCTAGAACTTTACCTCCTATACCATGAGCTGCCACTTTTCTTAAGAGTCTCTTGTGAGGTACTCTGTCGAAGGCTTTACTAAAATCCAAATAAACAAATATCATATTCCTTATCACTGTCAACTGCCTCAAATGTTCTATTGAAGAACGTCAGTAAGTTTGTCAGGCAGGAACGACCTCTCGTGAATCCATGCTGAGATTCATTTATCAAGTTATGCTCTTCAAGGTGACTTCTGATAATGTCAGCTATAATTTGATTCTAATAACTTGCCCACTATAGATGTCAGGCTTATTGGACGGTAATTTGAAGGAGTGGACTTATCCCCTGATTTGAATATAGGAACCACATTAGCCATCTTCCACATCTCTGCACAACACTGGTAAGGATGGACGCATTGAATACACTCGTTAATGGCTGACTAAGCTCCATCTTGCATTCCTTAAGTACCCTTGAAAACAACTCATCGGGTCCCGGGGACTTATTTTGTTTTCAGTTTGTCTATCTGTTTAATAACCATGTCCCTCGTGACAGTAATATTAGTTAACTTAAATTCATCAGGAACTAAATAATTGTTAATTTACTGGAATCTCATTTACATTCTTCCTGTGTAAAAACTGACAAAAAATAGTTATTAAATAAGGAACACATTTCCAGTTCATTATCCGTCAGCTGTCCATTCCCAGATTTCAGAGGTCCTACTTTTTCCTTCACCTTCGTCCTATACACTTGAAAGAACCCCTTTGGATTAGTCTTTGATTCATTAGCAACTCTAATTTCATAGTCACGTTTAGCCTTTCTAATCGCCTTTTTTACTTCTCTTTTAAGCTGAACATATTGGTCAGTAAGGTTAACCTCTCCTCTTCTGATGTGCCTATAAATTCCCCTTTTCTCCCCTAATAGATGCTTTAGCCTCCTGTTAACCCATTTGGGATCGTTATTATTAGACCTAATTTCTCTCTGGGGAATGTATATACTCTGGGCACTGTGTACATTATTAAGAAAACAATCATAAAAGCAGATCCCTTCATATTCATAAGTATGATTATCGTCAATAAAATCATTAGCTAGATAACCCCAATCAAGATTAGACAGATGTTCCCTAAGTCCATTATAATCGGCAGAACGAAAATCGGGGATTTTTACTGTATTATCATTATTCTTGCATTCCCAATTAATGCTAAAGGTGATGGATTTGTGATCACTTGCGGCAAGCTCTTCAGTGATCTCCAGATTATTCACGAGTGTTTCCTTATTTGACAAGACTAGGTCTAGCAAATTATTACCCCTGGTAGGTTCAGTTACACTCTGTTTCAGAAAACAGTTTTACACCCAGTGATTTCACTTACTCTGAATCCAGTTTTAAGCCAATTCAAATGCTCCATTTAGCCAATTCAGAATGCTCCATTTCCATTTAGCCAATTCAGAATGCTCCATTTGATCAAATTCTTAACTATTTCATTGGTATGCCTCTATATTGATTGCATACAAATATGAGAACTACCTATAGAGTGCACAGAAGTTGGTAATTTGGCCAATTTTACACAAAATTAAAAAAATCCAAGTTAAGAATAGTCCAAAATTAATACAGTAGACATTCCAGGCACTAAAACATTTCTTCTGTTCATTAATCACATCCCAAGGCCTCCCTTCAATCTGCTTAATGTTTTCTACAGTAAATGTACCCAAATGTTGCCGAAGTCTCGCTCATATGAATAATACACATCATAGGTTTACCTGTATTGCATGAAGACATACTAGGGAGCACTTATTTATATGTTTAATAATGTCTTCACTGGAGCAGCTGTACCATCAAGTGAGGATAAAGTTGGAGACAATGTTGGAGAGCATTATTAGGCAAATGTTAAAAAAAAAAAAAATTAAGCACCTTAAAAATGAGTGTATGAATGGTGCTACTATTCAAATCACATATACTTTCACATTTAATATGTTCTCTGGTCATAGTTCTGTTCAAGGCACGAGAAATATAATGGGAAGATGTACATTTTGTACTTTCCGTATAGATTTGATGTTTAAAACTTCTAAACTGTTTAGCACCCCTCAAAGCACTTGTGTACTCTTGCAGGAACAAAGGGAAATTTGCACATGATAATACTGTATATATATATATAGTACTGATAGATATAGGAAGTATATAGTAAACCCAGTGAAGAGCAGGGTTGTCCTGGGAACAGCTAGAATTCACATAATATCCACAGCCCAAGACTTCTCTTTCTACTAGCTGATATATGAAATATTTCCAGAACAAATTTAACTTCATGATCCCTATGGGTGTAGTGCTTCCCCAGCAATGGCCTGGTCTAGAACAAGGCCTAAATGGTGACCCCACAAGCATGATTTAGGTATCCTTCAGATAGCAGCAGCAGCTGGTTGACTCTAGGCACTTAACAGAGGAGTCTAACCACAGACCAGGCTGCAAAGATAGTTAAATCCTGAAGATGAATTGCAAATGTTGTATATTAAAAGCTATAAAAGCATGTATGTACAATACTTCTGTGCTGTGTAAGTATTTTGTTTTGCTTTCTTTCAGCCACCCAAGAAGGATACAAAGGCTAAGCAGCCTGCAAAGCAAACTGCCAAAAAGAAGGAAGGAGGAGGTGGTGGAAAGGCCAAGAAGAAGAAGTGGTCAAAAGGAAAGGTTAGTGCTGTACTTTGGTTTTGTTGAAAGTATTTTTACTTTCAGGTGAAAAAGTGTAGTACAGTACATGACTCACGAAATTGTAATGACACAATTGCAAACAAACCATACCACGGGTGGGGATAGAACCCACAATCAGAGAGAGTCAAAACTCCAGACCGTCGCGTTAGGCACTGGACCAGCAAGCCACAATAAGATTCGTCCAACTAGGTATATTTCTACACCATAGGAGACTGATCGCGGGTTCTATCCCTGCCCGTGGTATGGTTTGTGTAGTACAGTATTTTCAGTATTTTGATATTTATAGAATTTTATATCAATGTAATGCTGTAACTAGTAATTGCTCATGATGTGGATTATTGGTTAATATAATTAAGTCTTCTTTCAACAAACTATTAAAATTCCTTTGTTAACTTATTCTGTCTACAACTAAGATAATTTACTAATACAGTGCAGTACTGTACCGTTTTAGCTGTATGTAATAAATGTTGAAACACAAAATGTGCATAGGTTAGATCATGTAGTGATATATACCTTTTGAGTTTTGAGTCTTTCTGTGCCTAGTAGTTCAGAGTGGAGTGGTTGAGATGGTTCAGTCATTTAGAAGGGATGAAATAAGATAGGTTGAAAAAGAGGGTTCATAAATCCAGGGTGGATGGATTTATGAGGAAGAGGATTTAAAGTTTTGAGTAGTAGGGGCTTAAGAATCCAGCAGGAATGTACTAGGTGTGTTTTTATAGGTTGTCCAGTGTGAGCAGGGTAACGTATAGACATTCAGAAATACCATTTCTGGAAGTTGGAAGCACGTTACAGTACATACCTGCATTTTGAAGAATGGGAGGGGATGTTGCAGGTCTAAGGGTTAGATGAATTGTGATGGCCTTCTACTAGTGAGTGGAAGATAGTGAAGGCATTTCTTGGTCACCTCATCTTCATGGGGAAAATGACTGATGTTAGAAAAGTTAAAAAAAAAAACACACACACTTGGAGTTTATCTAATCAGATAGTTGTTTCAAATACATACTAGTGGTAGCCAGAGATAAATGCTAACAAAAGTATTTAGGAAAGGTTGTAACAAAGAATTATTATTTATACACTATGTATTTGCAGGTCCGTGATAAGTTGAACAACCTTGTGTTATTTGACAAGCCTACTTATGACAAGCTTTATAAGGAAGTGCCCTCTTACAAGCTCATCACTCCCTCAGTTGTTAGTGAAAGACTTAAAATTACAGGATCTTTGGCCCGTCGTGCCCTTGATGAGCTTCAAAATAAAGGTGAGTAGCTTAACTCTTAACAGAAGTTTTTTTTTTTTATCTTGAAATTTCAGTAACCATTTAGCATATACCATTCCTGATATATATCTAGGTCTTCCTGCTGCTGCCTCCCACTATATGTAAGGGGAGGGGGGATTTCCAACAAACCCTTTGCTTTTATTGTAAACAACTCTGGACTGAGTCCTGGAGGTGAGAAGTAGAGTACCTATACCATGAAGGATGGATGGGGTTAAGGTATTTTGAATGGTCATCTGAACTGTGATGTCAATGTACTTTTCTCAAGACAGTGAATGAATGATGGTGAAAGCATTTTCCTCTTTGTTGGGTCACCCTACATTGGTGAGAGATGGCTGGTATATAGAAGAAAAATTATTTTCCAGTGGGAGGTTCAGATTGAAAATGTTACATTCACCTTCATGGATTTATATACATACTGTACTAGGTTTCCCTTAGTACCACTAGATAATGATAATTCTGGATAATGCAGTACAGTAGTATCAAAAAGGCAAATGGGGTACCTTTAATGCAGGCGTCTTAGCGCTTGATTAAAACTGAAAAGATGCTGGTAATGCATTTATATTGTTTACTTTTTGTCAGTTGGTATGATTTTTAAAATGTGAAGAGATAGTTTTAAGAAGTTTTATATAAGAAGTTTATTCTTTTTCAGGCCTCATTCGACAAGTTGTGAAGCACCATGCACAGGTAGTCTACACACGAACCACCAAATCTGAAGATTAGAAAAATAAATTTTTCAAATTAATTATCTTTCTCTTATTCCTGAATAATTGAATGGCTTTATTATGTACTGTACAATAATGTACTTCTCTTTAAGCAGCACTGTATGACCCTTGTGAGTTTGTTGCATAGCTTTAATTGTAAAAATACTCAAAAATAATCTGCTTGAATTTTGAATGAATTGTAAATATTCCTAAGTTGGCACTTGCAATGCTACTTTTGATTGGCCCCTCAAGGGAGGTTCCTTGATGCTGGTGAGGGGCTCTTGATCTAGGGAATTAGGTCTGCTCCAGTTCCCTGAATACCTTCCATTTCTCTCCCCCCCCCCCCAGGTGCTGTATAGTCCTATGGGTTTAGTGCTTCCCCATGATTATATTACTGATCTGGCAATTGTAAGATAAACCTAAAAGCCTAAATTTCAGTTTTACAGGTGCAATATAATTCTTATGGGTTTAGCACCCATCATGTATAGCACACAATGGTTTTCATACAGTGGGTAGTAGTCTGCCTGCTTGTGTTCACAAGTCAGTAAAAGGGGTTCTTGAACTGGGGAATTGAACCTACCTTGGACTGAACCTGAATACCTTAAGATTCCCCCTGGTACTGTATGATCCCCTTTGGGTTAAGTGCTCCCCCATGAATGGAATTACCTCAGCAAGCTTGCATTGGGGAGCATCTTGACATTGGTTAAATTGGCTAAAACACTAATGTTTAATTTCAGCAGGTCTAGGACTCCAAATGGAACCCCACATGCATGGTTTAGCACTTCTTTTTGATTATAATAATAATAACTTGCATGGTCCCCTCATGGGAAGTTCATTGATTAGGGGCTGGTGACCCAAGGAACTGGACATCCTAAGTAGAATTGAACCGAAGTTCCTGCTCTCCTCCCTCAAAAAAGGTTCCTTGATGCTGGTGAGGGGCTCTTGATCTAGGGAATTGGTCTATGCTCCAGTTCCTCTTCAAGGGGGGCTCCTTGGTGTGGTGAAGAGGCTCTTGGTCTGAGGAATTAGACCTGTCGGTCTCCTTCCTCAGACCAAACTTAATTACCCCCCAATCCCCCCTTCCCTATCCCATCCTCCCCTTTTCCCTTTCCTCCTCCTCCCCACCCCTTCCTCTTTTTGGCCTTTGGGATTTTTCCCACAGGCATGCTAGTTTCTAGGTAGGGGAAAGGGTACCAGGGTCCATCCCATTCTGTTGAGGTTCTTGGCGGTGGTGTAGTTTGCCGTGGAATCTGGATCGCCTGGGGATGTCCCGATCCCTCTCCGGTATCCTGGAGAGTGGCTTTGGGTGTCTTTCGGGCGACAGGTGTATCTCTGGAAGCCACCTTTCGGATTCCGAGGGTGGTGGCCGAAGGAGGTATGCTTTGTGGCGGATATCCGGCCGCCCTCTCTTTTGTCCACCGAGGTAACTCGGCAGATGTGAGGTTGCTATCCCGGATTGCTGGTTTACTGGCATGAAGGGTAGGGTATGGCATGGGTTCCATGCTGCATCTGCGTTACTAGCGGTGCTGAGGTCCTCTTGGGCGCAGAGGGAGATTTCCAGCCCTTTCATTCCTCCTGGGAACTATTCCTCCACGCTCCCCCCCCCCCTTTTTTTTTTTTTTTTTTTTTTTCTTAAAAAGCAAAGGAGTAACCTAACCATGGAGAACCCAGTCCATGAACCCACTACCCCCGGGCCCCTTCTTGATACCGCACACCATTCTGACCCTGCCTTGTTTTTTGACCACTCTTCGGACACTCCTGATGCCCCTGTACCTCTTGCTGGTGCTGTTTCCTCACCCACTTCAGGTACCAGGGCTTCGACTGACTTTAGATTTGTCTGACCTCCGCTCTCCTTTGACTACGCTTCCGGCCTCTCCCTCTACGGTACGGCAATTTTCGAATCGCCAGCCCATTTCACGACGGACCAACTCCGGTCCTACTCCTAAATGCTAACGACAATCTCCTGATGATGTTCCTTCGTTACCTTCCCATTCTACTCAGAAAAGACCGACACGTCATGCACTCCCTCTCCACGCTCAGTTTCGGACCACACAATAGACTAAATTCTTTACTTTAAGTCCGACGACTTCTGCCTATCTTTCTGGCCATAGTATTGGCAAAGCGCTCCTGTGCCATGTTGGTAGAGGTATTTCATTTCATGCTCTCAAGAGCGGTACGCGCATCGTCACTGTCCAGAATGCTACCCAAGCTCATGATCCTGTCCTCTGTTTATGTCGTGGGACATCGGTTACAAGTTCGAAAGGTGATCCCTACACCGCAACAGTAGAAATTGCTGGCGTTTTGGTCACCCAGCGAAATATTGCAGATCTATAGCTGAATGCCCAGTCTGTGGTGCCGACGACCATTCTAATACATCTTGCAGTCAACCTCCATCTTGCCTTAATTGTAATGAGGCTCGCCCTTCGTACTCTTGTCGTTGCCAGGTCTACTTAGATGAGCGTGAGATCCGTTGCCTCTAAGAGGCAGAAGGTCTCCCTTATGCTATGGCAGTTACTCATCTCCGCCTCCAAGGAAGACTACCCCGTGTTTCTTATTCTCGTGTTTCAAAACGTCCCCCCCACTTCTGGGGTCCCATCTTCTGCAGTCTCCTCTGTTGTTACCCCTCCCATAGCCACTCCAGCATCTAATCCTTTTGCTGTCCTTGGCTCTGATGTCCCGACTACAACTCGGTCTGTTCTCACATCTTCGCGTCCTTTCTCACAAGCCCCGGTATCGACAAGACCTCGTACAACACCTTATACCAATCGCCCCTCTACTTCTCAGAAGTCCAAAAAATCCACATTGCTCAAATCTTCTTTGCCCCTTCCTTCCCTTCTTCCACCTCAGCATTTTACCTTTCCAGTCTCTGTGCCTAGTTCTTCCCCTCTCTCTGACTCTATTACAAGTGTGGAGGTTCACCCTCCTCCTCGTACTATGCCTTCCAATCCCGTCCCCTCCCAAGTTTCTCCCTCTTCTGCCACCTCCCAGGTTTCTGCCTCTTCTGTCCCCTCCCACACTTCTTCTCTAGTCCCCTACACTCTTTCGTCCCCCTCTACTTTGGTACAATCCATTATTGTCCCAATCTTTACTCGCCCTCCTCCTTCTACCTCCAATATTGTCTCCCATACATCTTTGAATTCAGAAACACTTGAAGCCACTTCAGAATATATTGCAGAGACTAAACCTTCAATGGACACTGATCCACCTCCTGTTCCTTCTCTTCCCTCTCCTCCATTTCCACAACTCCATTTTTCACAACGCTCCATTCCTTTGCTACTTGAACGTCTTCCAATGCCACCACACGTTGACTTTTCTAACCCCTCTAGTCCGTAGGTGCCCTTCCCTACGGATTCCTGGTATTTTCTTCATTGCCAATCATGGCCCATTTACAGTGGAATATCCGCGGCTTGAGGGGTAATCGGGGTGAGCTTCAGATGTTGCTTTCCAGGTTTTCCCCTGTTGGTGCTTGCTTACAAGAACCAAAATTACACTCAGCTGTTTTCCAACCTATCTCTGGCTATAATTTATTGTATTCTTTGGATCCTTTCTCAGATGGGACCTTTAATGAAAGTGCCCTTCTTCTACGCAATGATATTCTGTACTGTCAACTATTTGTCCATACCTCGCTGCATTACACTGCAGCCCGTATCCACTTTAATAAGTGGTTTACAATATGTTCTTTATATCTCTCTCCTCTAGCATTTTCTATCCCAGATTTTGCCTTTCTCGTTTCATCCTTAACACCACTTCTGTTACTTGGTGATTTTAACGCCCACCATTTCCTCTGGGGGGGTCTCATTGTGACTCACATGGTATCCAGTTGGAGGCTTTTCTCGCCTCTCACCCCCTCCATGTTTTAAATACGGGTACTCCCACCCATTTTGATCCTCGTACTCAGTCTCTCTTGCATCGATCTATCAGTCTGCTCTTCTCCACTGCACTAGACTTCACCTGGTCTGTTCTACCGGACTTACATGACAGCGATCATTTTCCAATCTGTCTTACTTCTCCTTCATATTCACCACTTTTTTGTAGCCCTCGCTGGCAATTTGATCGGGCAAATTGGGACCTTTACTTGCAACTCACTGCTTTTAGTGAGGTTCCTTCTTCATCCTCCACTGATGAGCTCCTACACCTCTTCTCGACGTCAGTTTATACCGCAGCTTCTCATTCTATATCCCAAACCTCAGGTAGGCATTCTCAGAAGTGCGTGCCTTGGTGGTCTCCTGCTTGTGCTCGTGCAGTACGTTTGAAACGTGCTGCATGGGGCAGGTACCGATACAATAGAACCAATGAGAGACTTCTTGATTTTAAGCAGAAGCGTGCGATCGCTCGCCGTGTCATCCGTGATGCTAAACGCACTTGCTGGCGAGACTATGTTTCCACCATCACCTCTGCTTCCTCTATGAGTGCAGTCTGGAAAAAAGTGAGGAAATTGAGTGGTAAATACTCTCCTGACCCGGCTCCTGTTCTACGGGCCGCCGGTATTGATGTAGCAAACCCTCTTGACGTTGCCATTGAAATTGGCACTCATCTGGTCCGTATTTCCCGGGGGCTCCATCTATGCCCCTCGTTTCTTTCCTCAAAGTCTGCCAGAGAGTTAGTACCCTTGGACTTTTCTTCTCTCAGAGAAGAACAGTATAATGTGCCTTTTACACTTCAGGAACTGGAGGCAACACTCTCAGCTTGCCGATCATTGGCAGCTGGACCTGACAACATTCATATTCGTATGTTACAACATTTACATCAGTCAGCCCTTGTAGTCCTCTTACACCTCTTCAATCTTATTTGGACACAAGGAGTTCTTCCCCAGCTGTGGAAATCTGCCATTGTTCTCCCTTTCCTCAAGCCGGGTACTACAGGACATGATGCCTCTCACTATCATCCCATCGCTCTTACTAGTGCAGTTTGCAAAGTGATGGAACGTCTGGTAAATCGCCATTTAATGTGGTATTTAGAGACGCACAACAGTCTCTCCGCTAGTCAATATGGCTTTTGTAGGGGCTGTTCTACCATAGACCCCTTACTACGCTTGGATACG